CTACTCCTACTACTACTACTACTACTCCTCCTCCTGCCATGGTGTTTTCCCATCCGGCAGGTGCCTTTTGAACAGAAGGAGTCACAGGAGCAGGAGCAGCAGCAGCAGCAGGAGGAAATAGAAGGTGTTTGACAAGACGGTTATCATCACAAAGGCAGGCAAAAGTTCTTTTTTTCTAGGATTTCAGAAGGGACGTTAGGCACTTTTTGGGCTCGATTTTGGAGCGTTTTGGGCACGAAATTAGGTGGCATTTCAGCGTTTCGAGTGGTGGCCATGAGCAGCAGCAGCAACAGGAGCAACAGGAGGGGGGTTCTATGTCTCATTGCACAAACAGTGGTATAAACATTGGTCGAAAACTATAAAACCTTGTCCAAAACTATATTGTTTTTCTAGGCTTTCAGAAGGGACGTTAGGCAGTTTTTGGGCTCGATTTTGGCGCGTTTTGGGCACGAAATTAGGTGGCGTTTCAGCGTTTCGAGTGGTGGCCATGAGTCGAGCTGAAAGCGACAGGACGCGACAAGACGGTCATCACAAAGGCAGGCAAAAGTTCTTTTTTTTCTAGGGGTACGGTTTCAGAAGGGACGTTAGGCACTTTTTGGGCTCGATTTTGGAGCGTTTTGGGCACGAAATTAGGTGGCGTTTCAGCGTTTCGGGTGGTGGCCGGCAGACGCAAGGGGGAGCGTGCCAGGGAATAGTTTCGGACTACTACTACTACTACTACTACTACTCCTACTACTACTACTACTACTACTACTATTACTACTACTACTACTACTACTACTACTGCCATGGTGTTTTCCCATCCGGCAGGTGCCTTTTGAACAGAAGGAGTCACAGGAGCAGGAGCAGCAGCAGCAGGAGGAAATAGAAGGTGTTTGACAAGACGGTTATCATCACAAAGGCAGGCAAAAGTTCTTTTTTTTCCTAGGATTTCAGAAGGGACGTTAGGCACTTTTTGGGCTCGATTTTGGAGCGTTTTGGGCACGAAATTAGGTGGCGTTTCAGCGTTTCGAGTGGTGGCCATGAGCAGCAGCAGCAACAGGAGCAACAGGAGGGGGGTTCTATGTCTCATTGCACAAACAGTGGTATAAACATTGGTCGAAAACTATAAAACCTTGTCCAAAACTATATTGTTTTTCTAGGCTTTCAGAAGGGGCGTTAGGCAGTTTTTGGGCTCGATTTTGGCGCGTTTTGGGCACGAAATTAGGTGGCGTTTCAGCGTTTCGAGTGGTGGCCATGAGTCGAGCTGAAAGCGACAGGACGCGACAAGACGGTTATCACAAAGGCAGGCAAAGGTTCTTTTTTTTCTAGCGTTTCAGAAGGGACGTTAGGCACTTTTTGGGCTCGATTTTGGCGCGTTTTGGGCACGAAATTAGGTGGCGTTTCAGCGTTTCGAGTGGTGGCCATGAGCAGCAGCAGCAACAGGAGCAACAGGAGGGGGGTTCTATGTCTCATTGCACAAACAGTGGTATAAACATTGGTCAAAAACTATAAAACCTTGTCCAAAACTATATTGTTTTTCTAGGGTTTCAGAAGGGACGTTAGGCAGTTTTTGGGCTCGATTTTGGCGCGTTTTGGGCACGAAATTAGGTGGCGTTTCAGCGTTTCGAGTGGTGGCCATGAGTCGAGCTGAAAGCGACAGGACGCGTGGTATAAACATTGGTCGAAAACTATAAAACCTTGTCCAAAACTATATTGTTTTTCTAGGCTTTCAGAAGGGACGTTAGGCAGTTTTTGGGCTCGATTTTGGCGCGTTTTGGGCACGAAATTAGGTGGCGTTTCAGCGTTTCGAGTGGTGGCCATGAGTCGAGCTGAAAGCGACAGGACGCGACAAGACGGTTATCACAAAGGCAGGCAAAAGTTCTTTTTTTTCTAGGGTTTCAGAAGGGACGTTAGGCACTTTTTGGGCTCGATTTTGGAGCGTTTTGGGCACGAAATTAGGTGGCGTTTCAGCGTTTCGAGTGGTGGCCATGAGCAGCAGCAGCAACAGGAGCAACAGGAGGGGGGTTCTATGTCTCATTGCACAAACAGTGGTATAAACATTGGTCGAAAACTATAAAACCTTGTCCAAAACTATATTGTTTTTCTAGGGTTTCAGAAGGGACGTTAGGCAGTTTTTGGGCTGGTATAAAAATTGGTCGAAAACTATATAAAACCTTGTCCAAAACTATATTGTTTTTCTAGGGTTTCAGAAGGGACGTTAGGCACTTTTTGGGCTCGATTTTGGAGCGTTTTGGGCACGAAATTAGGTGGCGTTTCAGCGTTTCGAGTGGTGTCCATGAGTCGAGCTGTTGCAGCTAGCTGACGTCAAAGCGACAGGACGCGACAAGACGGTTATCACAAAGGCAGGCAAAAGTTCTTTTTTTTCTTAGGGTTTCAGAAGGGACGTTAGGCACTTTTTGGGCTCGATTTTGGAGCGTTTTGGGCACGAAATTAGGTGGCGTTTCAGCGTTTCGAGTGGTGGCCATGAGCAGCAGCAGCAACAGGAGCAACAGGAGGGTTCTATGTCTCATTGTACAAACAGTGGTATAAAAATTGGTCGAAAACTATATAAAACTTTGTCCAAAACTATATTGTTTTTCTAGGGTTTCAGAAGGGACGTTAGGCAGTTTTTGGGCTCGATTTTGGCGCGTTTTGGGCACGAAATTAGGTGGCGTTTCAGCGTTTCGAGTGGTGGCCATGAGTCGAGCTGAAAGCGACAGGACGCGACAAGACGGTTATCACAAAGGCAGGCAAAAGTTCTTTTTTTTCTAGGGTTTCAGAAGGGACGTTAGGCACTTTTTGGGCTCGATTTTGGAGCGTTTTGGGCACGAAATTAGGTGGCGTTTCAGCGTTTCGAGTGGTGGCCATGAGCAGCAGCAGCAACAGGAGCAACAGGAGGGTTCTATGTCTCATTGTACAAACAGTGGTAAAACTATATTGTTTTTCTAGGGTTTCAGAAGGACGTTAGGCAGTTTTTGGGCTCGATTTTGGAGCGTTTTGGGCACGAAATTAGGTGGCGTTTCAGCGTTTCGAGTGGTGGCCATGAGTCGAGCTGAAAGCGACAGGACGCGAAAGACGGTTATCACAAAGGCAGGCAAAAGTTCTTTTTTTTCTAGGGTTTCAGAAGGGACGTTAGGCACTTTTTGGGCTCGATTTTGGAGCGTTTTGGGCACGAAATTAGGTGGCGTTTCAGCGTTTCGAGTGGTGGCCATGAGCAGCAGCAGCAACAGGAGCAACAGGAGGGGGGTTCTATGTCTCATTGTACAAACAGTGGTATAAAAATTGGTCGAAAACTATATAAAACCTTGTCCAAAACTATATTGTTTTTCTAGGGTTTCAGAAGGGACGTTAGGCACTTTTTGGGCTCGATTTTGGAGCGTTTTGGGACACGAAATTAGGTGGCGTTTCAGCGTTTCGAGTGGTGGCCATGAGTCGAGCTGAAAGCGACAGTTCTTTTTTTTTCTAGGGTTTCAGAAGGGACGTTAGGCACTTTTTGGGCTCGATTTTGGAGCGTTTTGGGCACGAAATTAGGTGGCGTTTCAGCGTTTCGAGTGGTGGCCATGAGCAGCAGCAGCAACAGGAGCAACAGGAGGGGGGTTCTATGTCTCATTGCACAAACAGTGGTATAAAAATTGGTCGAAAACTATGATATAAAAAGTGGTCGAAAAGTATAAAACCTTGTCCAAAACTATTGTTTTTCTAGGGTTTTAGAAGGGACGTTAGGTACTTTTTAGGCTCGATTTTGGAGCGTTTTGGGCACGAAATTAGGTGGCGTTTCAGCGTTTCGAGTGGTGGCCATGAGTCGAGCTGTTGCAGCTGACGTCAAAGCAACAGGACGCGACAGGACGGTTATCACAAAGGCAGGCAAAAGATCTTTTTTTCTAGGGTTTCAGAAGCAACGTTAGGCACTTTTCCCGGTCACTTTTGGAGCGTTTTGGGCATTGGTCGAAAACTATAAAACCTTGTCCAAAACTCTTGTTTCTCTAGGGTTTCAGAAGGGACGTTAGGCACTTTTTGGGCTCGATTTTGGCGCATTTTGGGCACGAAATTAGGTGGCGTTTCAGCGTTTCGAGTGGTGGCCATAAGTCGAGCTGTTGCAGCTAGCTGACGTCTAGGGTTTCAGAAGTAACGTTGACACTTTTCCCGGTCACTTTTGGAGCGTTGTGGGCACGAAATAAGATGGCGTTTCAGCGTTTCGAGTGGTGTCTCGCCCATGTACAAGGGCTTGGAAGGTTATCATGTCATGGGACTCAGAAAACCCAACAAATTGCCCTAACATCTCTCATACTTCAGAAAAGGTAATTCCTTTCCGGGGTCGGCGGCAGGGGCGGCAGCCCTTAAATAAACGTACATGCCAGGTCAAAACAATGCAAATGAAACTTTATATATTGATTATATATATATATAATATATGTATATGTATTATGTATCTATTTATTCCTTTATTTATTTATTTGTTTATTTATCTAATTTGTCTATTTATATATGTGAAACCTTCCTATTTTAGCACCGCTCCACGCTCATTTGCATGTTTTTTACGCACATGCTGGGTCAAAATTGCACGCTTGCAACCTTTCTATCTATTGTATCCCCAACCTATTTGTGCAGTTGGAAGGGCATGCTGGGTCAACATGTGTATTCACAAACTTGTCCTATCTTTAACTTCCCCTCCCACCTGTGTCCTCGGTATTACACACATATTTTTGCTCGATCCAAATGCGTGTTTGCAACGCGTCTATCGCCGCACTCCGAAACCTATTTGCATTGTTTAGACGCGCATTGCTGAACCAACATGTGAAGTTGCGACTTTTGCATCTTTTGTATCTCTCAACTACTTGCGCGGTTGGACAGACATGCCCCGTCAGTACTAGCACGTACTGGCTTTCATTGTTTACTGAGTTTACTGCCCTCTGGCGGTTGTCGTGGTTGCAGGATTCAGTTTTGACAGCTTGCAAAGCGCCTAGCATTTCTTTTGACCTAAGGACAAATTGAAGGGAAAAATACACCGCAAATGCAAACTAGGAACACACATCCTTCTGACAATCCTGATGCTTAGCAGCATTGGACCGTCTGGACATCGTTAAGAAATTCAAATGCGGGCAAGTTACGACATTTTGCTCTTTTTGCACAGTCTCGGCCAACCTGGGGCCGGCCAAAGTGATTTTAACTGCATCCAACGAACTGTATAGGATATAGCTTTTTTTGAAATTCTGTCTAAGCAGCTCGTTGTAAGAAACTTTGCCGTCTCGGTCGATATCTGTCATCTTCAAGACTGACCTGGAAAATGCGGTCAAGGCGGTCGAGCTTCGAATCTACCCAAGATATATTCTCAAGGCCCGAGGCTTTTGGTAAATTCAAACGCACTCTGAATGCCACACATGCGAGTTGGACATCATGACTGCAGAACTTCATAGTCACAAAGTCACAATATGGTTTCCCTCTTGCCATGACACTTGAATTCTTCGATCTCATTTTCCAAGTCTTCATGATAGCTCCTTAGCATCGACATAAGCACAGATATGCCAAAAGATTGCAGCAAACACAGCGAACACAGTCAAATCACCAGTTTCTGCCTGCAGGCATGCGATGGATTTTCGCTTGAGGTTCCTTCAAGCGGCGGTGAACAAAAACGCTTCACCATGGTTTTAGCATATCTAATGCTGCTTAGCGGCTGTATGGTTTCAGCTTCACTCTTCAAATTCTGAGCAGCCTCCACAGCACTGTCGACAAAGACGCCTTAGACTATCACCTGTTGCCCAAAACCATCTGAGGGGGCAAAACTATGTCATACTCTGTCTGATAGCGTGGGACATGCGTACAAATGCGAACAAATCGAACAAATGCGTTGTCAGGTAAGTGTGTGTGTGTTGGTTCATCTTTGCCCTGGATGGCTATCACGAATTACTTGCACTGCTAAAAAAGTTGCACAGTGTTTATCCGAAACTCGAGAGTCAGAGTTGCAAAGACATCTCTTCACACAGCAAAGAGCTTCAGCACAAAGCATCAAAAAAAGCATCACTGCTTGAGAATAGGCTGCCAAGGGTGACCACGCAACCTACATCTACCGGCCAAACATTCCTTCAGAGGCAGTTCAAAATTCATATAAGCATTCATCTCCAAGTTGTTTCTAAGTTGTTGGCTACTAAAGTATAATTTCAAATACAATGATCAAGGATGATCAAGGGATGTAAAGAGTACTCTTTGGACTGGCTCAAATGCAGCTCAGTGTCCTGTAACGACGTTGAAGAGGCCGATGGCACAGAAAGCAATGTAAAACACAAAGGTCGCAAAATATACCCAGGTGGTGTCCTTGGTTCAGCAGCTTCCAAAAGAGCCAACGTGGAAATCCGTGGGAAAAAGACATCGCACTGATGCGTCAGATGTATTGGGTGCTATTGGCTTTTGAATGCTGATGGTGAAATGCCAGGTCCACAGTCGAATTGTGGAACCTTGTGCCCCCAAACAGCGAAAGAGAAATTGTGGCTTTCCATGAGCATTCCAAACTCCGATTGGTTGATGATTATGTGCTATAGGAGATTATACAAACCCAATATGTTGGGGATTATCAAGATCCATTATCTAGGGAATCCCCATCAATCAACCAGTATGAAGGTACGACCCAATGTTTTGAACGCTGCTCATGTTGAAGCGTCGCTATCAGGACTATGCTAGGGGGATACGACCCGCGCATGTAACGTTTTGAGTTTGTAATTTACGACATGCATATAAAATCATATAAATGTCCCCTCCCCACATCTGGTAAGTTACAAAAAGATACAAAAAGGACATTGATCCTTCCCATTGAACAGCTTCGCGGCTCTTTGAACCTTTACGGCACCTTTGAAAAGAGAAAAAGAAAGAACGCATATGAAACCACGAACTCAAATGGAATTGATTGGAGATTTAAAAATAGGAAAAACATAAGAAGGTATCTTTGCTTTTTACATTCATTTCTTTGTATATTATTTTGTATTCATTTCTTTCTTGTCGGAAAAGCAGGAGAAGGCATGAGATGTTTTCGTTTTGTGTTTCCTATCTTTTTATCTCCAAATTTGTGGCTGTTGTTAGCTTATACGATCTGGATCGATCTGGTAGGGTACGCCTTTTTTTGGTTTGTCTTTCCCAGAATCCGTGTTTAATTTTGATCCCTTTTCCAGGAAAGCCTTTTTTCATTTTCTCAAAGGCTTACAATCTCACCAGAGAGGTCTGAAGCAGGCCTGAAGCAGTCTGAAACACGCGTTAAGACTCATTGACCAACCTTTCGTTCTGCGAGGTAATGGCATGTATGGTCCTTTGTTTTTTTGTTTTAACTTGGCATTATCGTTGTTGTTTATCGTTGTTTCGTTTCAGGGGGTCGGCCCTCTGCCAAAAAGGGTGAACTTTCGCGCCTTCTGTGGTTTTGAAAGTCATGGTGGAAAGCTGTGGAACGTCAAATGTCACCTTTCGCATTCATTCTCCTTTCATTCTCCTTTCCCCTTTTTTTCATCGTTCATTTTGCTTTCATGTCCTTTCATTTCCTTTCATTTTCTCTTCATGTTGCATTCATTTTTTGATTTTACTTTCAGTTCCTTTCGCTCATTTTTTCATTTTGCTTTCATTTCCTTTCATTTCCTTTCATTTTCTCTTCATGTTGCATTCATTTTTTAATTTTACTTTCAGTTCCTTTCGCTCATTTTTTCATTTTGCTTGCATTTCCTTTCATTTCCTTTCATTTTCTCTTCATGTTGCATTCATTTTTCAATTTTACTGTCAGTTCCTTTCGCTCATTTTTTCATTTTGCTTTCATTTCCTTTCATTTCCTTTCATTTTCTCTTCATGTTGCATTCATTTTTCAATTTTACTTTCAGTTCCGTTCGCTCATTTTTTCATTTTGCTTTCATTTCCTTTCATTTCATTTCATTTTCTCTTCATGTTGCATTCATTTTTTAATTTTACTTTCAATTCCTTTCGCTCATTTTTTCATTTTGCTTTCATTTCCTTTCATTTCCTTTCATTTTCTCTTCATGTTGCATTCATTTTTCAATTTTACTTTCAGTTCCTTTCGCTCATTTTTTCATTTTGCGTTCATTTCCTTTCATTTCCTTTCATTTTCTCTTCATGTTGCATTCATTTTTTAATTTTACTTTCAGTTCCTTTCGCTCATTTTTTCATTTTGCTTTCATGTCCTTTCATTTTCTTTCATTTTTTCTTCATGTTGCATTCATTTTTTAATTTTACTTTCAGTTCCTTTCGCTCATTTTTTCATTTTGCTTTCATTTCCTTTCATTTCCTTTCATTTTCTCTTCATGTTGCATTCATTTTTTAATTTTACTGTCAGTTCCTTTCGCTCATTTTTTCATTTTGCTTTCATTTCCTTTCATTTCCTTTCATTTTCTCTTCATGTTGCATTCATTTTTCAATTTTACTTTCAGTTCCGTTCGCTCATTTTTTCATTTTGCTTTCATTTCCTTTCATTTCCTTTCATTTTGTCTTCATGTTGCATTCATTTTTAATTTTACTTTCATGTCCTTTCGCTCATTTTTTCATTTTGCTTTCATTTCCTTTCATTTCCTTTCATTTTCTCTTCATGTTGCATTCATTTTTTTAATTTTACTGTCAGTTCCTGGTCCTTTCGCTCATTTTTTCATTTTGCTTTCATGTCCTTTCATTTCCTTTCGTTTTCTCTTCATGTTGCATTCATTTTTTAATTTTACTTTCAGTTCCTTTCGCTCATTTTTTCATTTTGCTTTCATTTCCTTTCATTTTCTCTTCATGTTGCATTCATTTTTTAATTTTACTTTCAGTTCCTTTTGCTCAGTTTTTCATTTTGCTTTCATTTCCTTTCATTTCCTTTCGTTTTCTCTTCATGTTGCATTCATTTTTTAATTTTACTTTCAGTTCCTTTCGCTCATTTTTTCATTTTGCTTTCATTTCCTTTCATTTTCTCTTCATGCTGAATTCATTTTTTAATTTTACTTTCAGTTCCTTTTGCTCATTTTTTCATTTTGCTTTCATGTCCTTTCATTTTCTTTCATTTTCTCTTCATGTTGCATTCATTTTTTAATTTTACTTTCAGTTCCTTTCGCTCATTTTTTCATTTTGCTTGCATTTCCTTTCATTTCCTTTCATTTTCTCTTCATGTTGCATTCATTTTTTAATTTTACTTTCAGTTCCTTTCGCTCATTTTTTCATTTTGCGTTCATTTCCTTTCATTTCCTTTCATTTTCTCTTCATGTTGCATTCATTTTTTAATTTTACTTTCAGTTCCTTTCGCTCATTTTTCATTTTGCTTTCATTTCCTTTCATTTCCTTTCATTTTCTCTTCATGTTGCATTCATTTTTTAATTTGACTTTCAGTTCCTTTCGCTCATTTTTTCATTTTGCTTTCATTTCCTTTCATTTTCTCTTCATGTTGCATTCATTTTTTAATTTTACTTTCAGTTCCTTTCGCTCATTTTTTCATTTTGCTTTTATTTCCTTTTCTTATTGCATTCATGTACTGTATTTTTTTTCGTCGTCATGTCTTTATATTTCTTTCATGTTCCGTCGCTAGAATCATGGTCTCACTTGTTTGAGCAGGCTTCCGTTTCGAGATTTTTATGGTTCTGGATGTTGTTTGATAATGTTGAAACATGTTGAAACCATGATTAAAGAAGAAGACTAACTTCTCGAGATTTCTTAAGGTTAAGGATGGCTCCCAGATCCTAAACATTTCTTCTAACCTTAAAACTTAAAAACCCGAAACCATCCAAAACCCTAAAATTAGAGATTCGGGGCCCGAAACCAACCAGGCTCGGGGCCCGAATCCGGGTTCGGGGCCCAAAACCGCCCGAAACCGGGCCCGGGCCACGAACTTCAGGGTGCAGTTTTGTTTCTTCTTGCTACTTCATGCGGGACGATGCTACTCTTAGGTTAGCGACTGTCTGAGGAAGTCATGAACCCTTTACTCGAAATATCTCGAAATGTTAGGATGTACGCGGAGACCCCCCAGCTTCTGAGAGCATAGACCAATACAGATCGCGCGGAGTTACCGGGGTCCCGTTTGCAGACTTTGCGACAGCGAGGCTCCATCACTTGAAGAGTTTCGCCGTAATTCATCCAATCCTGAATCTGAAAGCGAAGGGACTGGAGGTGGCTGAGACTTAGACAATAAAGGAATTGAAAGCACATAATAAATCTCTTGTCTTGTCTGAATTTGGGTGGAGCTCTGATATTTGCAACTAGTGAGAAGAAATGCCTTTGGCATTTCCCAGACTGATTCGCTAAGGATACATAATTAATTATGGGTGTTGGGTTGCGCACTTGTTTGCGAAATCCGCAACATCAATCGACCTTGCTCTTCAGGTTTCGGTGTTCCTTTGCAGACTGTAGGCCTCTTTCGTTCCAGTTGAAAGATTCAAGGGTCGTTTCCACCGCTCACGGCCGCCCAAAGTGAAATCATGATCATGTGCATCGAGCCAAAGTAGTCTTTGACCTTGGACAACCGGTGAGGACAAATATGTACAGATGTTATCAGATGTTGCCTCAGCAAATGAAACGGCACTCTATCACTTGGTATTCACTTGGTCTCAGTGTCACTCAATCTTCCATTGAAAAGCCAAGTGACTCTGTCCGCATCAGCTTGCTGTGCGCCTAGGATGAGTGACGTTTGAAAAGGTAATGACGCTGTCTCAAAAACACTTGAAGGCACTTGGGTGGGAACTCACCAACTACCTTCGGAGTCCCAAACAGAAAAGAGTGCGGTATAGCAGATAGATGCAGATAGCAGTAATTGTGGACTTGGGGCAAAAAGTAGATCAACATGACCGCGGGAAATTCACCGCGAAAGACATTTGTGTGTCGCCAAGCCACTGGTCAAATTCCCCACTGGCCCCAAGGACACGAAGTATTCGACCTCGACGACGACCAAAGCAAGGGCAGGCTTCAAGCGTCACAAATTACAAGTCAGATCAAGTCAGATCAAGTCAGCCATCCAACAGTTGATGCATCTTGCACCAATCCAGAGCATTATCAAAATTGAAACATAGGTTCATTTTGTTTCACTGCAGGTCTTAGAACGCTGAACAATCAAATTTTGCCGTTGCTAGACAAAGCATTTCCAGCGTTAAGTTGTTTGGGCCTGCGAAAGTCAAACTTCTGGATGTTGTCACTACAATCAGACCGTAAAGTCAAATCAGCATCCTTCAGTCCAGGCACAGCCCCTTCAGACAAAAACACGCCGTAAACGAAGAGGATCAACGCGATCTCAGTGTGCAAATATATTTGACAGTGGCTGAATGTAGACACAAACATGGGTGTATGCGAACGCTTCAAAGCTTCTGAGCCAAAGTTTGATTGTTTTCGTTGCAAATCACAAGTACTTTCGAGTGCACCCTAAAACCTGTCACACTCAGATCCTGACGACAAGGATGGACCAGAAGAGGTCAGCGAAGGAGTTGAGAACAGCAATCATCCTGACTTCAACTGACTTCTGTCTTGCTTGCTTTCCACAAGACAAACGCTACGCCGCTACACCTGCCTCTAGAAAAACATTTGCAAATCAGCGGCTGTTGTGGCCCGTTTATCTTTCTTTGGGCTGGCATGACATCTCCATTGGTGCAAGTCCAGGTGCACTGGGTAGAATTGTCTATATTATAGGATGACACGGCAAGATTTCCTACAACTTCCTACTCCTTGTAATGGCATGTACAGGAGCTCTTACCCTGGTGCAGAAAAGGGGCATGGTTCTTGCACTTCGGAAAACCTGAAACGGCCATAAGGCATGATGAGACTTGCTTGATGATGCGTGTTTCGATACTGTATAGCAAGATGCGGCAAAAGGCCGTTTAAGACATACAAGTTGATACAAGTTGTAGCTCTGGTTTAGAGCAGGTGACTAGGTCTTAATTTCTTAAAGAAAATTCAAAAAGGATACCATCCGATCACCAAAACACGGGGCACAGAGTGCCCAGCTCACTTGAGTTTGACGATGTTTCAAGAGATCTGGGCTGCCTGGGCTTGATAAATCTTGTGGCTTGATCCTGTGCCATGAGTGCCATGGTTCCAGGGCTTTGCAGCTGCCCCTGAGGATGTCCGTGAACCGCATCCCAAGGCACCTTCGGGGTTTTCATCATCCTCACCTGGGTACCGGATGGGACTCAGGTGTGACTCGGTGTGACTATTGCTGATCCAACATGATCCAAGATAATCTGCAGGACTTTGAACACGTCAAAACGTCCAGACAGAAGAGTCCAGTCTGCTTAAAGCATAAAGTCTCCATAAAGGCTCCAAGTAGAGGTGCTAAGTGAAGCTCAAGACTCTTTCAGCTTCTGTATCCAATCTTGCGACAAAGCAATTATTACAGTGTATGATTGGTTTGATTTGCATGAATAGATGCACTGGCATCTCTGCTTTCTTGTTTCTGGACCCAAGTTCTCTAGAGTCTAGAGTTTCCGGTGGATTCTGGTGGTACTCTCCTGGTACTCTCAGGCAGTAGCAATCCGCCCAGTGATTCGCGCCAAACGTAATACGCCTGAGTGCATGATGCGCAGGATAGAGCGTGCGTAGCTGGAACACTTTGACTGCAAGTGAAAAACATATTTCAAGATTCAAGACTTGTTTTGCTTCGTCGAACAAGGCTTCTGACCTTTCATGTCAAGTCTTCAGACTCCATGGTCACAACACGTCATAACACTCTTTTTGACACTCAAAACATGCCAAAATTGATCAAAGCAAATGATGTTTCTCCTTTCTGCAGTTGGCATTCCAACTTGGATGCCGGCCCAAGACGCGCAGCTGCCTCAGCACTGAGCCGAAAGAATGCAAAATTAAAAGCCAAAATGAACCACAATTCCAATTCAAAGCATTCTGGCTGATGTCCATTGTACACTCACATGGTGAAGCCCAATTTTCGTATTCGATTCCCCTTTTCTGGATCTTTCATGTTTGAAGCCCAATTTGTTGACAATGAGAGGGTATCTATGGGAAGTGATGCTTTTTTGGCTCGGAAGGTAATGGGGATTCAACTGCATACGTTCTTAGGCTCAATATTTTGCGAAGGCCGTCAAGCAAAACAACACCCTAGATCGCCTCAAAACTTGCATTGGCCACCGGGTAGAAAATGGATAGAGTTCCTTTAAATGTTCCTTTACCTCTCACTGTTGAAGATGTTGAAGGGCAAGGAAGCACTGGCAAGGGCAGCAAAGAGACCTCTCTGTATGAGGGGCGCTGGCAGTAGGGGAGAATAGAGAGGTCTCAGAGTCATAGGACTTACTCTTGCAACCGGGCCTCATTGAAGGAACACCTCATTTTGGATACATGACATATAGATCATATAGATACATATAGGATATTCGTTGGAATTCTCGGAGTGTTTCTGTGAGGGTCGTAGTTGAACAAGGGAAACAAAGTGACAAAACAACCCGGACTTTCCAACATCAGCAAAAATTGATTAAACAATTTCTGACTGCAAGGGATCGTTGAGGAATGCAAAACCAACCAGTTCTGATTGCGATGCAAATTTTCCATGAATGTTGGCTTTCCCAAACCCAGCTACGTCCTTTGCAAAACCAAGGCACGTAAGTTGAATGAAATCATAGAAAACTGTCACCCAAGCCTCAACGAGACTTTGTCATAATTTGAGGATATTCGAAGGACTCCTCTCGGGATATAAAGAGTTCAGTGCCTTTCAATGAATGGAACCCTATCAGCATTTCAATAAGAACGGATGTATCGCAACCTTTGCAGGATGCGTAGCTGGGCCGTGCATTATACGGCGTGCTGGAGGAATCGGAGAAAGCATTGCCATTTGCCTAGGGAAATGAATCCCTTTGTATCCCTTTGTGCTTTTTTCGAACGAAAGGAGGCCCTTTGTCTCGTGTTGTCCTTCTGCGTGTTGATGCTCCACAAGCACAAACATCGAGGTTTACAGTCATCTGAACTGATTGGCAAGGAAGCCCAAGACAGGCAACAAAACCCGAATGGATCATGGGACAAATGTCACAACTGGCAGATGCAATCAAGGCAGAGCAAATCCAAACATAAGACTTCACAAAACGATACAAAATGTACAATGAGAATCAATGAGATACAAGGCGTCAAAACAATATGTCAAGAGTTCTGATCCCTTGCAGTCTGCATTCTTTTCTTTGTTCCTTTGTGTCCAGCCTCCAGGACAATGAGGGAATCAAACATATTCCAGACCTGCCACAGGTGCACAAGAGGGTCAGCCTGAGTGCAGTGATGAAATCGACTTGGCAAATTCTGTGCTTCACTGCCACCCTTCAAAGCAAACGGAACAAAATGAAATAAACACGTCAAACATCGGATTGACATAACCTCAATGACATCACAGCAAGCTGCCTGATGTGGGCCCCAAAAAAAGTCTTTACCTTCGGCAAAGAGCCGCAGAGCCACTTCCATCAGGAACCTGCCATTGCCAGCACTGCCAATGACCAAGTTTTGCCAAAAGAAGCGTTAGGAGCTCTCGGTTTGTAATCCGTAATGCCGCATTCTCCCTTGGTATCTTTTGGCATCTCTATTGGCTGCAACGAATAAGCCGACTCATATTTTACGATCTGTCCACACCCCTGGAAGTTACTATGCAACGCACTGCCCATTCTAGATCCAAGAGTATCATGACCCAGAACTTACGCAAGCCCAGAACCAACAAGCAGTGAAAAGGTTCTGGAATCAACATGTGAACGCTACGAATTTCAACTTTTTCAACTTCACATCTTGGATTAGAGGGCTTGCCGCCATTAACTTCAGTAATTAATCAAATTATACTTCAGTGCTATTTCAGTGCTCAGAAACCAAATAGCGAAGGCCAAATCCACGTTCTGATCCTCGGTCTCCTTCACTCCGCCCGTCAATGGAGCATAGGCATTCCTGGCCCGGTGCAGTCTTCTGTCATAACTGTCATAACTGCGCACTTTCCCGAATGTCAAAAAGGAGAAGCGATAAATTAAATGAATGTGTTGACATCGCGTAAAGCCGCTAGCCGCTAGATCTTGCGAGGACTTTGATTTTGAAACTGCGGTCTTGTTTGTTTAGCTGCATCAAATCCGTTCCCTGAAAGACCATGGCGCTCAAAGACACCGCAATGACTTGCCCCTGCCTCAATCGCCAGTCTGTTTGAAAGGCCAACCAAATTGCATTGGCAAGGATGGCCATCATCACAATTGCCTGTCGATGCCATAAAAACAAATGCAAACGAGTCAAACGAACTTTCTGTCCTTGACCCTTGCTGAAACTGCATCAATAACAGCAAGTGTATATGAAGGAGATATGGTGTGCCATGTGTCTTCTGGCGCCTTTGGGCCCTAACATAGTACTTCCATCATTGAGTTTAGAAGCCCTTTTGCGAATGTGTCATTTCTCAAATACTTCACCCATTTAGACTGTTTGCACCGCGCTGGCCTTAAAAAGAAAGCTCGCCACAATGCGTTGAGCCAATGCCCGACTCTGCACGCAGCATTCCTATCAGCAATGCCGGGGTATCCACGAAGGAGAGCGAAGGGGAGATAATTCAGACGGTTCTTTGCGCAGCAGAGCAATGGCAGAAACACATGACACAAAGAGAAAGCATTCGACATAAACCGGAATCAGGCTGAGGCACCAAGAATGCTGAACTGTAATTAACATGTGTACTTGAGGACATGTGGGAGCTTTTTGAATGAAACAACACATCTTATAGCTTCCAGAAGTTGATAAGGGTCAACTGGAGGCAACAATTTCCGCATCTTGGCAATGCCGTGACATTCCCAAAGGCTTGTTCTAGTAATGAAATATTCCGCAAGAAATTGAGGCATTGCTAAGGATCTCTGACAGAATCTCAATGAAGTTCAACATCTTTGAACTTTCCCGAATGGCCCAACGAAGCCACACCCATGACGTTGGGGGATCTCCTTGGTACAGGACTTCCCTGAAACCTTTGGATCTGCCTCAGAAACTGGAGAAACAACTTTGAGAGCTAAAAGTTTTCAGACCTTGCAGAGATCCTTGTAGCTACATTGTAGCTGCCTCGAATCGTTTTGAAGCTTCTATCAACAATGGCAAATTGTGACTAGACATTGGACATATTTGGACATGCTGAAAGGACCTAGGGTTGGATTGATCGCCTTGGCTTAAGGCCTGACCACCTCTGAGACGCTTGCGCTGGTTGGTCGATGGTCCTGTTGTCACCAAGCTGGGCCCAGTTCAGTCAAGATTGAATCGTGTTGAACCCTGCCTTAGCACATTGCCTTAACATGCCTTAACTAGGGCACGTTGCCTGCACTCTCCGCTCATGTGTCATTTTGTTACATGGAGGCTGAATATCGTAGATCGGTTCAATATGGTTCAATCATGTCATGCTAATTTCATTTTTTCCAGGTTGACGAAGGCTGTCCTTAATGCTTACGCTACCAGGCTCGCACTCGTCCTGACCGAAATTTCATGGGGCATGAGCCCAAACAGACCATGTCAAGCACTCGCTTCATGAACGAACTCACAAGAATCTTGAAGCACTACAGTCGCACGAACCGTGGCCGCATTGACAAATCGATCGCTGCAAACTCTTGGCCGATCAAATCCGATCAAGGATCAGGGTACTGTTGGATGGCCTCTTTACCCACAAAGAAACCCATTTATAGAAAGGAATGAACCTACGAATACATAAGTAGTCATATTAATTATATAATTATACTCTATATATATATATACTTATACATTATAGACATAGTGGATTTCGATGCAGCCATGCAAACCACAGCAAGGTCTGCATTTAAGCTCAAAAACCATCAAGAACCAACTGTCCTTGACAGGGAGCTCGCAACTTTTTACTGCCATTTCCTTTGGATCCTTCTCCTTTGCCTCTGGAAGGTGATGCCAAAGAAACTCTGAAAAGGAACCCCGCGGGTGGACCTTTCGCATGCAGCCTCTTGTTCGGGTCTTTACTCCAAACCCAAATAGTCTCAATAGATCTCAATAGTCTCAATGATACGATCTTCCCTTCAAGCCTTTCACACCTTTCATATGAACAGCTAAACAACCATGAACGTAATGAACAACCAGCACTTTTCGGCCCAGCCTGACTTGACGGCCCACGGCGAAACCAACGAAGCACCTTCTCCAGAACACCAAGTTTGTTGGCGGTCTTGGCCTTTTTTTCTGGCCTTGGATGTGCAGCCACGCATTGAATTTCCATCATGTCATGTCCTGATCCTTTCCTTATAATGAGCACGGCTTCTCTTACCAAGCGCTACAAAATATTGTCAGTCTTTGCGATGCTGTGGAATAATGAGGGGATAGAAAACTGACCTTTTGGCATGAGATAGCATGAGATCACTGAGGAATCACCGAGGAAATGTCAAACCTGCAGCTTTCTTGCCCAGCCGCCCTGACACCCAAATCGCATATGTCTGGTAAACCCCCAGCAAAACAAGTCTGTGTTTTCATGCTTTCTCCATCCATTGATGTACCTGCATGACAAGCGTCTCTTTCCTCAAAAGATCCATAGTAGTCAGGGACAAAGGTCTCTCAGAAGTCTCCTGTTGAGTCTGATTGTGTCTGATCACAGAACGGCTGGGGGTTGGAGACTGTCTACTTGTACACACGGGAAGGCATCCGTGCCACCTCCTCTGGCTTTCAATCAGTTCCCCAGATTACCCTCCTAGTGATCTTTCTGATAGCCTTCACTTGCGATCCACATTTTGATACATTTTGCTTATCCTACCTAATTGTAGGCCAGTATGGAAACACAATCACCGCACCTTGTCACCTTGGACTTGCAATTATTTACTAACATTAGACATTAAGGTCACCTAGAAAGGTGTAGAACATTAGCAACTTAAGGGTAGTTCTGCGAGACTTTAGAAACAACTTAGCGTGCACTGTAAATTGAAACTCAGCACCTTGGACAGCAGCATGCCAACAAAACAGTAGCAGATCTGAACCGTGGGGCAAGGCACAAACAAAAACAAGCGCCTTGAAATGTTCTATTTTCCACTGTCTGTAGTCTGTACTGTATTGTTTGAATCCTTTTCTTGGTCCTACTACCAACAGGCCCTCAGAACAAATCCGGCCAGCATATTTCTCCGGACAACCTCTTTCATAGCAAAGTTTTAAATCCAAACATTGAAATCATTGAACTGAGTGCACCATAGTGCACCAAGTTAACTGAGTACATCTTGTCGAAGTTGGCAGCTGAGGAGTTGGCCGCTCCGTCCCCTGTGGCACCTGTTGCAAATCTTTCCGAAACGGAAGAACCGGAAGAACTGAACCAGTTGGATCAGTTGGATCAGTTGGACTGATTTTTGCTCTGAATCTTTGAGCCCGTGGCGTGTGAGTTCCGTTGGCTTCCCTTTGACATCCTGCGGAAATTCGCAGGGCTGCTATGAAACAGGTAGAGTAGAGTAGATATGTTTCCAAGTATTAAACATCAGGATACATCAGGTAAATATTGTGAAATTCATATTCGTGCAACATTTCTTTGCAACAGGCATCAATAGGCCTGGACCAGACCAAGGACAAGGATAGCTCAGCTTACACGTTTGACTACCCGACCAGCCCCAAGCTTGGAAGCTGAAGTCAGAGCTGACTCCCAGCCGTTCTGTTTGTTTGCTGCTGCTACAACATTGCTATATATATATGGATCTAGGCTGTGATTCTGAGTGCCCCAAACTAACACCCCCAAACATTCAGCATTTCCAGATTTTCCAGTATGCCCACTATGCCCAGTATGCCCAGTATGCCATCAAACCATCTCAAGCCATCTCAAACCATCTGCCTTCTCCTCGGATACAAAAACTCCAGCCATCGCCTCCCAAGGATCAGCCAAAATTGTGGGCCGAGGATGCCGAGGATGCCGAGGTAGAAGATGTAGAAGCAGGTGACGAAATGGTCGAAATGTGACACGATGTGACACGTGTAAAGCTCTTGTCTTTCTATCTGATAGAACGTCTGTTAGAATTGGTTAGATTTCAAACAGTTTCAAACGCCAAAGTGACTTGCACGTCTTTGTCACGGCAAACTGCACCTCTTCATGAGCTGCTTGCAAAGCGGCAATCTGCTCCAAGAGGCTGGCGCAACTTGCCTTCACCTCGAAGAAATGAAGTCGACATCACACAAGGAAAAGACTAAAGACCCCTCGAGCGAGGCGAGACAACTTGTCGACTTAACTTGTCCATTGTTACTGTTACTTGTCCTTACTCCCTTAACAATCCAATTTCCGAGGCTCTGTTCTTTTGATCTGGGTTTCCATGAGTCGCTTTCGTGATCGCCAGGTCTGAGATATTATAGACATTTTATAGGCTACGATTGATAGCCATGATATGCTATGATAGGATATGATAAGTGTCTCTGAAGCTGCCAGTTTGCAGCTTTCGCGGAAAGCCAAGTTCGCCTGAGACAAATTCTTGGTGAAGTCCTTCATCTCAACTTTGCCTCAGGAATCGTGAGGCAAAACGAAAAGACGAACTTTGATAGTTTGCCAATCACAATTGTGTCTTCCACTCAGAAAAACTATGATAAACTTAGATATGATAAACTATGACTACTGTATGATAAACTCAGCGGGTTCATTGGACTGTCAAGTCAAAGTGTGTCAAAGTCAAAGCCAGGATGCCTGTCATCCTCTCTGCAGGGATGTCGTGGTTCCAAGCCATGGCATCTCCACGCTGTGAGCCAACACTAAGGGAAATGTGGGACATGCGGGACATGAGGGACATGTCGGCACTGGGCTACACAGAAACGACATGAAACGACAGCCGAGTCCATATGCGAACACGCTTTGACTTGTCTGTCTAAATTTATATAGTTTCTCAAGCTTTGTTCCTTGCTGTATCTTGCTATACAATACTTTTTCAAAGCAACCAGTGCGAGAATGCCATAAAAAGCCATACCCCGACGTGCTCCTGACTTTGTTCAAAGGCACGCGTGGTTCTCATATTCGAAACAGGTGCTTGATAGGGGCTGTTTAAAGCTTCGACATGCCTAAGCCAATCACAAGAGTTCAAACATTTGCGATCGTTGACTACACACAATCTCGGTTCAGATCTTCAAGCTGGCTCATGTGGGAAACCTTGAAACATTTGAAACAAATGATATGAGAACCGCTGAAAGGATAGGCTCTGCTTTTCCCTTGTGGGAAAATGACAACTGCAGTTTCAACCCTCGCTTCTCGTTCCGATAAACGAAGGATGTGCTCCAGTGCTCCACTGGCGAGCCGTTTTGAACGGAAATGGAAATCAAACAACAAAACACTGATGATCATCATGATCGAATCATTACATGTTTGAATCCATGCACAATTCGAAGACATCGGATAAGAGCAGCAAATCGGTCAAATCGATCAAATTGGTTCGCTTTTTTGGAGCTCAAGAATTGATACCATTTTGAGGCCTGTCTCAACGAAACGTGGCTTGAATTGGTTTGGCGGAGTAGCTTATGGTGGCAGGCTTCCATTTATGAAACATACGACAAGTCAGTATACATATATGTATATATAATACAATATCATATACATATGCATATGCATATTACTAGTACTATACATGTATGTATATATATAATATTATAACTGTAGTATAATTAGTATATATTAGTATACTGTAATACTGTAATACATCCCTCATTACACATCGTACCTGTGGAAGTGCAACCTGTGGAAGTGCAACCTGTGTCAATCGTATCACATGAAAGCCTGAACGACTCTCGAAGACTGAGAAACTTTGATGTATGTTGGGGATTGTTGGGGGCATTTAGAAAGGACACAAGAACGACAGGACAGATATCGAGAGAGACGATGGAAACCACATTGGCAACGCAATCTATTGCAATCGACTAGCGATTCAATGGTTTTACATTGGGCGCAGTACGGTTTTGGAATGAGTTGCACAATAAGCTGCTCTGTGGCACGCTTTGGACTCGTCCTGCCCCTCGGCTATCCGCTCAATGCACAACGATTCTTGCTTGCAACTGGTATATAAACGAAAATCCAGAGATATCCGAAGGTATCCCCACATGCAGGATATGCAGGTCTGTCTTTCTGCCATGAGCAAACTTAAAAACCTGAGCGTCCTGAGCCTGAGAAGTTGAAAACCATAAAACGACTATAAATGACTAAAGATCACTTAGCCAGACCACGCAGCTCTGATTGACAGGCTGAAAAAATCAATTTGAGTTCAGCGTTCAAGCATCTTCAAGCTGAATGCTAGGAACAAATATGAATGCTCGACTTTGTTTCCATCCATTGGTTTCATGACTGGGAAAACATGTTTCTTTTTAAATACAAAGTGAAGTACTGGCTTTGGACAACAATTTCTAAATGTTTGCAATGTTTCTCAATCTTATCAAAACATGAGTGTGTGCACGCATTTCCTTGGGTACGAGGCCATATAGTCTACCATGGTCCATCATGGTCCATCATGGTCCATCATGGTCCATCTGTATTTCCAAGCTTGTGCCACCTTGTGCCCATCTCAAACAGTCTCAGACCTTCAAGGCAATGAACCTTTGCAATTGATCGTTCTCCTGGCTTTGTTTGCACCAACTCCAAATACTTCCACTGACTTCGTGGCACTTTTTTCCTACCTTTGAAATTCTTGATTTCAGCGTGGTGCTTTTTGCCTTCACTAGCATGGATCTTACTCGAGTGGCAGCGTCTTGAAACAGCTGTATCTCAGCATCTTCACATTAGCGAGTTATTGAAATCGACATATTCAGAAACGGCACACCTCCATTGCAAAAGAGATATCCTTCCCGTCCAGCTTAAGTCCAACAAAATTCGAACTGACGTGAACTTCTGACTTCATCTGCGTGATATCCTTCTTCTTGAACTTGTCGAAGCGCCGTTGCAGGTCTGACATGCCTGCATCAGTCTCCTGGCATCACGGTTACTGTAGTCAGGTTGATCTGAATGATCTTAGATGGCTTTGTATACAGGAACACGAGTACTCGCCTTATCCATAATTTGCGCAAAACAAAATCCCTACTTTTGACTCTTTCAACAACAAAATGAGATAAAATGAGTGCAATTATCTGCAATTCAACAATCCCCTGAAGCTTCCCTCTGTGTCATCAGGTCACAAAGGGATCTGCCGAAGAAACACCCAACTACAGTGGCATGAACGACAAACAAACTAGAACAACTATATGGGCAATACCAAACCTTAAAGCCTTAAACCTGTCTCTTTTAGATGCAGTTTCTGCCGAGTTTCATATTTGTTCAAGAGCTCAAAGAGCCGTTCAGCGCAAAGCTTTGCAGAACGCAGGACGTAGTGGGCACCCGCCCTTGGGGTTCCACAAACCGTGCAGTAGCAACATCATGCAACATCGGTCAGCATGTGAGCAGGATGTAGCAGGTACGAGTGACCTACATGTCAAGATTGTCAAGCTCTATCATGGAATGAGTTCGCGAAAAGATCTTGAAAGCCCGTACCCTCATAAGGATCCGACTGGTAGAGATCTGCTGCCTTACGGAAACAAATCCAGACTTACATGGGTCACCATGGGTCACCATGGGTTACCTTTTCTACAGCTCTCCCCCAGAATGTCTCAATCCGATTCCCTGCACTTCCACTGAAAGCACTAGCGCCTGTTGAGGATTGTCCGCAGTGACGATGACATGTGCCTTTGGCCACACACCCATAGCCACCTGCTACCGAGACCATCAAATATCTCCCAAGGTGATCCAATGCCATTCAATTCATATTGCATTGTAACGATTTCAGTTCAATTTTCAAAGCGCTATGCCACAATGCATCGAAACAAATTTCTCGAATGCCCGAAGGCAACGGAACAAGTTTCTGTCAAGGCATGGAAAAGGCAACGGTGGCCGTTGATGCCGTTGCCTTCAAGATCCTCATGTTGGTAGTGCCTCAGAAAATCTGTCATCGACCGACATCAACCGACATCGACCGACATCGACCGATCTGGATGCAGTGGTTTGTCATGGTTTGTCGTAGTCCTCATACACAGACTCCATATAGACTCCATAAAATCGGTTTCAAATCTGCTTCAGTCTACATATTTCTTGTGCATCGCAGTTGCATTATGTTTATTCTATGAATTCTCTAGTATGGTTTCTGAAACCCGCCCCAAAATGAGGGACAAACTTTGACTTCACGCAATTTGCCAAAATTTGCAATGCCAAATTGATCCAAATTGCCTTGAAGCATTGTGTCTGGGGTCGTCGAGATGATGATCTGCCAAGATTTCGCAGGTACGGGATGGAAACGGAATTTTTAGTTGGGCGAAGACATGGTCCGGGTCGTGGCAACCACACAAAAACCTGACATTTGGACAGCCATTTTTTCTCTGGTGCTTTTGGTATTTCAATGTGTTTGAATATGTTTGAATGGTTTTTCATGTTTTTGTCAATATCTTAGATGCACTGGATCATACTGGATCAGTGTGAAGAACAATGATTCAAAACCCGGGAATCGAAAGTGCGCCTTTGGCTCCCCATGGAAACAGTGCTCGAGAACATCAGCAGATGAGAAATCGCCTGGGCCCGAAGCGATGTGTCGGGATGTCACATGTGTTAGATGTGTCAGATGTGTCAGCTAAGAGCCTCTCTGGCCACCTCAATCCTCAAAATTTCGGTGAGCTACGAGCTACATCACAAGCCCTGGAGCACTTGGAACAAATTGAAGGAATCGCAAAATGGAGATTCTTTCGAAAAGATTGATCCATATTGATCATTATCGATCCATATTGATCCAAAGCGAAAATGCGGCACCAAGAGACCATAACTAAATTTGATACCACGTCGAAGCAAGGGCTCCTCCAAGCCACATGCACAGTCAAAATCATTCCAAACATCTTTCGACATATTTAGACTTTGCACTGCTGGTCTGCTGAACCTTGGACTCGAAGTTAAAATCAAGTCGTATGGTCCCACAATGCTTTAACATTTATATAACATTTATACACCCAAACAATCCCAAACAAAGTATTCTGAAGATTGCTGAAGAACAAATTTCAACGCTTTGATGACACTTTGGCTTGCGAATGACTTGAGACCGATTGCAACTCCAGCATGTACTGCTACATCCTGTCTTGCAAGCAGCTGTCCATATCTGTCCGTGCTTACCCAGTATATAGGATGTTCAATAGATGTTCCAACTTCCGCCTATGTGGACACATCTATACTGCGGTGCCTGCTGACCTTAGGCAAGTGAGTGATACTTGGCGTGCCAACTCATCACACCGTGCAACACAAAGTCACAAACGACGTAGTTCTAGTTGAAGGAACCCATTCTTGACTAGGACCCGGGGTTCCTGGTTAATTGGTTAATGCATGTTAATGCAAGGATCCTCGCGAAGAAAACATTCTGCCTCCGAAAAGTTCCTTGTAATCTGGCCATTTCATGCCATTTCTGATTTCTGCTTCCCTTCCGCTGAGTTGCTCTCTCCTATGCCTGAGCATCTTGGGGGTATCGATGCCAGTTTTCGGAACCATTGGACCACGACCCGAGTCTGCTCCTTGATATGCTGGTTCCATTCAACCACCTGGCGGGGACGAAGGCAAGAAAAGTGCAAACTTATCACAATCATGCAAAGATCTGCAAAGTAAATTCACTTTATTAATTTTTATTGTATAAATTTATATAACACTATATAACTCTTTCTACTATATTTTTGTACTATGTAAGTTATTCTAAAGTTTCTTAAGTTGCACGGACTCATGACAATCAATTGGCTGCTTCAGAAGGAGAAGCATTGGACGGGGGATGATCGGAAAGCCGGTAAGGGTAGGTAAGGATAGGTAAGGTGGAACGCAACTGTGAGAGGCAGACCTGAAATCTGAAGGAGCGGCGGATCACCACTCAATGCTGCATGCTGCAATGCAATATAATGTAATCACATGTAATCACACAAATCGCATGTATAATTCCGTGTATACTCTATGAATCTGTATGATACTTTTCGCATCTTGCAGATATGCAGAAACCAATGCTCACATAAAAGCATACCCTGAAGTATTGTAAGGAATGACAAATCGAACGTTCTAAGCTCCAACGATGCCATACGGTGCCCCACCTGCAACTTCCTGAGCAATTTGGGCGCATGCTGTTCAAACTCAGCCACCATCATCGAGGCGATTCGATGGAAGCCTTGGACATGTCGCAAGAGTGCAGTCGAATGGCTCGTTGATTCCATAGAGCAACGTCGAACAAAGCAATACAACGTATCCGCAACGTATCTGCATCGATGTAAGCAGAGCTTTCATGACAACTTTCTGTCATGTGTCTCAAAGTGCCATGTGCTGACTACAAACCTACTAAGGGAACTAATTGCAAGATGCCCCCAGGGCAAAAACCAAGACAAAGGATCATACATGATCACACATCGCGCAGATCAAACAGCTACAACATGCTACAACCTGCTCTTGTGAACTCCTCCAGAACAGCAAGGGATATAAAATAGATATATTATAAATTATTATAAATTATAAACATTGCGAGGTCGTAGGGCCATGGTCCTTTGGCATTATCATCTGGCGCGTCTTGAACCTTCAGTGTACTGCGCCTTCACACGCCTTCTACGACGTGTGCAGGGGGTGAAGAGGGACAGGGTCACGTTCGCCCCTACCCCACTTACCTTTCTACATTTTCTATCATTTTCTACTGTATGACGACAGGGGGTCTTTACGATTCTTTACGGGGGACTGGGGAGCAGGGGTTTTCGGGGGACCAGAGCACCAGACTTACCTTCCTTGAAAACACATCTTTCGTGCGGTCCTCCAAAAAATGGATGGAAACTTGACATATCTCTACGAGACTTCGTCCAAACTGCGAATGTTAGGTCGATGACGATTACCTCTGAAACAATCTGAAACTATTGCCACAGAAAACAATGTAGGGTCACATTCGCCCCTACCCGAGGGTCAAATGTGGCGCCTGCCAGTGGAGGAGGCAACCGCTTTTCAAATCTTTTCAAAGTACAATTGGGGCATGCACTGCAAAAGGGCACGCACATGAACCTGCACGATCAATATTGGCTAGCCTGTGCGAAAACATTTGCTTGCTTTCAGGCCTTGAAACGCGTTCAATATGTTTAAACCCAAACACAATATATTTTCAAGAAGACAGGAAGTGGGCCATGCAGTGAGCAGCACACGGCACAGTGAGCACTCCCGAGTTCGCAACCGAGCAAAAGAATGTCGCGCTCGTCTTCATCATGCCTCGGCGGTCTTGGCGTCATGGCAGTGTGATGGAAGCCACGACGAATCCAAAAACATTCCGAAGCCGCCCAAATACATCCAATATATTCCAAATACAGTACACAGAATACACAGAATACACAGAGTACACAGAGAATGATTTCAGGGTACTGGACTCCACTGGATCGCTGCACTTACGGCTTCAAGCCCCAAGCGTTGGATGGTCATCTGAGTCTGCAATTCCGCGGTGCTTGAGCACCTCAGACGATCACAGGGTGACAGGTTAACAGGGTAACAGAGTGACGACAGGTTGAAAGGGTGAGGAATGTCAAAACTCAAACCTCATGTCACGTTCAGAACGATTGAGTATGCTCCAATCCTGCATGTGCAGATCGTGTGCAAACATATGCAAATCCCTGTTTGCCCAGAGCTGAACTTATTCCTACAGCGTCTCCAAAGATCTAGACCTCTGTACATTGGAATCGCACATCTAACACACATGATTTATACATATATGATCATATAATATCATATATGTATGTATATCATTGCATATCGCACTTGTGCATACCGCATGCAAGTGCGACATCCCTGTACTAATCAAACTAATTCAACTTCAAAACACGTTTCGTATAATTTAAGATACTTCAACATATAATTATATATTTAAGATAATATAAGATACACTTGATTAGATACATTTGATATAACACATATTGAGACATATCAACACATGATATTTGCATCTGTGAGGCTTCTAGTCTCATGTCCCAACCGCTACGTCGTTACGTTCCTTCGGCTCTGCACCTTGCGAGACAGCCACGCCAGCGACCTGGCAGAAACTTGACAACAGAAATGCTGAGCCAAGGCTGTTGGAAATGTGTAGGAAACATGAAGGAAATGTGTTGTGAAAAACAATGAAAAATACATAGAGAAGATATGTAAAGACATGTGTAGAAGACATATTACTATATGTCTGATTCATGCTGTCTGATGAATCCATGGGGGCAAAAACTAACAAAATGAGACGCCAAACAAAATGGACGTTACACCAAAGCTCACCTAGCTATCCAAACTGGTAATTAAACATTATCAAATGATAGAAATGCTTCACAATGCTTCCACTGTTGGACTCCTCCAACAGAACCCTGGAAATCACCTGTCCTGGAGAAATGCCAATGCGAGGCAAGACAATGAACTATGTGGTATACAATATTATACAATATTACTATCATATTACTATCATATGAATTCATATGACATTGTGACAGTTGAGCGCAGTGAAATCCGGATTCCATAGCTTGCAAAGAAAGAACACAAAACAAGATATGACAAGATATGACAAGATATGACAAGGCAACGAAAAACTAAGACAAAAGGGAAAAGCAAAGGCCCAGGAATGACAACAGCAACATAGTCTTTGGGAGGCCCCTTCGTACGCTCTTGGTTGCACATTATGCTTCCAAGCTGAACTATGGCTGTGTCCAGCTTCCAAGCACAAGCATTGAAATTCCTCCGCGAACAATCAAACACGTTAGACTTCATTAAACGGGAAAGTGGCAACTTGCAGCAACCGATCCTTCTGTTTGAATGGAGATACTTGCAGCAATCTGGTTGGATCTGCTGGGTATCTGTTCATTGCTGATCTGCAAGAGGCCTTGCGTCTTGCATCCATGGAGGTCTTCTCAGCTGAAGGTCGACCCCCACTTTTCACCCGCCTGAAGATCTGGTGGTTGTAAGTCATCAAATTCGATGAAAAGATTGAAAGCACCATGAAGACCTCGGATTGGCAATATGACAATCTGCCTGGCTCATCGCAACATAGCAACATGACGAAACGGCAACATGACACCTATCTAGCAAAGCTTCTTTCTGTCGTGAGAAGCAGTTGAACATTTCACTTCATATGGATGAATGTACATATAGATAATGTATATACATGTATATACTATATACTAATAGTATCTATACTAGTATAATCTAGTATACATGTATTACATATACACATGACGCATCGTTTCTGATGCCAGGATCAGGGATCGCACTGGGAGTCTGTCGCACAAAATCTGGGTCTACTGGGTCTACTGCCCAAATGATAATTTCCAAGGTGGTCTCATCGATGTGACCGTAGCTCATACCTGAGTTGACAATGAAAGACTGGAGCTTCAACTGTTCAAATTTGTTCAAGACCTTTAAAATCCTTTAAAACAAAAGCCGAGAGTATGCTCGTGCAAATATGTGCAAATACGAGTTCTGATCCCCTAAGATTTCGCCTGTTGGCACTTCAGGTTTAAGCAGAAACATGCAGAAACCATTGCAGCAGAGGTTCCAAGTGAACAAATCACCTTGGTGCTTGGATTTGTGGCGCATCCTGCATCCTTTTTTTGAACAAAAGCGCTGATACGAAAGGCTTTGAGATGCTTTGAGTTCAGCTAGGTAATGATGTGAATCCTCTTTTGCCACAAGCACAAGAGACTCAAAACTAAAAGATAATCATCATGAAACGTCATGACATATCATATCTGGATTCCAATGACTTCATATATCTTCATATCTGCGGAGATCTGGGCAGCACATGAAGCAAGTGCGGCGTATATCGGCAAGCTTTGCATCTGAGTGGCCAAGGCAAATTCGGAAATCTGAGACAAATTTAGTGTGGCAAGGATTCCCAATCGCGCGGAGCCACCCAACATGTAGACCAGGGAGAAAATACCTCAGTGAAGGGTTCCTCTCTCTATATATAATATATATATATATGTACGTATGTGTATATATATATATACGATTATATACGTATATATAGTATATATAGTATATAATAGATCGGGGTGCCAATTCATTATGTGAAGCTGTGCAGGAGTTTTAGAGCGGTCTAACTTTTGTGCATAGGCCTCAGGCTTTAAAATGCACAAAAACAATGAAAACTGGCTCTGCAATAAAATGCCTTGCCACCAAATTCATGCTTGAATGTGCATCCAACATCATCCAATTTCATCCAATTTTGAAGACCCTCAGAAACGCATCTTTAAAAAGAGGTCAGGAAATCCATTTTAGATAGGGGTATTTTAGAGTGAAGGTGCCCAAATATTTAGTGTGTTTTTTTTTTTTTAAATAGCATTCTATAGCAACAAAATACGGTGGCATTCTTTCGTGGCAATTCCTTAAAATTCCTTTAAATTCCTTGAAATTCCAAAAAACTCCTTAAAAATCCTTAAATATCCTTTAAAATTTAAAAGCATTAAAGATCCTTAAAAATCCTCCGAATTCCGTCAAATTCCTTTAAATTCCTTTAAATTCCTTAAAATTCCTCTAAGGTTCCTTAAAATTCCTTAAAACTCTCTAAATTCCTTAAATTTCCTTATAATTCCTTTAAAATTCCTTGTAATTCCTTTAAGATTCCTTAATATTCCTTATAATTCCTTTAAAATTCCTTCAAATTCCTTAAAATTCGCTGATCTAAAATGACATGCCCAATAAAATCGATATAAAAAGATCCTGGAAAAACACTGGTTCCATTCTGCAATAAAATGCTTCAAGCAAACATTTTTTTGCAATAAAATGAGAATGGAATTTTAACATGTTAAAAATCATCAGGATTTACCTTTACAATAAAATGCTTAGCCCAACCCCCCAACAATAAAATGACTAGCCTGACATCAATTTTAAAATTCCAATACATTAAGAATTTCGTTTAAACTATGCACAGGTTCACCAGTTCTAGAGTGGAAATTGCCACGGGGATTATAATAGTATATATAGTATATGTAATAGTACTATATGTGTGTCTCCTTGCAACCTGCATTGCACTAGCACATCGAACAAACACGTTGATTTGTCTGATCTTGAAGTTGGCATCCCGAGACCATTGGAAACTACGACTATCAATTTCGATCAACTGGTGTCAACATTGTCAACTTCCTTAATTTCCTGAAGAAGAATAGACAACTGTGACAGCAAAATCAGCAAAGGTCTGGAGACATCATTCCACGCATTCCATGCATCGTTCATGCTGGTTCGAGTTGCCCAACCAGCGGAAGATCAAGACAAAGATGGAGATCAGCAACGCCGTCAGGATGGGCTTCAGCGAAGGCACAGGGATCTGAGCCATGTCTGTAGGTGGAGAAAAACGACAAATTGGCAAATTAAAACATAAAATTCATAAAAAACAAACAAATCTAGTGATATCTATAGGGATAGATCATGATAGATCGCCATGACACCGACAAATCATGATGAATCTAAGACCGCCTTTATGACCATGACAGCATCACTGGTAACTTAGCCTAGAATCAATACTCTAAGGCCACGTATTGCAACACCTTCAGTCACTGTGATCCAGTCGCAGTGTCTACTCACACAATCTCAACATGTGCTCAAGACGAGTGCTGGACAGAAAAACCAAACAGGCAGTCGTTCAGTCACAAGAATGACAGGATCCTATAAGAAACATAACACTGACAATAGAAGGACACTCCAACCACAAACACACATGTAAAAAAACAGAGAAAACATTGATGTTTGTCGAATCATGCAACACTTGCCGATTCCTTTTACTCTGCCCTCCAACATCTACCGTAAGGTCCATGTGAAATGAGTCCGACAAGATCGAGAGGGTCAACAAATGTTGGTCCTGCATTCCCAACGCAGCAAAGAACAGCGTGATGAAGAAGTCACGGATGTATTTGATCTTTCCGTTGAACCTGTCTGCCACAGAGTCTGCATCATTCATCATCATTCTGCATCTCTGTGAAGGTTCATGTGTGGTCAGTTTAGGTGTTGCAACAAGTGCAATTTGGAAGTTCTGCGACTCTCCAGGTGATCTTGGCAAGGCTGTCTGCTCTCAAAACTTCAACGTGAAACAAAAGGATACCAAATATGGTTTCAGAAACTCCTGTGCTTTGCATGGGAGCGTTGCGTTCCACATATTTCATACGTTTCATCATTCTTCTTCTGTGCTGTGAAACATGCTGAATTCAGCTTCGTTGCTCTGCACTGTATGGAAAGGTCGCAAGAGCTACTCCAGCAATCAAAGCGGCCAGTTCCATTCCCACGCCAACCTGTACACAGTACTTGATGCTTGCCACACTTTGCCACATCTTCGTTTTTGGTCCTTCTCTCGCACGTCAGTCAAGAATTCTAGATTGCCACTGTGGTTGCGTAGAGCTTTGCAAACCTTTTGAGCTCAACACCCAAGGAAGATGTGCGGTGACGCCCCTGGAAGGAGTGTGGGCACTAAACAACATTAAACAACTAGAATCAGTCATGATGTTGGTCCAACCTTCAGTTGATATACCTGACATTTCCAGAATCTGTGTTTCATCTTCTGCCAGAGGACAACTTCAATTCTTGCGCACATCTTTGCACCAGTATCCAAATGCTCTACCACTTCAAACCCGAGACAAAGTGATTCAATTGGAGCTATGCCTGAAACTTGCAGTATCAGAGTTATCAGTGAGGGCATGCGAACTGGCTAAGTGTCATGCATAAAAAAGCACCAGGACAAGGAAAGCACCAACATTAGCTCAACGCTCCTGGTGGCCAAGCTCAACTTCCAACACCGCTCAAATCCGGACGAAACTTTGGTGCCATCCAAACATATCACTGTCTCTCAACTTTCTGTCAACATAATTGAGATATGGCTTAAGAATGCTTAAGATATGATAAGACCATTGAAGCCTACTTGGGACAGGGTGCTGGCCATGCAAACCCAAACTTGGCCAGAAGGTCTGTTAGAATTCCTGGATGCAAAGAAGAGCACGGCAGGCATCACAAATTTGGCATAGCCCAGGGCCAACACAATGAGTGCTGCAATCCTTAGCATGGCTTCTCTGCTGAATTTTTTTCAGAACTGTTGCCACTTCTGTTTCTATATCTCGCCATATACTGGAATCTATTCAGATTCAGTTGTTTAACAAGCACCACAAATATGTTTCAATTACTCATTTGCAAACAAGGCTTTACAGTTTTAAAGCGACTTTGGCATCTTTTGCCACGACTTCATGGGTCAGCCCACAAAGTGCACAAACGAAACGTCCGCAAGCGAATGAAAGCGAAAAGAAATCAGGGCATTCTCAGCGGCTTTCCGGGCTTGCTGGAACTGCAAAGTTTTTCATTTCATGTTGCCTGCTTTAGGCCAAACTTGGCCTCCTTTCTCCTTGCTGACAAGCAGCATTCCGAATTGCTTGCCTTGAAGGCTCAAGAGACTTGACAGGACATGGAGAATTTTGTTCAGGAAATTTGCATTAACAGGTTCACTCAAAGAAGCCTTACATTGTACTCTTGAACTTATGTTCATATCACATTTGTATCATATTGTGTCTGTTGTACATTGTTGCCCCCTTACCTTCGTTCGCCTTACATTGTACTCTTTAGCTTCATGACTTGGGCTAGGAGTTGAAGAGCCGAGAAGCACAGCGTAAGCAGATCCGGATTTGCCAAGTTTGGTTGGATTGCCAAGAACACCATGGCCCAAATGTCCTCGCGTGGATAAGTTCAGCTTAAAAATTCCATCCGACAGGCCACTGGATGCAACATACCACATATCGCAGGCTGCACAGCAGCAGCTTCGTGCTAAGACTGCTAAGTGCCAAGACTTCTCTGCGGCAAACAGAGCAAAATGAATCAACATTGCATGAGATGCTGCAGATTCAGCTCAAAGTGAGCGGCCATTTCGTGGAAGTAACACATAGCAATTCCAGAGGGCTGCTGGGAATTTCAATCAAATGCGGAACGCGAAAGCATTCAGAAGTGTTGGCATCTAATGTCGTCCTGGAAGATCAAGATACCGACTGTCAAACGCCCGTTGGGCCTACAAAGTGAGATCAAAGCAAAGAAATATCAAAGGAATCTGCTTGAAGGTTTGCATGCGTATCCTGCGTATCCATCTCGACATACACGTTGCAACATGTTGTAAGATGTTGTAAGATGTTGCATGTTTGTAAAGAACATTCAATTACTTTGTATCGATCAAATAGAACAAACATAGCAGAGATCAAATCTATAGAACGCGTCAACATTTTTGGCGTTCAGATTGTTTTTTGGCTCCGAGTCAATCTGCGCCTTTCCGTCTCGCCCTTTTCGGAAAGCATCTTGACCACCTGCATGGAGATACATGAACATCAATGTACATCATGGTATGAGTACAAGGACTGGAAGGCCCTTTGCCATGTCACCCAATACGGCATCACATTTGAATACATTTGATAGATTGTCACAGATTGTCCCTTAAGAACTTCTTGTGTCTTGTTGCTCTCAGCTCTCGAGACTTAGTTCAAGGCAATCATCGTCGATGAAATTGCGCAAACCAGGGCGCAGTACCTGGATCAAGAGACAAAAAAGGTACTCCTACACTAATCCTCCCAACGGAGCAAGACTGTGCCTAAAGGTTGCGCAAAGTTTCTTCATACATCTTCTGCGTATGTTGTCCTACCTTGGAAACTCCACAGCTCTTTCCCTCCCAAGCCCTGCTTTCATCTGAGTCTTCTTTTAGTCTTATGTCATCTTATGTCATTCTTCTTTTGGTCTTCTCTTAGTCTGTCCTTTCATATTCCAGTCATGTCTCGGAGCACTTCTACGGACCTGCCCTGGCTATGCTGTCTATGCTGCAGCTTTTATAAACTTTATAATTTATATATATTTACAGCCGGTTCCTGAAAACAAACGCTACAAAACCATGCTTGAAAGCATCTGCTAAATTTTGTTGCCTCATTGCGAACGCGACATTGGAAGGAAAGCGGGGCGCGACATTTATATGCTATGCATACAGGGAAACGACAATGTTACGCCTAAGTCATGCCTAGCGTGTTTTTGAATGGCATTTACCATTGTAAACGCTGTATCCAAGAAGTCATGCCTAAGTCATGCCTAAATCCTTTTCTGCATGGAACGCTGTCCTCAATAAAAGTGTAACTATGCATTTTAGACATTAAAAAAACATAAAAACACAATGGTCAAGGTTTGGGCCCAGCAAAATGGCTAGATCGAGAACCATCCGTTGAATTGACAGCTTCTGGTGGGGGGAACCTTCAACATCCTTTATTATTAAGCAAACAAGAAGCTTATAGAAGATTGAAATTCAAAAACAGGATCATCTGGGACGAACATCCAAAATCATCAAATCACCAGCACAACGCCATCTTACCTATAACTAATCAACATACCCACAACCTGTAATTCTGCATGCTAATAGTGATAAGCTACGTGATCTCATAAGAAAACGGGTTACATATCCAAACTCCAGAGTTCCTATGCGTTCTTGCTAAAGGCACGACTTTTGCGAAACACACATCCCCAAGACACAACGATTTTTTCTTAAAACAGGTACGACTTTGTCAGATGCCTGTATGCTGTGCATCTCTATGCAACGTTGATCCCCTGGCCCAGATCGCTCAAGAGCACATCACCGCGGAGTCACCAGCGCCCATGCTGAGCCCAAGGGCATTGAGTCCCGTGAAAATGAGATACTGTGCCTGAGAACGGTCACAAGAATTGTCAAGTGCTGAAAATTGTACCTGCGAAAGACCTGGAAGACCTGTCGCCTTCTGTTTAGGATGACTCCATCACTCAGTTTTCACCATCACAGTTATCACAATTCCATGTTCCGCCAAGGCCCGCACTCCAAAGCAAACAGGGAACTGGAAGAGTCCCGTCAGCAAAACCACGCGACCCATCTGGCACGACAGACACAGCTCTAAACTGTCCTCTGTCCTCTCAACAGCTGAAGAGAAAGTCTCCCAGAAGACTATATGCAAACTTATACAGTGTACAGTACTTGCTGGTGCATTATGTTGCAATGATTTCTCTTGTTACTTGAGGTATCTTGAGATCGCTCCAAGTGGCTCGAAGGATTTCGTGCACATCCAACTCGAGGCCTCATGATGTTTCTATTGAGTTTCACTGTAGTTGCAAGATGTTGCAAGTAGATTGATATATTAGATTGATTATGTACATCAATATCATCAATTTACTACGCTGATTTACTAAACTGTGAGCTTTTTGTTCTAAGCGCTTTGGACATCTGACCTGAGGCCCTGATCCGATCATGAAGAGTAGGAACACCAAACCCAGATTGGCGATCTCTGCGACCTGGACGCTCGCGTGCGCCCAAGATTGCCCAAGTGCGTTGCGACCATCATAATAATCATAATAATCATAATACCAAAATATACAAAATGATACGAAAATGATGCGAAACGTCTATTCAGGCAATGAAGGTCTCAATTCTTATGAATTCAACAGGACTTTCAACTTGATCAACTCGGATCTGAATTTAAGAACACTTAAATATATTTAAGAAATATTTAAGATATTTTCACCTGTCACTGGGAGTCATTGGCTGAGTGGAGCCTGGTGGAGCCTGGGCTGCGCTGGGAGTCTGGCGTTTTCATGACTGTGGACGAGGTCAAGTCCAAGATTGGGCCCAACGACCACCCCACCTTGGCGCAGTCGCATGAGGTGCATGTTCCATCTGAATATATCTGAATGGAAAATAATGGAAAGTTGTCACATGTCACATCCGACTCAAAATTTGTGTTTCTTTTGAAAACTGCTGTTTTAGATTGTTTTAGCATGTTTTAGCATTAGCCTTCTGCACTTTTGCAATCCAGCAACCAAGCAGATATCCCAAGATCAGTGGCTGCTTGCACAAACCAACCTCAGCAAGGTGAATCCTGTGTCTGTCCTGTCAATCACGTTCATAAAGCCAAGCAAACAGAAACTCGCAAAACATTCGAAGTAGTGGCAAGCTTGAAATTTGGACATAAGAGCTAGTCACTTCAGATATGAGGCAATCACTTGCATCAGAATCATACTCTTTCCTTGTGTTTTTTGCTTTTTCTAGTCCTCTTGTCTGCATTCCCACCAACACTAGGTGCCAAAAGCTGACTTCCGGCAGAGCAAACTAACAAACCTGACCTTTTGCTTGCCAATGTGCCAATCAAAGTGACAAATGACTACACAGTCTACACGGTCTACACCTCCACGGCTGGGACTCAGGCAAAGAAAGCAACAAGACCGCACGTGGTCAGGCCTCAAGGTCTAGGCTTCGGAAAGCAATATCTATTTAGCTCTTGGTTTCTCATGCCTGCTTCAGGGACAAATGCAGTTAGCCATTTGCAAAATCATGCAAAATCAATTGCAACATGATGATCATTGGAAATCATGGAATCAAAGCAACGCATGATTTCAAAACTTAATGCAAACGAGCGGAGCGCAAGCTGCAGAGCCAAAGCGCTTACCGTATATCACACTAAATCCGTAGCATCCGTATGCGTCACATGCACAAACCTTTCCAAGCAAAATGGCTTGGTTTCAGACGTTTCAGATATTAGATATGCACACATCCTGTCAACACTTGTCCTGGACATCAGTCGTGTCCTATCGTGTCATATAACATGTCACACATGTCACATGTTGTTGTGCCATGTTGTGTCCATTGGTCCATTGAGTTGTGGCTCGTGTGGCTCGATGCACTGAGTGACAAACAATAAGCAATGTTTTGCAGCAAGACAGACACGCCACCTAGCGTCGCACACCGTGCTAGCGTGCAGTGACAACTTCAAAGAGCTCTCTGAGAACCTCAAATGATCTGAGATCATCACCACCCAACCGTCGTCGATGTGCACCATGTGAAGTCTGGTGGGTGTCCGATGGCTCTGTCACCTTACGGAAGGAATCCTCAAAATCCATTAAACATCATTAAACAGTATTTTAAATGTATTCCAAACCATTTTGAATCTGCAAAATTTGTCATGAACAAACTCCAGGATTCAAGCAGAGTTATGATTGGGGAGTGAACTCAGGGCAATACACATTCTTAAATAAACAGATTAAAAAATATGCGAACTCTCTAGCAGCAAGGCAAAAAGAAACAAAACAAAAGCATTGACAATCTTTAACACATGAAAAACACATGGAACAGGTACAAACGGTGTGATTCTGCGGCGTGCCTCATGAATCTCATGAGGAATTGTAGAAAGATGTGGAAAGCCCATGCCCCACCCAAGATCCCAACAGCAACAGCTATAGAGTGCACAACTCGCACAACTGCTACACTCCTTCGAAACACGAGTTGCTCCGCTGCGCAAGATTGCGCAAGTCGGGCACCAAACATGGGCGAGTGACGTGTACTGAAGCCTCTGTGGAGTGCTCAGAGTGGTCCAAGTGGTCCGAGTGCTCTGTGGCATCTGCATGCTCTGTGTGCGCGTCCATCGAATGCTCCGAATGATCGCCCGTTGCATGCTCCGTGGAGTGCTTGTCCGCATGATCGTCGTGAGCACCGTGGGATTCAGCAGCCTGACAAAGAAACATCATGGGATGAGCAAAAACAAAAAAACACTTCAATGAGTCTTCAATGCAGGTCAATGCGGATCAAGTGGACCAACCAGTGACCAACCTATTTTGTAACTGTTGCAATCTGTTGCATGTTTTTTCGGATCAGCATTACGCTTTCCGCTTTCCTGATCTTGTCTTCCCGCAGGAGGAAGACACTATTGGGAAACATCGAAAGACAGGATGCTCCAAGGTCCAAAATATGGCAGGAAATCCAACAGCTGCGAGATTGGACAAGATTGGACAAGCAAATGTGACACTGCGACACCACAGAGGCAACACAGAGTGCCACGTTGGAGAACTCGCAACTTCTTGCCAGGGGACTCGCATTGCTTCCAGTTGATCTCCATAAAGACCCTCAGAGATGGCCCCCAAACCTTGGCTTCGGGTCAAAGCGAATGCGCCTGTCCAATTCGATATGAAACTTCATTGGCATGCACTGGCTTCATCATACTGTCATCACGAAAAGACTCTTACAGTTCCACCACAATCCTTTGACACTCCGACTCTCAAAAACATATGAAACATAGAGCACAGCGAGGCGCAGACTGGATTTTGAAAGTTCATGAGAGCTCATCCTAATCACCTGTCCCTACCCTTTGTCCCGATTCACACATGATTTAGTCTCATCGAGGAACTGGTGGAGGATGCCATGAGCACAAAAATCACAAAGAGGAATGCAACTGTGAAGATGCAGAAACGCAACGGCCTCGTCTCGGAACCCGAGGGTTTGGAAATAGTATAGCGATGCGTCATATTGTCAAATGATCATATAAATCACAATACATATATATTTAAGCTAGCACCAGTTTTCCACACAGCCAATTTGGGGATCATGGTTGGGGTCACGGCACTAAAGAGTGCAAACACCCTACAGGGTCATAGCCCCTAAAGGCCTCACCCAACCTGCCCAATTAGAAAAGGGGGACAAAAAGAAAAAACACTTGGGACAGTGGCTTCAGAGCCGGCTCAAGAGCCACACCTGTCCCGGCGGTTGTACTCAAGAGCACCAACCTGCCCACCCCTTTTTTAGAACTGGCGTAGCTATCTGTGGAGGAGTAGACACCAAAACCTACGATACTGAGCTACTAAGCTTCGAAGACCTTCAGGAAGGTGCATTTTTTGCAAAGCAGCCCTAGCATCGTCAAGGTAAATTCGGGCCGTACGCTGATCTTTCCAGCGGCCCTGGGTGACCACAACGTCCAAGCTACGGGAACGCACATAGGCGTCCGTTGCCCCACCACGGCGTAGACTATATACTGAAAAGGAGCACGGGGCAGGCTGACAGTGCTCCAAGAGCGCCCCAAAACACAGGCGGAAACCCCGTGGGGTAAAAGCCCAAATCTTGCCCTCAGGCAGTTGATGCAACAGGTGTTGCACGACTTCGACCAGCGCTTTGTTCTGCAGCGCGAGGGTTTGGGCGTGGTTTCTTGCTGTCTTTGTCATTTGCAAGGTGACAGCCAGCATTGAAGTGCGCCTATCCAAGTGGATATCGGCCGTGCTCAAGCCAAGGATTAGGAGTAGGGCTATGTCTGTGTGGCCACCGTCATATGCCACAGCAGCAAGCGTTTTTGCCACACTCCATGGCATTGGCACTGCACGGACTGGGATATGATCCCTAATCCAGTTGTTGTAGTATTGCTGTGCAGTGACCAGCTCCCTCCGTAGAGTGGGTAGAAACCTTTTAAAGCCACTGAGGAGCCAACCGGCATGTGAAACGGACTCCCCTTCCTGATACAGCATGTTGATGAAATCGGCCATGCAATCGTCCAGCTGGATCACATCTTTTGGGAACGATCCGAATTCAGATGAAACATAAAGAAAAAACCGATTGATTTCTTGGCGGTACAAGCGAGCTGTTTTTGGTGTTATCCCCTTGAACTTCAGATGTAGTTTAGGCGGCATCTGTGGAAGGTGTGGACTCGTATTTACGAGAGGCCTGGTCTGAGAAGTTCCATTGTTTGGAAAGGGTCCACACCAGCAGCGGCCGCAAGTCAGCTGCCAGCTCCACCGCCATGATTCGTCGAAGTGTTCGGTTCATTCGGACGGACGACGATCGTCCTTTGGTGGTGGCCCAGTGCGCCACCATCGAGTCGATGGCATTGATGCACCTTGTGTGAAAGTGCTTGACCGACCTGGATCGACGACGCAGCTGCGGTCATCTCCAGGACGTTGATGTGTTGTGGCGAGGTCCAGCGGTATGCCATGACGGTTTTCCAAAACCACCGAAAAGCGGGGTATGGAACAGGAACCTCTCGGCTGGTCTCCATGCCCTTGAGCAGCGTCAGTCTGATGTCGGTGCCTTTCATACCCAAATGGCGGGCTAGGTCAAGCAAGTGTTGCTGCTCTTGGCCAGCATCCATTTTCAGGACCCACCTTTCCACCTCTGTGAACAACTTGTACACCAAGTCTTCACTTTGCAGCCCCCGCGTTGACCCCATGATTTGATTGTACAGCAGGTGCTTCAGGTCGACCACAGCCGTTCCGATGGGCGGCACCATGAGGTCCTTCAGGTCGGCAACCACAACTGAGGCATAGGCCAGGCACATTGCTCACGGGTACTGGGCCTCTTCGGCCGTGTCAAACTGCACCCCACTGTCAGTCATGCGCGCCCCGTAGGGCTCTGGATGCGTGCAGTGACACTCAGGGCGATTCAGTGCCAAAAAACCCTCTCCTTGAGTTGCATAGCAGAGAGGTCCATTTTGAGTGTAGCGGAGTGTAGTGTAGTGGAATGTAGTGAAGGTGTAGTTGTAGTTGTAGTTGTAGTTGTAGTGTAGTGTATTGGAGTGTAGTGTGGTGTAGTGTAGTAGTTGTTGTGGAATGTAGTGTAGTGTAATTGAGTGTAATTGAGTGTAATTGTAGTGGAGTGTAGTGTAGTGTAGTGTAATTGAATGTAATTGAGTGTACTTGAGTGCAGTGTAGTTTAGTGGAGCGTAGTGTATAGTGGAATGTAGTGACGGTGTAGTTGTAGTGTATTGGAGTGTAGTGTGATGTAGTGGTGGTTGTAGTTGAAAATGCTACAAAACCCTCACGTTCTGCTCACTTTTGACAAGGTGCACAATCCCTTGCACCTGCCACGCGAAGCAACATCTGAACCTCCAAAAGTGGTCCGAACCCCTGGTGTTTTTAACATTTTGACTTGGAAATGTGCTTCGCGCCACAACGGCGTGCACTTTTTCGACATCTCAACTTCCAAAAGCGGTCCGATGCTGAGGTGTTTTGTACATTTTGACTTCGAAATGTGCTTTGCGCCACAACGGCGTGCACTTTTTCGACATCTCAACTTCCAAAAGCGGTCCGAGGCTGAGGTGTTTTGTGCATTTTGACTTCGAAATGTGCTTCGGGCCACAGCGGCGTGCACTTTTTCGACATCTCAACTTCCAAAAGTGGTCCGACAATGGTGTGCTTTGTACATTTTGACTTCGAAATGTGCTTCGCGCCACAACGGCGTGAAATTTTTCATCTCTCATCTGGCCAGCTGGCTCCGCACCCGCCGCTTTAGCGAGCCTACTTTTCGACCCTCTTGAGCCTCAAATCATTGGAAAAACATAGTGTTTCGCGACTTTCCTACCTTTTCGCGCATCTGCATCTTCTTTCTTCTGACTCTTTCTCTTCTCTGATCTTCTCTCTTCTACTCTCCTCTTCTCTCTGCCTCTGCCCAGCTCTGCTTTTCATCTGTCCATATTGTCGGAAGTTTGACTTCTAAACTTCCTTCGGTTCTCATATATTATTATATTCATATGAGGGACTGCTTTTGTTTGGTGAAGTGAAGAGTAGTCTGCCCCAAAAAAGTGCGCGAATGGAGAACGAGGTACATTATATAGATGTACAATCATGTATATACAGTATATCTTCAATTGCTGCTGTCTACTTGGTGCCACTGACCGCGCCTAGCTTTTCCAAGTGCACTTGACTTTGCAGTTTCTCCATTGAGGCCTGGAGCATACCAGTGTCACCATGACTGTCAGTTCAGCACCACAAAATCATAACACGTATCATGCCAAATTCATCACCATACGCAAGTGTAATCATAGCTATTTTTGTTTATCCATATCTATGTATAGATGTTTGGATGTATGGTAAATGTTGGTAATGTGTTTTAAAAAACCTGACATGTTGAAAACTTACCAGCATCTTCGCTTTCAGCTGGCGCTGGCTGAACGATCCATTGACCACAAATGCCGTCCACAGCAGTTCCACGAAGTGACACTGTTGCATGTCAACAGGTCAAGATGCATTCCCACACTGAAATCTGACTTAATGTGACACCATGTGACACCTCAAAAATTTCAAACGGGAAGAACTTGCGTCAGTTCTATGATTCCTATGCATGATAGCGCTAGCAATTACATGATTTACATGGGACACCTGCTGCTGCCAACTCAGCGCGCTTGACCTTGGACAGCGATATCGATGGCAAATGATGGCAACAAGGAAAACTTCTGGGTCTTCTGGGCTCTCTAAATATCTCAAGATATCTCTAGATCACATGTTGGATGCGGGATACGGTCGGATCATGTGCTTTGCTAGGACTAGGAACCTTCTTTATTTCTACACATGCCCACACTACCCCACCCCCCTTCATTCACCTGCCATGGCACACCATCTCCATCATCATTGTCTGCTTTCAGGTTGATGGCATTTGGCGACACAGGCTCTTCTAGCGGCAGGGGGTCGAGATTGAAACCTTTTTCGCAACAGGTTTTGGAACAGCTTGATAAAGAATATTAAAGAATATTAAAGAATATTAAAGAAGATTAAAGGATATTAAAGAATATTAAAGAATATTAAAGAAGATTAAAGGATATTAAAGACTATTAAAGAATATTAAAGAATATTAAAGAATATTAAAGAAGATTAAAGGATATTAAAGAATATTAAAGAATATTAAAGAAGATTAAAGGATATTAAAGAATATTAAAGAATATTAAAGAATATTGAAGAATCAAGAGCAACTGCACAGTAGACACTGGCCCAAGAATTGCAAGTGGAACACGGATCAAATTGAGACAATATGAGACTTGAATATCACATTTGATGACGGAACATGGGACCTGATGCGACCCCATGAAAAGCTTCAATGGTCTGTGGCCGTAAGCCTCAAGTAGAATTGGTACAGATTGGAACAGTAATGTCTAAACATGTCTAAACTCCTCAAGTTCAATGATTGCGTGACACGGGAGTGTTTTCACCTGGCATCTGAAACAGCACAAGTTTACTTGCCTAGACATCAAAATTAGATGCAATTTGGATGCTTGCAAGTTACGCGTGAACGAAAACAACAACCTTGGACTGGCAACACTTTTTTCACTTCTAAGTAAATGTCGTGCGCATCTAGTCACCCAGTCGCTCCAATTCTTCATTGCTCAAGAGGTGTTCCAGGTGTTCCAGGTGTTCGTTAGAAAATTTGGAAAGCTCATGAAAGCTCTGCCTTTTTAATCCTTTTTGCTTGTGCTTAGTGCGTGCCGTGCTCCTTGCCTTCCAGCAATCCCTCATCGTCCTCTTCCTCACGGACGCTTGCCCGCCCCGCACGAACCTCGGTAGCACAGGGAAGCACTACAGTAGTCACTACAGTAGTCACTACAGGTTTGCTAAGCCGCTAGAGTCTGGAGTACTTTTTCCAGAGGTGAAGTCACTTCCAAACAATTGAAATCAATTTAAGTTATTTAAGTTCTTCAGGTGTCAGAACGTGATGCTCTGTGATGCTCGTTGTCCCTCATGTCTGTACACTGTCTGCATCTGTCATTCTACCGCCGTACGCTTCATGCTGTCATTCCTCTCCTTCAAATCCACCTTGAAACCGAGATCTTCACGGAGACTCGCCCGGTACGCGGATGCACCTGCAAGGCTCAGGAAGGCGATGCCTGCTATATATGGCAAATTCTTCGACATTTGACACATTGGGTTTGACACATGCCACCTATCTCCGCTCGATGCGAGCTGTTTTCAATCAACAAAAATCATGCGAAGAATCCTCATCTCAGACTGTTGCGGCCAATGCCTGTATGCAAGCCTTCAAGCTGTATGAAAGTTCAGATAGGTGTACTCAATGCATTCCTCATGCATCCTGTTGAGTTTCCTGCACAATTTGTCCATCCGGTTCGAGTTGCTTCTTGTAGATTCAGAGATTAAACGCGAGCTGTGGATACAGTTTGATACATGAAAAACTAAGAGTTTCTGACGCTCGGATTGGCCTGAGATGGGTCAACGACGTCCTGGACGTGCAAAGATTTCACGATTCAAGGAAAGAGAATAGCATATGCAGCATACAATTATATAGAATCATCGAATAGCTATGTGTTTGCTGAATGCAAAATGATCAAAATATATTAGGCAGAGGCAATCTATGTAAAACGAAACAGTGAAACAATCTGCAAAATCATACTCCTTGAAGCTTGGGTAATTACATCAATTGATATATTCTTACATTCTCCCGTTCATCCTGGAACTAATTATTCAGACGATTGCTTTGAAGTTTCTCCAGATCTACAATTTAAATCTTCATGACCGCGTCGTCTTCGCTGCCTTTTACCATCTTCATCTGTGGTTGCACCCACATCTTAACACATCCCACATTCATTTCTAGCGTCAACTCTTGGTACATTTCCAATTTTCCATGACATTTCAACATGTTCATATTTTCAACATCATGTTCATGACATGTCCATTTCACATTGCATTAGTCTCTGCCTCGTCGATTTCGATGTCAGCCTCCGAAGACTCCCAGCTGGACGTGCTGATCCGGCGCTCGCGGTGTACCTCGACAGATCCGTGACGTCAGCAAAAACATGTGCGGTCAATCCGATGACAATGGCAAAACGATCCAAAAATTGATACAAAATATTACAAAATAATGAAAAGGCAATAAAAGGCATCAAGAAACCATAAGAAACTACACAAGAAATGGATCGAACACGTACTTTCAAAGTGCTCTAGGGTAGCAGTCCTGTGGAAAAAACATGAAAAAGCAGCGTTGGACACTTCCTCACTGGTTATAGCCCTCTTGCAGTTCGCTCACTTTTTTGCGACCCCTTTCGCTCAATTATCTTGGGCTGCAAAGGCAGGGCCTGGTCAAGGGATTCGGTGAAAGCATTGAGAGAAGCATTCACAAAATGACAGCATTTCGGTGAAGCATCAGAGTCCATGTAGCTTCAACAAAATGACAGCATTCACCCAAAATTACAGCATACAGCAGCATACTTGACAAACCTGCGAAGGAAGCAGCTGTCCAGGCTAACCGTCTAACCATTCTTGCCTCACCCACACCTACCCTCCCACGCGAAAAACTGCAAATGTACTAAGATGAGGGCTAATTTTTGAGCTGGAACTCAAATACACAACTCCTTAGATTGCTTTCAGGAAAAAGGTAGCATATCAGAATGACTCCTCTTGGAATTCCAAATGTGTTTTTTTGTTCGTTTTCTGTTTTTTCAGACAAGTTTCTAGGCGCAGGCGCTGCTTCAGATGGCAGCGTCAGCGTCGTTGAGTATGCTGGCGCAGGTGCCACGTTAGCCATGCTGACTGCTCCAGCAGGAGTAGACTGAAAACCATTGAAGCCGCTGTAGCCAGTATAGCCTGAAAAAACAAACCGTATGAATCACTGAAAACAAACTACGATACCTGCAACACAAATCCTTCAAACCCATCAAAAAGAATATCTGCAAATATCTACAGTCGACGCAAGCCGTCATGTGTTTGTCTTATCTGAGTGTCATTCTGCATACTCCCCTTTTCCGACCAAACCGTGCTGTCGAACACCAGCATCACCACCACCATAGTCACAAACCAAATCAAAATCAAGGTCAACATCAAAATCACCATCCTTATCTTCATCCTTATCTTCATCCTTATCGTCACCCTCACCCTCACCCTCATCAACATTGTCATCATCCTATCCTCATCATCCATCCTCCTCCTCCTCCTCATCCTCCTCATCATCATCATCATCCTCATCCTCATCAGCATCGTCATCATCGTCATCATCGTCATCGACTATACCATCAAAATTACCATGACCATGACCATGACCACGACCATCATGGCATTCTTGACGATAGTAGCGTTATCAACACAACCCGTATTACTCGTGATAAGCAGAATCGCGGAAAACCTGGCAACATATTGTTTCTCCGATTCAAGCACCTGGTTATTCCACCCGAACCTAGTACAATCTAGTACATACACTACACATACAAAAGGCAGCATATCAGAGTGACTCCTCCTGGAATTCCAAATGTTTTTTTTTGTTCGCTTTCTGTGTTTTTTCAGACAAGTTTCTAGGCGCAGGCGCTGCTTCAGATGGCAGCGTCAGCGTCGTTGAGTATGCTGGCGTTGGCGCAGGCGCCACGCTAGCCATGCTGACTGCTCCAGCAGGAGTAGACTGAAAGCCATTGAAGCCGCTGTAGCCAGTATAGCCTGAAAAAACAAACCATATGAGTCACTGAAAACAAACACATGATAGTGCCTGCCTTCTGAGACTGCCAAACCTGTGTCTCTGTGCCTACTACAATACCTGCAACACAAATCCTTCAAACTCAATAGTAGCGTTATCAACACAACCCGTGTTACCCGTGACAAGCAGAACCGCGAAAAACCTGGCAACAGATTGTTTCTCCGATTCAAATACCTGGCTATTCCAACCGATGCTAGTACAATCCAGTACATACACTACATACAAAAGGCAGCATATCAGAGTGACCCGTCTTGGAATTCCACATGTTTTTTTTTCCCTTTCTGTGTTTTTTTCGACAAGTTTCTAGGCGCAGGCGCTGCTTCAGATGGCAGCGTTGTGCACAGGGTCGTGGAATATGCTGGCGTTGGCACAGGTGCCACGCTCGCCATGCTGACTGCTCCAGCAGGAGTAGACTGAAAACCACTGAAGCCGCTGTAGCCAGTATAGCCTGAAAAAATGAACCATATGAATCACTGAAAACAAACACATGATAGTGCCTGCCTTCTGGAACTGCCAAACCCGTGTCTCTGTGCCTACTACGATACCTGCAACACAAATCCTTCAAACCCATCAAAAAGAATATCTGCAAATATCTACAGTCGCAAGCCGTCATGGGTATGTTTTATCTGAGTCTGTCATTCTGCGCACTTCCCTTTTCCGACCAAAGCATGCTGTGAACACCATGACGTTTCAAAATCAGAATCAAAACCGAATCACCATGACCATGAACGCTACCATCATGGCACCCTTGACGATAGCAGCGTTATCGACACAACCCGTGTTACTCTGAATCACCCTACAGTATCCGCCTATCCTCTTCTAATGCCTCAATTGTCCTGTGGGCACAAGCAGAACCGCGAAAAACCTGGCAACATGTTGTTTCTCCGGTTCAAACACCCGGTTACCCCGCCCGATACTAGCACAATCTAGTACATGCGCTACATACAAAAGACAGCATATCAGAGTGACCCTCTTGGAGTTCCACATGTGTTTTCTCCCCCCTGTCAGGTGAGGGTTGTTAAATTTTATATCAGCTGTCCTCCTCCGCCTCCTCCTTCTCCTCCTCCGCCGCCGGACCTCAACTGCAAGCTCGTGATCGCAGTTGTCCCCGCCAGGCCCGAACAGCAAACCCAGGATCAGAGTGGTCCCTGCCGGGCCTCAACTGCAAGCTCTTGGTCCCTGCCGGACCCGAACAGCAAGCCCAGATCAGCAAGCTGGGGGTCAGAGTGGTCCATTGCCGGAGCTCAACTGCAAGCTCTTGGCCCCTGCCGGGCCCGAACAGCAAGCCCAGGATCAGAGTGGTCCCGGCTGGGCTCAACTGCAAGCTCTTGGTCCCTTCCAGACCCGAACAGCAAGCACAGGATCAGAGTGGTCCTTGCCGGACCTCAACTGCAAGCTCGTGATCGCAGTGGTCCCCGCTGGACCCAAACAGCAACCTCTGGATCAAAGTGATCCTCGCCGGACCTTGACCACAAAGAATCTCCGAAGATATGTCAGATAGAATGCCAGAAAGACTGTCAGAAGATATGGCAGATACATATGCCAGAAAGAATAGCAGATAGAATGTGAAAGTATATGCCTGAAACTAAATAAAGAAAGTCAGAATATAAACAAAAATAATTAAATAACTACCAGGACCTTCCAACGTAGCACTTTTTTTTGCCCCTATGGTCATTCGATACAGAAATCGACAACTCGATACACTTTTTCCAGTTCGTAGTGCAAATTTCTGATCCGAGCAATTTTCCTGAGTTCGAGCTATTTTCTCTTGGCTACCCGAGCTCGACTGAAAACAGGAATTGTTTGCTTTGATGCGACACTAGTTCGAGCGAAAATTTGCGCAAAAAAGCCGCAAATATCCGCAAAAAAGTGCAAAAAAACGCACATTCAAAAACTGTAACAAATCCAACTGACAATGAGGAAGGAATGAACCCCCTCGAGCATTTTTCTGCAAAAGAGCAGTTTTTTGCAAACGAGCGAAAATCCACAGCACGAGCAAAATAAAATCGATACACAAATAAATGTATCATTGGAGGGTCTTGGTATATTATATATATATATATATATCTGCATGTACATGCCATATATACTTCCAGATGGTATGTCAGACACTATGTCAGAATATATATGGTGTGTCACGGTGGGGATCACTCGAAGAAAGTAATTGTTCGCTTTCTGTTTTTTAACAGACAAGTCTCTAGGCGCAGGCGCTGCTTCGGATGGCAGCGTTGTGCACAGCGTCGTTGAGTATGCCGGCGTTGGCGCAGGTGCCACGCTAGCCATGCTGACTGCTCCGGCAGGAGTAGACTGAAAGCCATTGAAGCCGCTGTAGCCAGTAAAACCTGAGAAAATGAATTATATGAATCACTGAAAACAAAAACACGATAGCAACTGCCTTATGAAACTGCCAAGCCCGCGTCTCCGTGCCTACTACATCCTACCATACCTGCAAATCAACAGAAATCTGTGAAACCGGAACTCCAGCATCATCCACCTTGTGTGTCATCGACTTTACTCCTGGGCACTTTTGCATCAACATTCCATGTTTCAGCTGGACAATGCTGCGCCACACTATGCCCTGATCATCCGCCTGGTATCAAAGAGCTCGGTGGAGTGAGGCATGGAAAACCACCAAGACTTCCAAGGCCACCGAGGGCGCTCAAAGCACCGCCAGCACCACCAGCGCATTGCAGGTTGCTGGGGTTGCTGGGGATGCTGGGTATGCTGGGGGAGAGGCGGCTGCTCGGGAGACCGCTGCTGAGGCCGCTGGAGACTCCCGGGAAGGCAGGCATGCCTTGTGGCAACCCTTGAAAACCCTGTGAAGGCTCTCGTGTCATTGCGCCTCACAGCACTCAAGTCACTCATGGTCGCTCTGACGCATGTTTTTCCCATACGAAACTGGTTGAAGTGCGAAAGGGTGAATGGAATGCACAATTGTTGCGTCTATCTGCCGCTTCCATTGTGAGAACAAGAGCATCTGAAAGAACCAAAAGGTGGTTGGAGTGTCGGGCTATCTGGCTGCCTGTCTGTCTGTCTGTCTATCTATCTATCTGTCTGTCTGTCTGTCTGTCTATCTATCGAGTTGTCTTTCTATGTATCTATTTGACTGTCTGTCTGTCTATCTATCTATCTGTCTGTCTCTCTATCTATACGTCTATCTATCTGTCTTTCTGTCTTTCTATCTTTTTGTCTATCTACATGCTTATTTATCTGTCTAGCTGTTTCTCTATGTGTCTATGAATCTATCTATCTATCTATCTATCTGTCTGTCTGTCTGTCTGTCTGTCTAATGATCTACCCTATTTATCTATCTATCTGTCTGTCTATCTATCTACCTTTACCTATCTACCTATATATCTGTCTACCTCGCTATAAGTCTATCTATTTATCTGTCTATCTATTCTATCTATTCTATCTATTCTATCTATTCTATCTATTCTATCTGTCTATTTGTCTAGTTGTCTATCAGTCTATCTGTCTATCCATCTATCCATCCATCTATCTAATCTAATCTAATTTAATCTAATCTATCTATCTATCTCTCTCTCTCTCTTTCTCCCTATCTGTCTGTCCATCTATCGTTCTATCTATCTACTTTCGTCATATTTGGAAGGTGGCAAGATCAAAAACGCAGCAATTCTGCGAGACTTCCTCCAAAAGTCAAAGTTGTCAACGGTACAAACGCAGCAATTCTGCGATACTTGTCTCAAGCATAGAAAGTTGAGTGCTGAGCAGACAGCCTCGCACCAATGCATTTTGCGATTTTTCCATTCCATCCCTCCAAAGTACTGCGCCTGCCACGAAAAAGCGAGGCCAGGTCATACGAATGGCTGCATCTATCACGCAAAATTATCTTAGCATCTTAGGAAACCTGAAGATCTGATGCTCCAAAATGCAGCCTCTCTCAGGAAACCTGCTCTCTGAGCCTCTGGCCTCCTAAAATGTCTGATTGACATCTCTCTTGTTTCCAGATCCTCTTCAAACGCACACGACTGCCATCGTTTTTGGAAACTGCTACGAAACCCACACGTTTGGCTCACTGACTTGGAAATGTGCTTGGCGCCAAAACGGCGTGCGCTTTTTCGACATCTCAACTTCCAAAAGTGGTCCGAACATGTGGTTTGTTTACTGTACCATCTTGACTTCCACATGTGCTTCGATGTGCTTCGCCCCACAACGGCGTGCAATTTTTCATCTCTTTTCTCCCCAGATGGAGCCTACTTTTTGAGCCTCTGCGCGACTTTTCTACCTTTTCGCACACCTGTATCTTTTGTCTGCTGACTCTTTCTCTTCTGACCCTTTCTCTTCCCTGACTTCCCGCTGGAATATTGGAATATTACTTATTACAATAAAAATAAAATTAAATGTCATCCATATGTCATCCAATTTCTTCACGGCTGTGAGATGCTGTGAGCAAGACATGCTAAGCTACCAAGACACTGAATCCAAAGCCGCCCAGGCCACTGCCACTGGAAGCCGTCCGTGGTGGCTCCATCCGACCATCCAGCCTAAGCTTCCAAGATCTTCCAGCCGATTACTTTTCCTAATTGCGAAGGATTTCTACGGGAACCTGGAAAATTGCCACAAATTGAATCCGCCGAATTCTGTTGTCCCAATGTAGAGGTCCTTGTTTGGAACTCGACATTGATTAGTACAGTACATCAAACAAATTCACATTGAGAATCGACCCGATCAGCGAGCAGCCTTGCAAATATTCAAACACTAGGAGCATGAAGCCATTTTGCGCTGTTCAAACTGGAAACACAGGAAGGAACAATGTGGAACTGGTTGAGTCTTTTTAGACGGACGGGGAATAAATAGCACTGGATGGTCATCTTGAAATGCTAAAGTCGCATGATGTTGCAGCATTTCGTTGGATTGGCTATGCCGGTATGCGAATCTTGCCCTTTGGACAAAGCCGCTGCGGATCTTTGGCGAGCTGTGACAGGAGGTCCGGCATGGCAGAGAACAAGTTTGGCTTTCCGAAAATATTTTCACCTTCCTGGCGAAAGAGGAGGGATCAAAAAGGATTTGCAAATCATGCTTGTCTAGGCTTTTCGGGTGAAAAGCAAACACCCGTTCCAAGGCCCCACAATCAGTGATCCCAAGCACATGTGTCCCTCCCATTCCCAGCTCCCAACGCTCCCAGCGCTCCCATGGCTCCCACGACCTCAAACATCAAATTCTTGGGCGAGGCAGGTTGACACGGCGACGGTGCTGACGGTTGACACGGCGATGGCATCGATGGTTGGTACGGTGATCGCGCTCCTGGCGCCGACGGCCGCCCAGAGCGGACAGGAGATGCCGAGGGCGGTCTGCTTTGAGAGCCTTGGATCTGCAAGATGCACCAGGTTCGGCACAAGATGCAAAAAACATTAAATATCATTAAATGAAAACATACTAAAACAATTCTAAAACCTATCATATCGACTCTTATCTTAACTATCATTGTAGTGTCACAAAGCTTGTTAAGATCGTGATCTGAGTTTGGACTCTACTTCAACATCTCGCTTTTTAGGCACCGTTCTGCAGTGAAACTTCTTCCCTTGTGCTACTCAATGAGGAGTGTCTCCTACGTCTCTTTTCTCTGCGAGAGACGATGTCTTGTGGCATGCTCTGGATACATCGCCACCCGAAACTCGACCTCACCGCTTTCACCGATGCGATGCCGTGACTCCTGGAGTAAAAGAAGCCAAGTGGCAAAGTGGGCAGAAACATCCCAGCTTTCGTCATTGTGCCCTAGGGTGCCGATCGACTGAAGATGGCTCATCGATGCTACAGGCAACGTAAGTTCTAAATTTGCTGGTCTTAAGAATCTATGACATTGTGGGCATTAGTGGGCTGTGTATTCTGAACCCCTTCCACCCCTTCCCTCTGCTCATTTTTCTCCTGCCAGTTTATGAACGGCAAGGTGTGCAGGGGTACGGAAACTTGTCCTAAAAGACTTCCGCGACCATAGGCGTTGAACACCTGACATCTGATGACATCTGATGCATGGAGGCACTGTCAAAGATTGTCAAAGCCGTGATTGCGGAACGCTGGGGCCAAGATATTTTCAGAGCAAATGTCGAGTTTCTTATGTTTCTTCCCTCCAGATTCCAAATATTTCCAAATGCAACTGAAGGTTTGCCAGGGGTCTGTACACTTTTCCAAAACTGATTTCCTGCCTGCTCCCAACTGACACCGTGGACAAACGACACAAAAAATTGCATTAAAACATGGCCGGTCAAATCAGTCGAAGAATAGGAAGTATAGGAAGTATAGGAAGCTTTCAACGACCCAAAGCGCGCCTGAATGTGAAGAGAGTCAACATAGATATCTTGCGATTTGAACGTGAACTTGTTTTGATCATCGCCTTAGCATAAGGTGTTGGCTTGCCTTTCCTATTGAAGTGCAGATAACCTGATCACATAGACATGCTATGCTTGCTATCCAACGCGACTGCAACTACAAAGGAGATGACTATTTCTTGAGGAATTCTTGAGAGCTCTTAAATTATTTGATGCCTTGGGGATATGGATATTTACATCGGCAGCTTTTTGGGGTCTTGACCGACCGTTGATTCGCAGAAGACACACAACCTCACTAGAAAAAACATCTTGCACGGAGTGGCAAAAACTTCAAACTCGCCTCTACTGATTCCCAACATCTCAAATCTACATAATCTACATTGGACATCACTGAAAGACTCTTACATTCTAAAATGACTGGACAAGAAGCTCCATCTAGGGTCTGCAGTGTTGGGTAGGACTGGCGACTGATGCTCCACATGGGCCACCCGTAGCTTGACGTAGGGATCGCACTGTGGAGCACCTGGCCGAGGCAAAGCCTTAAATCTGAAAGACGTGTCAAAATATGTATAACAAAAATATGATCTGAGCCAGGCCGCAACAAAGGATGCAATGAGTTGCAATGAGTCGCAATGAGGAACCCTATTGATGCAATAAGGATGCTGTATGATGCTGCACTTTAAATTGCTTTGCATCATTTGGCCGGAGGGCTGCCCGCGCCTGGATCTTGCCTCGTGCAGTAGCAGTTTTCAATGTGCAGAACTGCATGTGCGCTATGTCGATCTGTCGAATTCCAGTCTGTTTCCCGTTTGATTCGTTAGCCCATTGTCCCTTTCTCAGACTAGCAACAAGCCGCGACAGCCAAAAACCTGCACGTAGACGACGCAAGGTCCTGGGTTCTCAACCTCCTGGCAGGCAAGAGCAGGACGAGATGCCATAGCGACCCAACTCTGTCTCCGATAATTAGAAAGTGAATCAATGTTTTAGTCTTTGTATTTTTTGCTGTTTGTTGCAGGTTGTTCCAAGTTGTTCCATGATTTCCATGTTTTATTTCAATTTTTATTTCAAAGCGTTTGTCGATCCATCAACTTCCCTTCCTCCCCGTTACCCAGCCTCAACGCCACCCCTGGAGGCCAAATGATACATAGGGCTCGGCACAAATTCTGTCGAGCTCTCTCTGACCTCATGGAAAAAGATTCACTGAGACTCCGGCAACAAAACACGCACGTGAAAGACGTGAAATGGTTCGAAAACACAGCCTTGAAGATCTTGAAGGAACATGCCAAAAACTATGAACTTTGTCCCGAGAGACCCCTCACAGAAGAAAACTTTACGAATTCATAATACAACCAGTCGCAGTAGCAACTGTACACCCGGTAAACCCCTGCGAAACAAAACAAAAGAACCGCAAAAAGAGTGTGGAAAAAGTTCTGGAGTCACCAAAATAGATCAAATGAACAACATGATAGGGAGTCCTCAATCCTGATATGACACGTTCAGATTTTGCGTCCATGGAATTTGCGACGAGCTCTGATAATGAAAACCCTTGCGCACAGCAAATGGCCTGACCTTCAATATTGAAATCCTCCAGTTGCAGCCTGGCCCTAACTGCACAGAAAGTTTTGAGGCAAACATCCTGAAACTCTGTTGGTGGCTTACTTATCTTCACTCTCTCGAGCAATATAGTTTTTCCATCTATTTGTTTCACTATGTGTCACTGGCCAGAAACCGGACTGAGGAGGAACCGATGCCCTATTGCAGCAAACTTCCTGCGCGTAATACTTTCAAAATTGGAGTTCTTCCGTTGGAGCAAACCCGTAGGCATCACGACTTAAACTTCCTGCGGAGAACGCCTTCATGACTGCACGTACTCCAGGTCACCTTCCTAAAACTCTGCTGGTCAGCTACGTATCTTTAGTCTCTTCAGCAAAATATTTCGCACTATCGATTTCTCTGACTGGCTACTTAGCTCACCCACGACAACCCAGACCGAGGGGGAATCGATACCCTACCGCAGCCAGCGCGTAACACCTTCAAAATTGGAGTTGTTAAAGGGAACACGCCGTTCTCGGCCTAAGATAAGCTCAACATGGTTCGAATATGGCCTGAACATGGCGTCTAAGAGCCTAACAGGCATCAACATAGGCCCATACGCCCAACATGGTCGCCACATGATCCAAAAACGGCGTGTTCCTTTTGGGCCGGGCAAAGGCTAAAAAGGAACACGCCGTTCTTGGCTTAACATAAGCTCAACATGGCATGAATATGGCCCCAGCATGGCGTCTAAGAGCCTAACATGGATCAGCAAAGACATAGGCCCAACATAGGCTCCATATACGCCCAGCATGGTCCCGACATGATCCAAAAACAACGTGTTCCTTTTGGGCCGGGTAAAGGCTTAAAAGGAACACGCCGTTCTTGGCTTAACATAAGCTCAACATGGCACGAATATGGCCCAACATGGCGTCTAAGAGCCCAACATGGCCCAACAAAAGCCTAACATAGGCCCCACATAGGCCTGACACGGCTTAACATGACCGTGATCTAAACATGCAGGCTCTAGATTTGGTTCTTGGCTCCATTGGTACGCCGCACGATGATAGCGTTCTGTACTTCGCAAAAGTATCTGCCACGGCCCATTTATTTTTCCACGATCCCAGATGATCCCAGTTGTATCCACATGTATCGTCAGAAACACATGACGTGACGGTCCACGGTATGCAAAAAGGAAAGGTCCTGCTCTGTTACAGTTCTGTTAGACTGCAGCATCTGCTTATGAAATCTGTTAAGCACGCGTTCTTCAAGGCCGGCCTTGATTCTGCCGCTTCTCCTTAGCATTACATCTGTCATGTTCATTGTTCTCACCATATGCGGACGCTTGTAATCTACTTGTCCATGTCTCCGCTGTCATCCGCTGGTAGCCAAAGAGAGATGGTGTGAAGGTCCACTTTCAGCACACCACTTTGCATTTGCCGCTGTCTCTAGAAGCGCAGGCTGGATAGTAGCCGCCCGTCTCTGCGGCCCTTTCTCCGATTCAAAACCTGCAAGCATAACTACCAACTGCCAGCGCAAGACACAGTCTCCCAAGCAGGAAGAACGGCATAGCTCTGTCAGCTTGTCATTGCAGCTTGCTGCCGACAAAGTTTCCATGACCTCTATCCATCTAGCTATCTATCTATCAACCTATCTGTCCAGCCTTCCGTCAATCCATCCATGTATCAACCTAACTTTCACCCTCTCTTTCTTTCTCTCTCTTTCTCTCTCTCTCTCTCACTCTTTTTCTCCATGCCCCCATCCCTGCATCTATGTAGCTATGCGCGATCGTTCTATCTACCTATCTATCTATCTAGCTATCTAGCTATCTAGCCATCTAGCCATCTAGCTATCTAGCCATCTAGCTATCTAGCCATCTAGCTATCTATCTATCAATCTATCTAGCCATCTAGCCATCTAGCTATCTAGCCATCTAGCTATCTAGCCATCTAGCTATCTAGCTGTCTAGCTATCTATCTATCAATCTATCTAGCCATCTAGCCATCTAGCTATCTAGCCATCTAGCCATCTAGCCATCTAGCTATCTAGCTATCTAGCCATCTAGCCATCTAGCCATCTAGCCATCTAGCTATCTAGCTATCTAGCCATCTAGCCATCTAGCCATCTAGCCATCTAGCCATCTAGCCGTCTAGCTATCTAGCCATCTAGCCATCTAGCCGTCTAGCCATCTATCTATCTAGCCATCTAGCCATCTAGCTATCTAGCTATCTAGCAATCTAGCCATCTAGCTATCTATCTATCTAGCCATCTAGCCATCTAGCTATCTAGCCATCTAGCCATCTAGCTGTCTAGCCATCTAGCTATCTAGCTATCTAGCCATCTAGCTATCTAGCCATCTAGCCATCTAGCTGTCTAGCTATCTATCTATCTATCTAGCCATCTAGCCATCTAGCTATATAGCTATCTAGCCATCTAGCTATCTAGCCATCTAGCTATCTAGCTACCAAACTATCTAGCTATCTAGCCATCTAGCCATCTAGCGATCTAGCCATCTAGCCATCTAGGAATCTAGGCATCTAGGCATCTAGCCATCTAGCCATCTATCTAGCTATCTAGCTATCTAGCTATCTAGCTATCTAGCTAGCTAGCTATCTAGCTATCTAGCTAGCTAGCTAGCTATCTATCTATCAATCAATTCATTCTATCTATCTATCTATTCATTCTATCTATCTATCTATCTATCGATAGTCTATCTATCTAATCTATCTAATCTATCTATCTAGCCATCTAGCTATCCAGCCATCTAGCTATCTATCTAGCTATCTAGCTGTCTAGCTGTCTAGCATGTCTAGCTATCTAGCTATCTAGCCATCTAGCCATCTATCTATCTAGCTATCTAGCCATCTAGCCATCTAGCTATCTAGCTATCTATCTATCTAGCTATCTAGCTATCTAGGCATCTAGCCATCTAGCCATCTAGCTATCTATCTATCCACCCAGCTATCTAGCTATCTAGCCATCTAGCCATCTAGCTATCTATCTATCTATCTAGCTATCTAGCCATCTAGCCATCTAGCTATCTAGCTATCTAGCCATCTAGCCATCTAGCTGTCTAGCTGTCTAGCCATCTAGCTATCTAGCGATCTAGCCATCTAGCTATCTAGCCATCTAGCCATCTAGCTGTCTAGCTATCTATCTAGCTATCTAGCCATCTAGTTATCTAGCCATCTAGCTATCTAGCCATCTAGCTGTCTAGCTATCTAGCTGTCTAGCTGTCTAGCTATCTATCTATCTACATCTATTGATATAATTGTCTACTTATTTAGCCCTAGTATTTGCCTACCTATTTAACCCCAACATCACGGACCAGGGGGGAATCGATACCCACCGTCACCCATTTGCGATCTGGTACATTACCCTGCAAAACACTCCCAGTTGACAGCCTGAACACCAACTGAGACTGGAAAAACGGACCTGTTTGGCAACACCTCCCCCCAAGACCCCTAATCTCTCACTACGTTCGCAAAAAACAACTAGCCAGCTAGTCCGGCTGGCTTTCGTACCTTTGGACCTTCCCCAAATCCAGGCAGCATGTCGCTCAGAGCTCTTTCCCAAAACACCCCAATCCTATGATATATATATATATATCAATGTATATATATATATATAATTAGTAGTGAAAGTGGATCACCGTCAGACTTTGGGACTTGATGCGCTTAATGCACTTGATGCACTTGTAAGACAAAAAATGCAAGGCACTGGTTGTGGTGATGGTCCACCAGCTAACAGGTTTTGCGCAGGTGAGGGCCGTGCAGGTGCCATTTGCGACAGCCGATGCTGCGCAACAGGCGCATAGCCTTGCTTCTGAAGCTTGTGCAATACTGCGCAAAATATTGTGCACTACTGTGCAAACAATCGCTGGTTGTGCTCTTGCCACTGCACTCACTGAGACAAAAGTAAGATCAATTGCCATTAATTAGATGCCACTAGGCACTGCATACCCTGTGATATCTAGTGATATCTTGATAAACTTGGCCAGGAGACGCTCATCAAAAACCACAACCTCTGAAGGAGCACTGTTCGGACAGAAACTCATTTGGATGGTCTGGTCCTTAGGTGAGATAGATGACAAGACAAGAAAATAGTTGAGAGAAGTCTCTGGTTGGCAGGGTGCTGTGCGGAAACAATCTACTTTTTGTAGCGATTCCTATTTGTGTGCCCTACAATCGTAAGAAATGGAGACAACGAGTCAACAACGAGGTATTTTTCGGACTCCTCCGCAAGCGTACCCATACGACCCAGCTCTGAAACATTCTGATACCCTTGAACATATGGAGAAAAATGGGGACATTCAAATGATAAAGAGGTGATCGGCGCCAAGTCTCCATCATCGGCATGTACTTTGATCGAATGTCATCCAATCGCCAAACCGCTTTTTCAAAGAGCTGCTCAAATGTACACCGAAACTGCAAATCTTCCAATGCCTCCAAGTCAGGGCAGAGTGCATGCCAAATCAGCTTGCAAGGTTGAGCTGGAAATAGCTAGCCCTGAGTACACCTTAAATTCATCAAGATCAAGTACAGACGGGCATGACGTGCGTATAGCTGTTAAGTGTATGTGATACATACCTGGAAACCAGTAATCCAGATTTTGAAGGCTTTTACTCTTGAAACTGCAGGCTACAATCCCATTTTATAGGGGTTGTTGAGGTATGTGCATGTATGTTATAGGTTATAATTTATAATTATATATATATATATTATTATATATTCATGAGTGAGAGAGTGCATTGCCAAGAAAGGTCACATACGGCTAATCCCGTTGCCTGCACGAGGCAAAACGTCATCACGCCGCATTGATCTCCCTGGCCAAATCCACTTGACGCCGAACGCTTCAAATTAGATCCGATTAGATCCCTTTGGAAACCGGAACTCCAAAAAAAGGAGGCGGCTACATCTTGCATTTGCTGCAGGTTTCACCATGCAACTCAATCCGACACCGGCCCATGCGACACAATCTTACACAAATGAAGGCAAATATGCAGCATGAAAGTGTCTTACATATTCTTACATAACAATCTGCAATGATCACTTATGAATTCAATGTCAAGCACAAACAATATCACACATCTTGCAAACCCACGTAGAATGATGTAGAATACATATCAATTCATACATCTGCATTATCCAAATTGTACCGACCTTTTGTGACATCCTGTTGATATCCTGTCCTGTTAGCTGCAGTCCCCTGTCCCCTGTCCTTGATGTTGGCATCCCGGGCGGTCTCAAAGGGCCGTGAGGCCGCCAAGCAAAAGGCGGTCACCGCAGGGTCCAAAGTCATCCGCCCCAAATGCGCGCCACTCCCTGGCACGCTGCGAATGCCGAGTTGCAACGACTTATGACTCAACTCTGCACACAAAGGATGTCCGGGGAAACTTAGGCACGTAGTCTACACGGAGTCGGACGTAGATACTAAGCACGATGCTAAGCATGATATAGCGCATAACCGGGTAATACCGGGTACTGCAACAACTTAGTTCTGGATGAGGATCTGTGTCCGCTTGAGTCTATGAGGATCTATGAGGGACATTTGAAAATATTTGAAATACATGACGCGATTGAACCATCGAACCATCGAACCTTCAGGTGTTCGCTTCTGCCGTGCGGGCAGTGACATTGTGGGCAGAAAGCGTGGGCGGCTCTTGGCGTGGTCGAGGTATCCTTGCATCCAAGTGTCCCGGGTGCGGTGCACCTCCTGCGCAACACTCTCCGCAACACTCTCCGATTCTATCCAAGGTCTTCCAAGGTCTCAGATCTGCTCTGCATGTCCTTGTGATTCTATCAGGATCTATCAGGTGTACCTTTTGATTCACTCAAAAAGTATCTTACAGTATTTACACCGAAAGGCAAAAGGAGAATGAAGATGGATTTTGGATTTCACTTCAAGAGCTTCTTGGACTTCAAATGCCAAACAGTGATCGAATGAACCCGTTGCTTTCATTTGCCTTTTTGTAAAACACTTCTAGGGGTTTCGAAATTCTTGGAGTATCTTGGAGTTGAGGCATGTCAAACATGTTGAACATGTCTAAGCTTGTCGGAGCTTGGAGCCATGCCTGTGGCCGCTCGAAAGTTTGATGCACTCGATAAGGAGTCTCAGACGAGTCCCAAGAGCTTGGCACGTCCAACATGTGGGCACCATGGCAGCAATCCTCAGCTGCTCCAAGATACTCCAAGAAACTCCAAGAAACTCCAAGTCTCTTACCTGCAACATCCTGCAACATCGACAACTCTTTGCTGGCCCCAGCCCGAAGATCAATAGAATCAATAGAAGGTAAAGGATTTATCAGGATGAGTTTAAGTTTCCTGTCCAAGGGTCCAAAATGACAGTGAGGTAACACCCAGGTGGCAAGCGAGCGAAAAGCGCGTGGATTTCGTCACGCAGCACCTCAGTCACCACCAAAGGGGTTATATAGAGATCACGGAAAAACAACAAAAAAACAACTCCGAAGACTAAACTGAGGTGACAAGATAAAGTCTTGCTTCGGGCATTGAGCTCAGGCGACCACGAGATAAATGCAGTGTAAATGCAGCACATGTCTAACGGTCTAACCCATCAAACATCATCAAACATCACCAAACATCATCAAACACGTACATTGTACGATTGGTACAACATGTACAGCCCAAGGAGGTGACGACACTCTACAAGACTGGGAGCACGAAATCACTAGTCCCTGGAACACCACTAGGCTACGGAGATCTACGGAGATCTACGGAGATCTACGGAGTAAAGGCTGGCCTGAATCCGCTCTGAGGCACCACTCCTTGGGCTGAATCCGTAGGCACCAAAGCATCCTCCAATTCACCACCAGGTAGTCGCACCTGTCATGGGTTTTCAATTTACAACGCCGCACGAAGAAAAACTCGCAACATATCTATTCAATTCTATTCATACGAGTATCTAGTCAGCCAAGTATATCCTTTGAAACCGTTGTCTTGCTGATCTGGACACTTGGCGCCATAGTCACACTCCAATGCAACATGGAGCAACGCGCTCTTGGTAAATATATATATATATATGATTATATATGTTATAATATCACTATATGTGTATGTATATATATATATATACACATAATATATTTGTGTTTATATTCTTGATTTTATGTTCAAGCAGGGTTGCACTGCTTTCTCCCGGCCTGGCAGCCGTGCCCTGCAAAAAAGAAGACAAGGACGTCGCCAGGTTGGGCCTAGATATCACAAATTCAATGACACAGCAGAATTCTCTCACCATGACGTATCTTCATTCTTGTCCAGTCTTTCTACTAGTTTCAAGACAATTAGCCTAACGACTTTGATTGACTCAAAGTTTGTCCCATAAGACTCCGTGCAAAAACAGCCGCTGAAGTTCTGGGAATCTGAACCAATAGATGTGACGCAGTATGACCGATATGACATGGCCATACATGGCCGAGAGGCGCCAGCCACCAGCCATCCACCCAGCTGCGCCAAGATGTTGCCCCTGCTGGGCAACTGCTGTGCTGCTTCTGCTACGGAGCCATCCGGGTACTGGTCAAGCAGCACCCGGGTCTCCTCCATCAGAACATCATCAGATATCACATGCTGTGAATTAGCAGTTGGGCAAATCCAGGATGCAGTGTTTAGCAAGTTTGAACATGTTTGAACTGAGAGTAGCGTGTTGAATAAACCTGAATACACAAATTTCACCATATTTCTATCCAGCAATGATTTACTATCTGAACCTCAAGACAATGAAACAAAAACACCATGAAGTGCTTCACTGCTTCACACACACTGACCATCTGACCAGCTGCGAATATGTTCTGCTCTCCTCGAAGGCAAAATGTTCCTTCAACACCTTGTCCCATTCAAGGCAATCATTGACCTTGCAAAGTTGGCAAGAAAACTCCAATGGTCCAAATATATCACATATTCAAAATGAGTCCGCTAAAAATCTTAGATCACACAACAGATCTTCATGATTCTCTGTCTGCAGCCTGCCTTGACCCCTGATTGAGCTTGCAGGTCAAGGTCCTATTGCACCTCTTTATCCTTCGACCTGTCTGGTCCTCTTCAATAGTTTGAATATGTTTGAAAAGCTTTCAAGAATGACCATATATCATTCCAATGACGTTTGGATTTTGAATCCAAGGAACGCAACCATATAGCTGGTGATCCTGGCGCACAAATCGAGCATGTCGAGCAAATATGAGCAACTTACCTATAAATCGTGGAAGTCTTGTTGAATTGAAACAGTCGAAACAGTCGAACCAGTTGCAGATTCCGTAGCGCTCCGGCATAGTCCGGCTCCTGATTCGGATAGTTCACGCCCACGCACAGCCCTTTCTTCACCATTCTCGGAGCCAGGAAGCGCCCCAAGAACGCAACGCTTGAGCCCAAAAGCATCCAAAAGCAAGAGATGCGGAAAGGAATCAATGACCCTGACCGTACCCAAAGCGCATCAAAGCGCATGTATGTCGCTATCAAACTGCCACTAGGATCCACCAGGATCCACTCAATATGATATCATTAGATGCTGGAGGCCAACAAGGATCGACACTCAGAATTTTAGAGTCATGCATGAAGAGTCTATGTTGCAAAATGTTGCAAATAGGTCCACCCATGTCGCAGCCACTGAACTGGCACAAGTGTTCCAAACAACTTCGATGATCTCCGATGCACAATGTGACTGCATCCAACTGCAACCAGTCTGCTTTTGGGATCTTTTTGGGTATGAACTTAACTAAGACATACTAACATCATATAACGTCTCTGTAGGCTGAACTTTTCGAAGGTTGAAAACCTCCAGCGCTCCCAAAAGAACTCGCGTTGCATTGGGCGGTGATCCGAGCATGGCGGACTCGTAGCCTTGGAGACAGGTCCGCCAGGTCCGCCAGGTCCGCACTGGAATGATTCACGGAAGTGCAAAGTTCGGAGACCCAACGTGATAATAACGTGATAATGATGATATAATGAGATGATTATCATCCCAAATATCATTATGATTATCATAATTATTATGATTATCATAATTATCATTATATCATTAATGATTATCATAATGATGATAATGGCAATGAGATGGAATGAGATGTAATGAGGTTAAACCATTTAAACCTGGTTCCAAATGCTATTATCGGTGCCAGGATGGTTCATGTTGTGCCGCTGCCACTCATCGGACAGCTTTCTCAACGACACGCAGCCAGCCTTTAAGTGACTTTGTAGTGACTTTGTAGTGACTTTGTAGTGACTTTGTGATGTGCTTTTTCGAGGTCGATAAGGACCGCTGCTACGAGTGGCTGACGGGCGTAGATTCCAATTGCCATGATCTCATGGAGGCCAAGAGCAAAAGGGCCACCTGCCAGCGAGTGTCGCACGTCACACATATAGAAGTCATATAAAATCATGATAACTTGTTTAACATCATGTAGAACTCTAGATTTAGAACCAAGCTGATCACACAAAGTTGAAATATGTTGAAATCCTTTTCTTTCTCAAGGCACGACAATGATAGACCAAAACGCTTGGGCCAAGGAACTGCATCCAGGAAGGCTGAACCCTGCACTAACACCATAAGTATCCAGTTTGAGTATGCAAGTTACACGAAAGTTATATTGTGTAATCTTTATACTGTGTATATATAAAATTATATATATATATATAGGCACATTTTAAAATTGAATGTAAAATGATACAAATCAATACGGATCAGGACAAATCATACAATCATACACATTGCAAGTTTTAAGGGGTAAACGGTGCACGCTATAAGCTGTGCCTTCCATTGCTCTCGGGAACCACGAAGCGCCGCCTCGCAGCCTAAATCTTTGCATTTCGGACGCTTGAAATCTCTAACTCGGGCAGAATAACGCAATGAAAATTGGAATGCAATTGATGTATATCATATCTATGTATATTAAATGTATATTATATTTAAATTATATGTATATTATACTGTAGATTGTATAAACAGCTTGTGCTGGCGATATAGAAACAACAAACGTGCATTGCAAGTCGCTACAAACAAGCGAGTTGGTCCAAGTGGCTAATGATCCCAGGCACAAGGCCAGTCAATCTGTGCAACGATAAGAGCTCCAGGGTCAAGGTCCAGTTCTGACCCTTCCTAGCACGTGACTCACGACGTTCAAGGACAGTGAATAAATTCTCTAATCGAATAACCTCAAGAAGAACATCAAGTCTGCAAGCGCGTGAATGACGCAGGGTATGCATGGAATGCAGAGTAGAATGCATTCCGCCACAGGCGTTGAATACACCAGAAACATCACAAAATGATATGGCCACAAACTGGTCACATCTGGTCACAAATGACGCAATGATGACAGTTTCGACAGTTTCGTTTCACCAATTTTCACCACGAAACTCGCAAGCGCTGAGCATCGCTGCGATTGCCACAGAGTCAGCACTCGACGGCTGAAGTTGAATCGCCCAGCGCCAGAGCAGAGCGTTTTCGCACCTCGGGAGGCTCCTGGGGAGCTGCGAAGAACGACATATCTACGGTATCACCATGCGTCACCACGTACAGCAGATCGGCATGTTACAACGTATCGATGTTTGGACGTTTGGACAGTGTGTTGAGATCAAACCAGCTGGTCAAACTTTGGTCGAACTTTGCTCTTGTGAGTCTGATAAAGCGACCCAAAGATGTTCAAAGTGCTACAGGGCTCAAAATCAAAATGTTTGAAATGAGATGAAACCGCCCCCACGAATGAAGGACTGTGGAGCAAATTCAAAATTAAACGAACATGAGAATGTCATGATCATGATGCCATGTTTTGCAATTCTCCTTCACTCATCTGCAACCCGTGTAAATAGCAAAAGGCGTCGCAGGATGCTCTTCCTTCTCACACCTTGAGATATCTTGAGAATTCTTGAGATATCTTGGGCATGATTCAAACAAATTCAAAGCATCTCCAAAAGTCTCAAACAATAAGGACTTCATGGGACCCACAATGAGGTCTCAGTGCAGGAATCTGAACAAATATCAAATAGCAGTCAAGCCTACCTCCGATTACAGGCATTGCTTTACAATTCCTCTCTCTAGCTCTCTCTCTCTCTAAACATCAGTTATGAAAAAGGTAGCAAAGCAAAGCTTAATGTTTGAGCAAAACAAAACATAATTTGGGAGTCAAGGATCGCTTCACTCAGCGCATGACATCCCCGAGCATGGTCTGTTTTACAACTCGCTGGCACCATTTATAATTGATGGGTACTTGTGCAATCAGTACACAATATCGGCTTATCCGCAAAAACGATCAGATCGTGACAGGTTCACCAGCCCTGGGATTCCGAACGCACTGATGGCCGCATTGCAACCTCGGTGATATTAAAGATACACCATATCAATCCCTCAATGATCTTGCTTCGCAACTTCGAGTATCTGTTCAGGGCATCCCTCAGATAAAGAAACTAATAGAAAACAACTGCGAAGGCAAGGGGGTTAGAGTTCTATGTCACAAACGCGAACAAGTAATAACCAGTGACAATGAAGCTTGATCTCTTGAACTGCCGAAAACATGATACAAGTATGCGAAGTGGCCACTTTCGCAAACTTATGGCCTAATTGAGACAAAAAAAGACAAGAACAAAAGATTAGCAAAGCGGCCCGTTGCAGAAGAGTTTCCATCAATCATTATAATATTTGAAGAACTCACCGCAATGTGCGAGCGTGAAAATGATGAACATGTGAAAATGTGCGAACCATGTGCGGAACCCAGCAACTGATCACATCCGGCTGCACCGAAAACTCCTGCATTGAGGCCACGAGGCGGAGCGCCCACCTGGATTGACGAGTGGCATCAATTGACATCGATTGACATCGATTGACCATGTAGAACTTCTGTAGAACCAAAAAGAACCGGTTTGTAATCAATGTACTCTTGCTATACATCGAGATAATTACATCGCGATACATCGATATACTCTTGTTAATTTTGTTGGATATATCTTGTTATTTTTTCTAAGCCTCTCCATGTGAATCTTCGGTTCTCCAACACCGCACCTGCCTCCACTCAATGCACTTCTCACAAGCACTGATGGCGGAATTGCAAATTATCGTGTCTCGGTGATCCTGCGGTCAGGCTGACAGCATGAACATGAGAAAACATGAGTTGCGATTGGAATGTTTTTTTGAATAAATCATAATAAAAGTTTGTAGAATTGACGGGTAGAGTTTGAATGAAACGGAGTTCGAGCAAGGCAACACTTTCAAACGGTCTCCTGCTGGGAAAGAAGCTGCAAAGCCGCGCGCCATTCTTTGGCCTTCCTCAAGGCATCTCAACACTGATGAGCACACTACTGTACACTCATCTACACTCTATGGCACTCAATCTGCTCACAAGTAAAATCGTTGACGGCCGGACAAAGCACACTTCGGACCACTTGAATGCGTGCTAACGAATGAGTAAGAAAGAACACCTTGACCCTATAATCTAACGTAACATTTCTACCAGCGACAGTTTGATAATGTTTCAGTGTTGCTTTGTTTCAGTTGAGAAACTCACAGGCACTGACGGCAGCACTGCAGCCCACAACATCCCTGAAGTTTGAATGTGGAGGCTTGTCTTAGCTTGACAATCTGGAGGCGTGGGTCTCGTTTTGCTTTGCAAAATGAGGAATGATTCGACTGAGGAGTGTTAACAATTGTAGAAATAAGATGCTATTCATTACTATGTTTTTATTCATGTACCGCAAACTAGTGCGCTGCATGAAACGATTGCAAGACTGAGCAACTCTTTGCAGCAAAAACGATGACGACGATAGAGCACATTTGATCGCTGAAACACTGCGTGACTCAGAAGCTGTCCTTCGGGCATGCCCCAAACTGCACCTTTCGGAGGCGTTCAAAACAGCATCTTTTTACGTAAAAGACACGGTTGATTCTGAGAACCACGCAAAATGGGGGTTCTTTTCTGGCTCAAGTGCAAAGACAAAGACATTTACAATCATTTACATATATGTAACATCAATGAGTCATTGACTGATATATTTGACTCTAATAATTTGTTGGTTATATAATATATAATATCAAATTAGTAGGACACAACTTCACCAATGTAGGACAAACGATGTATGTTTCTGCAATGTTTGCGTTTGTATTTGCAAAGTTTTACAAAGTTTCAATCATCTTCATATCATCTTCATATCATCCTCATATCTTTCCTATTCTTTCCTAATGTGTCTTCCTGTGTCCCACATGACGTCGAGGACGGCCTTTGCTCCAAGATCTCCAGCGCCCATGGCCAATCGGCGCTCTTTTCACAGGCACTGATGGCAGCCTTTTCATGACACATTTCTTCAATTTTCTTCAAAACTTCTTGAGAAATTCAATTTGTTCAACCATTGAATAGTGTGATCGAATTCTGGCTGAGAGGTTGCCCTAAAGATCCTAAAGTATCCTCAAGTATCCTAATTTCCTGTTCTCACCCATCAAATTCCCACAATCGCAATGTCAGGCAGCATATTTCAAGCTTCGGAGTGCAACACATGCAGGCAAGAAAAAAACAACAACACTTTGGTCTGAGGGTCTTCACAAATCTAAACGAACCCTGCAACAAAGGATAGTACCAGCATGTATCACCTGCTGATGCATTGCTAAGGAACGTTACAGCTGATGACGTCCAACTCGCAGTGCTGAAGACGCATCGACGTGATCAAATTCAAAGCAGGACGCATTGCGTGTCCCTTCCTTGGGTAATGGTACACCAACTTGATTCTCCACTATGCTCCAGTGTCCAGTCAAGAGACCAAACAGTTTTGTGCTTTTCAATACTTTCCACATGTACGTCAATGTACGTCTGCGTATGTCGATACTGTATGGTGAGATGCTGCTTAGTCTTGTCCTTGAGGACTAGATGGGTTTCTGTGTCGCATGTTTTTTTGCTGATTCAAATCGGATCAAATGACCTGGTCACACATTTTAAGTGCGGTGACATTGCTAGTTGGACTATGTTTGGTCATGTTGTTTGAATGTCAAGAGATGCCAAGAGTCTCGCAAGAACTCAGGAGAGCGCTGAAGCACACAATGTCAGGTTGCACCACATCGGTATACCTCGCAAGGACGAAACCAAAGGTGAAAGGAAACATGTCCTAAAGGCCAATCAGGTAGGGAAATACCACTGCTCAGAATCGTTGGCATGAACTTCATGGAAAAAATCCAAACACGGAGAACGAGAACCCGCAAGGCTCAAAGTAGTGAAAAACTGCGTTGCCTCGAGTGAGTTAAGCTTTGGAACTTTAGAAACAGAAAATCGAGACAGCACTGGACAGCCCACTCAACTGCTTGAAATATTGGGATCTAAACCCAATCCAAATCTGCCAAGGTATGCTAAGGTACATGTGGGCCATGAGGGCCAATGCCTTTTGCCACCGACCCTCCAAAGCTCCAATTGCTGCACTGTAGGCATATGCATCTCCCAAACGAGATATCCTCATTTTTGAAAGTACCTGAGGAAGGATGCAACATGGTGCAACCACCATCGCACTACATTCTGCTGCCAGTATACAACTCAGTACTTAATGAATTGACTGGGACTGCTACGAATTGAATGGATCACATCAAAGCACCTGAATGGCTGCCTGCCATTCGCTGCACTTCTCGCATGCTGCAATGACAGAACCTCAGACCAACATGTGCCAACGCTGTCGTGCCCATTGATCCCATTGTGGTATATTGTGGTCTGTGGAAAGGGATCTGCACGATGATATCATGATGATATTCTCTCGGCATGACATTGGTTGCTACAAACTTAGTATCCCGTTACCTTGCCACCCGTTGAGGCTCAGAATATACTTGAACAGTTTCGAATTGCCTTGAACAATCTTTCTGAGAATCTTTCAACTCAAGGGTTGAAACATTGTATGTTCTTTACAATTTTCTTACGTGTATACTGATGTGTAATGACTTTTCCTCGTCTGCGCGTTGCACACAGCCTCAAACTTGCCGTCTCAGCTACTGAAAGTCACAGGGTCCGGTCTCGGCCCGTCCTGTATCACCGCAACCACTCTCAGTCTGGTAGTTTTTTACTGCATCGAACACATCAAAACATCAAACCTGTAACTTATATATATATATTAGCTGCGAACCATATTTGTTACATAACGCAATTGACAGGGTGTTCCTACCTCGTTCTCCAGTCCCGTAACGTTTTTGCCTACCTCGTTCTCGGGGTGTTCCTACCTCGTTTTACAAGCTACATATGATGTTCTTGACAAACCGGGGTACGCCCGAATACTACTTTCCATATACGCAAAAAAGAGCCGTCGCTCATATATATATATATATAAACACGTATATACCTTCTTAAAGGAAGTTTAGTAGTCTAAACTCGTGCAAGCTCTGTAGTACGAAGTAGTACTGGGAAGTACCTTGTGCAAGCTTTGTTGTACCCAGTAGTACTGGGATGTACCTTGTGCAAGCTTTGTCGTACGAAGTAGTACTGGGAAGTACTTTGTGCAAGCTTTGTCGTACGAAGTAGTACTGGGAAGTACTTTGTGCAAGCTTTGTCGTACGAAGTAGTACTGGGAAGTACTTTGTGCAAGCTTTGTCGTACGAAGTAGTACTGGGAAGTACTTTGTGCAAGCTTTGTCGTACGAAGTAGTACTGGGAAGTACTTTGTGCAAGCTTTGTCGTACGAAGTAGTACTGGGAAGTACTTTGTGCAAGCTTTGTTGTACCCAGTAGTACTGGGATGTACCTTGTGCAAGCTTTGTCGTACGAAGTAGTACTGGGAAGTACTTTGTGCAAGCTTTGTCGTACGAAGTAGTACTGGGAAGTACTTTGTGCAAGCTTTGTCGTACGAAGTAGTACTGGGAAGTACTTTGTGCAAGCTTCGTAGTACGAAGTAGTATTGGGAAGTACTTTGTGCAAGCTTTGTCGTACGAAGTAGTACTGGGAAGTACTTTGTGCAAGCTTTGTCGTACGAAGTAGTACTGGGAAGTACTTTGTGCAAGCTTTGTAGTACGAAGTACTACTGGGATGTACCTTGTGCAAGCTTTGTCGTACGAAGTAGTACTGGGAAGTACTTCGTGCAAACTCTGTAGTACGAAGCAGTACTGGGAAGTACCTTGTGCAAGCTTTGTGGTACGAAGTAGTACTGGGAAGTACCTTGTGCAAGCTTTGTGGTACGAAGTGGTACTGGGAAGTACTTTGTGCAAGCCTTGTGGTACGAAGTAGTACTGGGAAGTACCTTGTGCAAGCTTTGTTGTACCCAGTAGTACTGGGATGTACCTTGTGCAAGCTTTGTCGTACGAAGTACTACTGGGAAGTACTTTGTGCAAGCTTTGTAGTACGAAGCAGTACTGGGAAGTACTTTGTGCAAGCTTTGTGGTACGAAGTGGTACTGGGAAGTACTTTGTGCAAGCTTTGTGGTACGAAGTAGTACTGGGAAGTACCTTGTGCAAGCTTTGTTGTACCCAGTAGTACTGGGATGTACCTTGTGCAAGCTTTGTGGTACGAAGTAGTACTGGGAAGTACTTTGTGCAAGCTTTGTAGTACGAAGCAGTACTGGGAAGTACTTCGTGCAAGCTTTGTGGTACGAAGTGGTACTGGGAAGTACTTTGTGCAAGCTTTGTAGTACGAAGCAGTACTGGGAAGTACTTTGTGCGAGCTTTGTGGTACGAAGTAGTACTGGTAAGTACTTTGTGCAAGCTTTGTGGTACGAAGTAGTACTGGGAAGTACCTTGTGCAAGCTTTGTTGTACTCAGTAGTACTGGGAAGTACCTTGTGCAAGCTTTGTGGCACGAAGTAGTACTGGGAAGTACTTTGTGCAAGCTTTGTAGTACGAAGTAGTACTGGGAAGTACCTTGTGCAAGCTTTGTGGTACGAAGTAGTACTGGGAAGTACCTTGTGCAAGCTTTGTAGTACGAAGCAGTACTGGGAAGTACTTTGTGCAAGCTTTGTGGTACGAAGTGGTACTGGGAAGTACTTTGTGCAAGCTTTGTGGTACGAAGCAGTACTGGGAAGTACCTTGTGCAAGCTTCGTAGTACGAAGCAGTACTGGGAATTACCTTGTGCAAGCTTTGTAGTACGAAGTACTAGGAAGCAGTACTGGGAAATATTTTGGGCAGGTGTTTGGTCATGAAGGACTTTGTTGCAAGTCCTGTCGTCCAGAGGATGAATTTTGTTCGCAAGGTACGAAAATGTCAAAAGAAAGAGATGTGAGAATGAAGAACGGCCTCAAGACAAAGGAGATGTCAAGACAGAAGGTGTCAAAGGAAACAATTTTAACATGTTTTAACAGAAAGAGGTCTCATAATAAAAGTGTAAAACAACAGGAAACAAGAAAAATGGTGCCAAGCGAAAACCGTCTCAAGAGAATAAGATGTGGAGAGAAGAGAATGTCAAGAGAAGAAGGTCTCAAAAAAAGAGATGCCTAAAGCTAAGGATGCCAAGAGACAGAGACGTCAACGGAAAGCGCCTGAAACGACAGCTTCAAGAGACAGCAATGACGTCAGGAAAAGCTTGTCAGGAGGGAAGAGTGTGTCAAGTCTCTGGCTTCAGAGCTGTCGACAAGAAGGGCTGTCAAGATTCAGAAATGCCAGGAGCAAGCCAGATCAAGAGAAAGTGGCAGCATCAAACAAAGATGTCGAGAGCAAGAAATGTCAAGGACAGAGACTTCAAAGAGATCACGCAGTCGACGGCCGTGCCAGCCAGGCGGTCAGCTGTTCCTATAGGGTCTCCCTTGTCTTTACTCTCGAAACTTCCGTCACCCGGCTTGCCCGGGCTCTACTTGTATATCTTGTATATATATATATGATTATATATGTATATAACTTCCAGACATTGCAGACAGCCAAGGGCAGCTTCCCATGACTTTTCCTGCTCCATGTCTTGCAAAATTGCTAAAGTTAGTCTCCACTGTGCGGCACAGGAGGTGATGGCAGCATTGAACGTGACCCTCAGACGGCACCCACAGGCGACAGTCAGAATGAGTCAGAATCATGTCAAATCATAATGTTTTGTGTTTTGATCAACTGCAGATTGTGGACCCTCGGAGGGCCTTGACTGCCACCTGAATGTTGAGTGTGCGAACCCGAAGAATGATACACCCAAGAGTATCTCAAAGACGGTGCTAAATGGCCAAATGACAAAGTAGGGACTGCTCAACGATGTATTTGCTTTTGCCAAGGAGCACGTTAGCCTCCACCTCCCGGTCATTCATTTCATCCAGAATTGCCAGTGCAACAAACCATTGCTGGGCCTCCGACGGGATGTGTGTCAATATCAGCAAGGACTTGACTGTATGTTGACATATGTTGACCTAGAACCCACCTGATCAAAATTACTATTCATGACAATGAACGCTTATTACTTGAAAATTTATCAAAATACTCACCTGCACCAGCCATTACCAGCCTGTGTATGGCAGTGTATGGTGTGGAATGTCTTCTTGCCAAAGTTGCTTCAAGCGAAGCCGCGAAGCCAAAGCACTGTAGTGTCCTTCTCGCCTTCTGGGACACGCTGATGGCTGAGGTGTAGCTGAAAACATTCGCTTCCACGTTCTGATCCTGCGAAAGCCAAGGAGAGGCGAAAGGCTCTTCTGGAACATAGATATTCATCTTTAATTCATCTTTACTGATTTGACTTGATTTTTATACAGTAGGTAATTGATCTGTTTGCCAGTTTCAATGGAATTTGACAATTGTAAAACGATCAAAAAAGATGTTCTTCTCTGGTGTAATTACATCTAATCACAGTGTTTACAAAGCTCTCTCAGTAACTTTTGCTAAGCAAAGCATTCCGTCCAGCATTCCGTGCAACAGGTGCAAAGCTCTTTGCCACTGTTGGCTTTCGCCCACGCATGTAATTCCGCTGGTGCAACAAACGGCATCAAGGCGCAGCTCCTCCAGAAGGATAATGAGATCTGAACAAATGTGATGAACAGATATGCTGAAAGCATATGAAAACACATTCACATTATGAAGAGTTGTGAAGCTGCTGAACCTTTTTATGTTTCGTTCTCCCTCCGCAGTTTCTGCTGAGTTCGAAGTTCTTCGAAGTTCTTCGAAGTTCTTCGAAGTTCTTCGAAAAGTTCTTCGAAGTTCTTCGAAGTTCTTCGAAAAGTTCTTCGAAAAGTTCTTCGAAAAGTTCTTCGAAGTTCTTCGAAGTTCTTCGAAGTTCTTCCAAGTTCTTCGAAGTTCTTCGAAAAGTTCTTCGAAAAGTTCTTCGAAAAGTTCTTCGAAAAGTTCTTCGAAAAGTTCTTCGAAAAGTTCTTCGAAAAGTTCTTCGAAAAGTTCTTCGAAGTTCTTCGAAGTTCTTCGAAGTTCTTCGAAGTTCTTCGAAGTTCTTCCAAGTTCTTCGAAGTTCTTCGAAAAGTTCTTCGAAAAGTTCTTCGAAAAGTTCTTCGAAAAGTTCTTCGAAAAGTTCTTCGAAAAGTTCTTCGAAAAGTTCTTCGAAAAGTTCTTCGAAGTTCTTCGAAGTTCTTCGAAGTTCTTCGAAGTTCTTCGAAGGTCGATTCAAATTGTTTTGTCCTTCTCCACCATGGTCTCCAGCAGCGCCAGTGCTTGTGCCCACGGAAGGAAGCGAAGAACGCCACTGCAACTCACCACATCCCAGGCCTTAGATGCCTTAGATATTCTTTTTTTGAAAAAGGATATTCTTAGAATATCACATAGTGATACATAGTGATCATCTTTTTTGAATTCTTAGATCACTATGATCACTTCACATCACGTCGAGACAGGTCTTCATGCAGACAAAAGTTATAACGGTGGCACAAGCGTGCACAACGTCTTAGGTCCACAGGGTGCTTGGATCATTTCAAATACAATGCTCTTTCATAGCCTGCTGGATTCCGCCTGATGCAGAAATCTTATGACTGTTGAAGATCTGGGAGATCTATGTAAATCCTGCAGATGAGGTTAGATAAGCTGCTTGGCGCGAAGCCAAAAGTTCAATGGCCTGCTGCCAGTGACTCCTGGTGGCTCTGCTCATGGAAAGGACGAACCTCTGCTACAAACATCATGGTAAGTTACGGTTCAATATCCTGGCAAGTTACGGTTCAGATACGCATTGATCATATTGTACTCGTTTTGATTCCCTTGAATTCATTACAGTAGCACTCCTGTAATGTGGCAAACGCTTTCCCCAGAATGTGCCCAAGAGCTTCAAAATCCGTCCCCAGAACCTGTCCACGTCTCTCCCCTCCTTGCTACACGCCGCAGGCATGATGCAAAGGCATACGCATCTGCAGCGACTCTTTCCTGGACGTCTTGGAATTTGAGTTACACTGCAGCTTGTGCAGGAATCTTGCAGAAATAGCAAGTGGTGCGATGTGAAAATGATGCCTCTGGCTGGATATAAAAATGCAAAAAGGACCGCTTACACGGCCAGCAAACGCTGGGCCTCAGCCGTGATCTTGGCCCGCATGCTGCCATCGGTACTCGCGCAGCCCATGGCATCAATGCAACAGAACAACCACGACCAACACGAGAATTCAGCAAACACAAGTAGGATATACATAGAATATCATAGAATTACATAGATCAAGTGCTGATGTAGGTATCTCATGCCAATGTCTTTCAAGCATTTTCAAGCTGCACAGCGTGGAAGACATGGTTTGAAGACATGTTCACTACCGAGATTAGGCGCAAAGGAGAAGATGTAACTTCACCCCCAACAGGTGTTCCATGAGTGGACCCTCAAGACGAAGACCTTGAAGAAAGATGCAATCTACTTGAGCAAAATCTATGAAACAACGTGAAACATATGAATGAGCCATATGAAACAGTAAGCAACACCATTCCCTAGATCATATGGACCTGCCGGGGTTCGTGTGCCATGTCCGTAGACAATCCATAAAGCTTTCAACATAAGCAGCTTTCCGATTCCAGCATGTTCAGCTCAAGTACGGTATCAGACGGTATCACACTTGTTCATACTCTATCTCCATCACTATCCCGTATATCCCATCTAATACTGTATCCCTTGTTGCGAAAACAGTGCGAATCTGCACCATACGACTGACAAATTGATCAGATGACAGTGACTCATGCTGGTCACTTGCATTGCTTGTAGCTCTCGACGGAGGGCCAAGTTCATCTCGGAAAGATCCCTGGCATCACGCAGCCAGTCTACTATAGAAGTTGTGCAGTCAGCGTGGACAACAGCCATAAATCATATTAAACTATATGACTATATAATATTGAAAGATATTGCCATTAAAAAATCAATTCGTTTCTGGCAAACTTGGTTGGTGGCCGCAGACCCGCAGAATTGTCGTTTTGTCGACGCTCTGGGCCTTACTTGCTCCCGCAAGAGATGGATTTCTTCGCTCTCTTCGTGGTTGAGTTTCCTCCGATTTCACTGCGTCATGTTTTGACAGTCTCATTCAGGCCAGTATGGCCACTATGACAGGCCAGCTGGAATGTGTTGGAACACTTTGGAACATATAGGATCAAAAATACTGTGAGTCCATCAGTCGGATCGCACCACATCCCTGTCCTCGCGACATCTCCTTTCGGCATGCATTTTCCAAGACAAACGCCCTCCATGACACCTCAAATGCAAGCGCCTTGTTAAGTGTGCAATTCTAAAAGAAGCTTCCGTTGACAGGAAACTCAGGCCTTCCCGCCTCTAAACATTGACATGCGGTTTCTTCCAGCTCAATACACACAAATATATAAATGAGCTCTAACAAATGATCTCCTCTATGGGATGCACAAAAATGCGAAACACCTCGTATGAATCTCTCTTATATGTTGTTATATTTCGGACTGATGACTTAGGACTTAGGCCACCATAGTGACATAGGATTTTGTGCACCAAGTCCTAAGTCACTGGTGTTCCTACCAGGTGGTTTGTGTGCACCAAGTCCTAAGTCACTGGGGTTGTGATTGGATTCAAGCACTTTTTAGGGTGTAAAAAAATCTCTTAATAAGTCATCAGCATCTACATACTTACATTACATTACAGTACAGTACATTACATCACTACAATACAGTAAAGTACAGTACATTACATCACACTACAGTACATTACATTACAGTAAAGTGCACTACATTACATTACACTACAATACATTACAGTACAGTACGTTACAGTACATACATGCATAGGACTTGGTGCACAAAATCGTATGTCACTAGAGGGGCACAAGTCCTAAGTCATCAGAACCTACATACTTACAGTACATTACAGTACAGTACAGTAAAGTACATTACACTACACTGCATTACATTACACTACATTACATTACAGTACATTACACCACATACATGCATAGGACTTGGTGCACAAAATCGTATGTCACCAAAGGGGCACAAGTCCTAAGTCATCAGGACCTATATACTTACAGTACATTGCAGTACAGTATATACAGTACATTACACTACAGTAAATTACATTACATTACAGTAAAGTGCAGTACATTACATTACACTACAGTACATTACATTACAGTACAGTACATGACAGTACATACATGCAAAGGACTTGGAATTGTATGTCACCAGAGGGGCACAAGTCCTAAGTCATCAGAACGTACATACATATATTACATTACATTACAATACAGTACATTACATCACAATACATAATACGTTGAAAACATATATTTATATTTTTCAATTTATTTATAATTGCTTTAAAATAATGTCTCTATATAAATCGAAGGAAAAAATGAAAATCACAATTTTTCAAGATGGGCACAAGTCCTAAGTTATCAGAACCTACATACTTACAGTACATTACAGTACAGTACAGTACAGTACATTACGCTACACTGCATTACATTACATTACAGTACAGTACATTACATTACATTACAGTAAAGTGCAGTACATTACATTACACTACAGTACATTACATTACAGTACGTGACAGTACATACATGCAAAGGACTTGGAAATCGTATGTCACCAGAGGGGCACAAGTCCTAAGTCATCAGAACGTACATACATATATTACATTACATTACAATACAGTACATTACATCACAATACATAATACGTTGAAAACATATATTTATATTTTTCAATTTATTTATAATTGCTTTAAAATAATGTCTCTATATAAATCGAAGGAAAAAATGAAAATCACAATTTTTCAAGATGGGCACAAGTCCTAAGTTATCAGAACCTACATACTTACAGTACATTACAGTACAGTACAGTACATTACGCTACACTGCATTACATTACAGTACAGTACATTACATTACAGTAAAGTGCAGTACATTACATTACACTACAGTACATTACATTACAGTACAGTACGTGACAGTACATACATGCAAAGGACTTGGAAATCGTATGTCACCAGAGGGGCACAAGTCCTAAGTCATCAGAACGTACATACATGTATATATATATATATATATATTACATTACATTACAATACAGTACATTAAATCATAATACATAATACGTTGAAAAAAATATTTATATTTTTCAATTTATTTATAATTGCTTTAAAATAATGTCTCTATATAAATCGAAGGAAAAAATGAAAATCACAATTTTTCAAGATGGGCACAAGTCCTAAGTTATCAGAACCTACATACTTACATTACATTACAGTACAGTACATTACGCTACATTACATTACATTACATTACAGTAAAGTACAGCACATTACATTACACTACAGTACATGACATTACATTACAGTACATTACAGTAAATTACATTACATACATGCACAGGACTTGGTGCACAAAATCGTATGTCACCAGAGGGGCACAAGTCCTATGTCATCATGGTTTTACGAGTGGTCCATGTCGCACTTAAAAAAATCAAACATAGTTACATAGTTTCTAATTTCATACGGACACCTGATGAGTTGGGACTTGTCCAGGGGGGGCCCGACGCATGATGAGATAGGACTTGGCCACACCGGGGTATCTTTCACAAGTCCTAAGTCACTCGCTTGAAATATATGCAATTTCCAGATCCAGCATGATCCAGCGATTTCCCTCTGTGATGTTTATGGCAGTCGACAAAGCAGCAGAAAAAAAACATTTTATAAAAAACGTGCCAGCGAAACTGCCGAGATGCAATGTATCACGAATCACACGGCAAACCAATCCTTGTGCCCTTGAGCCGGTCTGCACAGGAGTTTCCAAAAAGTATTGCTGTCAAACTGTTTCCTTCACAAAATGCAAACACAATCTGAGGGTGGATTGAAAAGCATCACGCAATTACAGTAGATAAGTGGGGTCTCAAACCTCTGAAGAAGATTGAAGAAATTGCAATAAGATTCATCTCTTCTTGGACTATTGATGCATCATGTCACTGTTGTCCAGCATGGAATGTTAATCGGTCTGCGTTTCTTCGTGCTGCATGTCAGGTATAACAAGTGAAAAATCAGCTTTTACTATGTTTGGATCCACTCAAAGTCTGGACACGCTGCAAATGCAGCTGGCATGAACAGGACTCCATCTTTGCCTTGTGTAATATGCAATGTAATATATGTAATCAGCAATGGATCATGCACTGAAAAAGTATGCTCTTTCTGCAACCCTGCAGTTGCCATCGTTCTAAAGTACTTAGAACTTTGCAAATCTCTTGGCTACAACATACTGCAACATGGAGATTCTAATGACCTAAGTCATAGTCATATCATTCTCTGAGCTGGGTGGAGAAATGTGTACTTCTTCCTTAAACTTAACCTGTCATCAACAGGAAAGCAACAAGTGAACATCCATGGAGTCCATGGAGTCTGCTTGTAAGAAAAGCAAACATGAAGAGTCCCGATATGTCCCGTTCACGGTTCGAAGCATTGATCCCGTTGAATCTGGAAACATCTGGAAACATCACTAAAACAAGTTCTTGAGATTCTTGAGTGTTGAAAGAATGATGAACTTCGAACTCTCTGGGGCCGTCTAGCGCACGTTCTTTGGTGCACATGGCGAGCTAGGTGTGGTGATAGTCCAAGCAGTTGGCGTTGAATCGGCGATGAATCATACAGCACGAAATAGGCTTGAAGAGCTTGTGCCTTTGCTTAAAGGAAAACCTTCTCTTTCACTACAATTTTCAAATGTTCATCTCGTACTTGCCAAGGCTTCACAAACAAGGAAGAGCACACTAGCTTGGTGTCGCGCACTGTGAGCCTTTATTTAGGTCCTCGTATCTGTGTGTTCAGGGATTTGAATAGATTTGATGCGTTGTTGAAAATGGCTCAGTGTATTTTTTGGAAGAGTCAAACATGTCAAACTCACTGATTTTGCCATGTCTCAACTCATAATTCATCGCCAGAAGTTGAACATCACACACGCGTGAAACTTCATCTGCACAGGTTGAGTCTGCGGTCGATTGACACGGCCAACGCTCATGGCACACATGGCACATACCTAGCCAAGCTCAGCCTGAGCCAAGCTCAGCCTGCTTGCGCCGGTCGCATGGGCTCAAACCGATGATTTAAATCATTTCGACCAACTTCACGCACGGTTTTCTCGATGTGGTCGATCTGCCTCAACTCTGCACAATTAACAGTTGACTGTCTGAACCTGTCTGAATTTGTCTGAATCTACAATCTAATCATGAAAACATATGAAAACTGTTCTACTCTTCACGATCCTGAATCCCCCAATTTCGACCGTGCACAGCTGAGTGTAGGACCAAAGAATGTGCGCCTGAAGCAATGGCAATTTGTGGTGGACAAATGTTGAGGCTAGTTTTCAACATGCTTTTAAGGCATGCCATTTCAAAAGAACATGCATTCTGTGAAGTAAAGGACCTCTCGTCTATACACGAAAGGTACGTGTTGAATCTGGTTGAACGATGCTGAATCATGTTAAATGTATGTTTCTTTGAACACAAAGAGGAAACAGTTTCACAGATCAAGGCACCGGTGCAAAGTATCACGTCTAAGTGCGCTATGTTCATATGTTTTCATTAAATCATGTTCTAAATGTTCTAATAATGTCTAATCTCTTTGTAGCGGCATAGCGGGGTAAGGATTCGAGTGGAAAAGGATAAAATATCCTGTGCTAGCATCACTACAAGACCGTGGACGAAACTGAAAACTGAATAAGTCGAGAAAAGCTTTCATGGCTGTCATATTGAGAAAGTAAAGGGCGAACGACTCACAGCAGTAGTCAATTCTGATACTCTCAAGATATTGAAGGGCAATGAAGGGCAATGAAGGACAGGACGGGTAGGAGTTATGGCAGGATCATCTGGAGCGAACGGACTCCCAGGGCACCTGCTGGGCTTGCTCAACCGTCTCAGGCGAAAACACCACGCATCGGGGCCGCCTTGAAGTCCTAGGACGACATCAGACATCAGACAGGGGACAAGACCGAGATGACGGAAAGTCATGGAAAGGCGCAACTCGAAGGATCAGAGAACCTGTAAGAACTCACGGATTTCGGGAGAGGCAAAAGAAAGAGCAAAGATATGCAAAGATAACAAATAGATGCAAAATATGATCAAATATGGATCTTGATGGATCTTGCTAAGTCAGAGGAAGGACCACGCGACTTCCGCCAAAACAATGCATGTATCATCTAGCTGTCTCACGTGTGTGCTGCATGATGCTGCACACCATGCTAGTTCACCAAAGGATCAAATCCGCTGCAGGAAGGCATGCTCCGCGATTCTCGTGATGAATCTTAATGACCTACAGGCACACTATCAGGTTCTCGGTAATGCACGGTGCGGGTGTTGATATCAGAAGGGAGCCGTTTGCTCTGCTTCAAACCAGAACAGGATGCGTTGAAACATCTTAATCATCTTAATCATCTTAAGGCCTGTCAATATTATATAATATTATCAATATCCATGACTTCCACAGAATTGGCATCGGGAACTTCCACGGTGGATTCTGCTGATTTCAACAGCGTGTTGGGCAATGTCCATGCGCCAAGGAGCATTGAGAATAGAGTCCGCAGTACCAAGGTCGAAGTGATGGAATGGGCGGTGTAAGACCAGCCTTGCGGGGGCCGGATCATATTTCATGACCTCGAAAAGATCAACTACTAGGATGCTTGTGTGCGTAACATCAGGCAGAATATGGTGACGCATGGTAGAACAGTTCTAGAATCTAGAATGATCTAGAATCTTTTAAAATTGTGTAAATGATTTTCTAAAATGATATTAAATGTATGTTCGAAAATGTTCGAAAAGCTGATCGCCAAGTTGCAAGTCTGGATTCATGATGAGCGCTCGTGCCAGACTCACCTTGACCTGACATGGGATCACCCAAAAACACAAAAGCCGTCGAAAATATTAACACATCCTTAAAAAATCTAAAAATATCCAATATAAGCAATTTATATTATAATAAATATATGTATATATATATATGTCCACTCAAGGATTACTATATATTACTTCAAAGCAGCTAGAGAGAGAGTCCAGTGCAGAGGATAAGTCGGGTAAGTCTGCCATCCACGAAAAATCAAGCCTTCTCAGTGTATGTCAGAGGCTCCATCCACTGTCTACGGCTTGACTCCTAGCAGTGCCAGAAAGAACTGTTTTTCTCTGGGGGCAATGGCATGCATGCCTATGCATGGAAAAATCCAATCTGAATCGTGGGCTGATCATGGTGAAGGGAGCCAAATTAAGCAAAGACGTTTCATCTTGTCACATCTTATCACAAGCTTCTGACAGTTCGTCTTCAGAAAAGTTTCAAACGTTTCGATTCGTCTCTTTTGGTTTTGGCACGCTCGACTCTCCTTGGCAACGTCAGCCGCCAACTCTTGTGGATCTAACGCCGGAAGTTCCATGTAACCCGCAGCGCCTGCAAAAATACACAGCTGGGCAGCTGGGCTCAATGGAACATGATCATGATCAGCGAACAAAATTTCTTTAATGTCTACCAGCAGAATGCAATTGATGACGGATTTTGTCACAATCAAGTCGCAAACGGCACACAACCAGTGCCAATACTACTTAGTGCTTCCAACCTTCGCTTTTACTTGATGGTGTCTTTGAGATTCTTTGAGAACTCTATGTACATGTTTGTCCCCTTTCGCTGTGGTCAGTTGCCATGAAATGATTTTGGTTTCCCTTTGAACCTTATCTGCAAGAAACCATGCTGGACACGACGTTTCACCATGTTTCACCGTTGTCACCTTTGTGTCACCGTTGTCACCCAGCTTTTCCCCGGCCTTGCGTCATGGACAATGTCCTGGAGCTGCGACTGCGAGGTTCCCGACTCGTCAAAGGCTCTGATAGGTCTGAGATCTTCTCCACTGGTGACCGGTTCGGCTGTTTGATGCCTGGCCGCACAATGTTTTTTGATGTTTTTTGATGTTTTTTGATGTTTTTTGATGCTTTTTGATGTTTTTTGATGCTTTTTGATGTTTTTTGATGCTTTTTGATGCTTTTTGATGCTTTTTGATGCTGATTCCCCACCTGCCAGGTGAGGGTTGTTAGATTTTATCAGAGCTGTTCTCCTCCTCCTCCTCCGCCTCCTAACTCCTCGCAGTCCAGATCCCAGTGGGCACAGCCGGACCTCCACCGCGAGCTCCAGATCCCAGTGGGCACTGCCGGATCTCAACCGCGAGTTGCAGATCGCAGTGGGCACTGCCGGACCTCAACCGCGACTTCCAGGTCGCAGTGGGTAGTGCCGGACCTCAACCGCGACTTCCAGATCGCAGTGGGCACTGCCGGACCTCAACCGCGACTTCCAGATCGCAGTGGGCACTGCCGGACCTCAACGGGAAGAACTCAGAAAAGATGTCAGATAGAATGTCAGGAGATATGCCAGATAGAATGCCAGAAAGAATGTCAGAAAGAATGTCAGAAGATATGCCAGACAGAATGTCAGAAGATATGCCAGAAAGAATGTCAGAAGATATGTCAGATAGAATGTCAGAAGATACGCCAGATAGAATGCCAGAAAAAATGTCAGAAGATATGCCAGATAAAATGTCAGATAGAATGCCAGAAGATATGCCGGAAGATTTGCCAGATAGAATGCCAGAAGATATGCCAGAAGATATGCCAGATAGAATGCCAGATAGAATGCCAGAAGATATGTCAGATAGAATGTCAGAAGATATGCCAGACAGAATGTCAGAAGATATGCCAGAAAGAATGTCAGAAGATATGTCAGATAGAATGTCAGAAGATATGCCAGATAGAATGCCAGAAAAAATATCAGAAGATATGCCAGATAGAATGTCAGAAAGAATGTCAGAAGATATGCCAGAAAGAATGTCATAAGATATGCCAGAAAGAATGTTCTGAATGCCACAAGATATGCCAGAAAGAATGTCAGAAAGAATGTCAGAAAGAATGTCAGATAGAATGCCAGAAAAAATGTCAGAAGATATGCCAGAAAGAATGTCAGAAGATATGTCAGATAGAATGTCAGAAGATATGCCAGATAGAATGCCAGAAAAAATATCAGAAGATATGCCAGATAGAATGTCAGAAAGAATGTCAGAAGATATGCCAGAAAGAATGTCATAAGATATGCCAGAAAGAATGTTCTGAATGCCACAAGATATGCCAGAAAGAATGTCAGAAAGAATGTCAGAAGATATGCCAGATAGAATGCCAGAAAAAATGTCAGAAGATATGTCAGATAGAATGTCAGAAGATATGCCAGAAAGAATGTCATAAGATATGCCAGAAAGAATGTTCTGAATGCCACAAGATATGCCAGAAAGAATGTCAGAAAGAATGTCAGAAAGAATGTCAGATAGAATGCCAGAAAAAATGTCAGAAGATATGCCAGAAAGAATGTCAGAAGATATGTCAGATAGAATGTCAGAAGATATGCCAGATAGAATGCCAGAAAAAATATCAGAAGATATGCCAGATAGAATGTCAGAAAGAATGTCAGAAGATATGCCAGAAAGAATGTCATAAGATATGCCAGAAAGAATGTTCTGAATGCCACAAGATATGCCAGAAAGAATGTCAGAAAGAATGTCAGAAGATATGCCAGATAGAATGCCAGAAAAAATGTCAGAAGATATGTCAGATAGAATGTCAGAAGATATGCCAGAAAGAATGTCATAAGATATGCCAGAAAGAATGTTATGTAGCTATATATGCCATGGTGGGGATCATTCGAAGTGAAGCAATTGATGCTTTTTGATGCTTGGACCATTTGGATTTTCATGAAGTTCTAAAATCACGGCGATCTTCACCCGCCTTGCTCTGCGTCTTCTTCGTTCTCTGCAAGCGTGGCATTTCCAACCAATTCCAGCCTCGGCACATCTTCCAACAAGCTTGATTCGTTGAAACTATGTTATGAGCGCGTATGAGTGCCAACACATCACAGAAGCACCGAGGCAACCTGACTTCCGACAGAAATTCAGTGCGACAATTGACCAAAACCGACATAGGATCTCCATGGATCTCCTGCTTCATGCACTGCGCCTTTTTGATGGTATGCTATTCAAAATGCCGAATCCAAATCTAGGCAAATTGTGATTGCTGTGATGTAAGGCAGATGGTTTTCAAATCACATATCGGTACAACGCACTTCATACACATTACGATGACAAATGGGGTACAATATTGTACAAATCATGCACAAACAATCAGTGCCAAGATGAAACTTGCATCATGAACGAAATGACATTCCCAATTTCCACTTCCTGGCTCCAGCTTTGTGACACAATCCTGACACGTGGAGAATTCTTCGTTGGTTATATAACTCCAAGATCGCATTCGGGTCAGAACAAAATATACTTAAGATGAATCGATGCCTGCATAATTTTCAAGCTTCCCATGTGCTGGATGAATTCAGCAACTAACCTATGCAAAAACGAATATAATTCATCGTCAAGGAAAAATAGGGACACCTCTGTTAGTGTCACTTCATGTTGTCGAAGTCTGCGTGTGTGAGATGTGGGACCAGGCAATGTTGAGTAGGTAGAATTGGGATGCCTACGTCAACTACGGCCTACCGTCTGCCTCAGTCGACGTTCACCTTGTCCGCAATCACTGCTGCACCTCGTTGGGATGCATGTTCAACATTTTCAACAAGAAAAATGCTCAACCTTCTAGGGTTGGAAGAAGAATGCCAGGAACGCAAGAAGCGTTGCTGCAGGACAAAATGATGGGTTCTCTCATTCCCTCTACTTCAATCAGCACATGACATAGTGTTCATTGCATCATATGAAACAATATTCGAAGCTGATACAAGAAAATAAAGGAAAAGGAAACGAAACGAATCCGAATTCTGGCTCTAGGGTGGCATCAACAGTGCTCCAGCCCAACAAGGCACACAACAGGACCCTATACTATGCTATACTACGCTGTACTGTACTATCTTCTACTATATTGAATTTAGGTATCATCACTATCTTGAATTTCACGTGTTATATTCAACTCAATGTTTCTATTGTATTATTGGATATTATTAGATCACAATGTGTTAGATTAAGTTCTTCTGAATTATGTTAGACTGCATTATCTTTTGTTGGTTGCAATGAACTGATATGATATTATATTTCCTTATGAGGCATGATATTCAGTTATATATTATATAATGTTGTATGCCATGATACTAAATGTTATGTTTATTATACAGAATAAACTTAATTGATTTTATCATATGGTATCTTTGAAATCATATGATATCATGCTATAGTAAACTGTATAGAGTTAATATTAAACCAAATGGTTTAAAATTATGTTGCTTGATATTTTGCTAAACTATATATATATATTTGAAATTATATGGTACTATACGGGGTTTTAACTAACATAATATTTGAAATCATGTGATATAATTTGAACTCAAATGAAATTGAATAAACAGATTCTATTATATTAATGAAATTGTGCTACAAATTATTGAGTTATTTTGTGTTAACGTGTATAATATTATCATCAAAATGTACCATATTATTTTACATTCGATGATGCTTTGCTAAATTGCAACCTAGTGCCTAAATCATTATCGCATTTTCTATTTTAGACTATACTGAAAAATATTACAATTTTCCCTTATAGCATATTATATTGGATGTTTGGTCTTTAAAAAATCGCAGAATATATTTAATATTGTTTTATATTTTAGTATGTTACAGGACAATCTACTATATTAGATTGCATTAGATACTAAATTATCTGGTATTAAGAAATATATCATAGCCTTGTCTGTTGTATTATCTTGTTTAGGTGTCTACTTCATTGATGCTGAAGACAAAAATATTAAGTTATATGCATGAAACAAATCTATATGAACATAGATTATGTTATATTGTGCTGTAACATACAAAAATCACATTGACTTGTTGGTGTCATATTAGAATATTGTACTTTATTTTTCCGCATATTACTATTCTTGCTCTATTTCAAAGGTTTCGATAATTCATGGGATTATATGAAATTACATAGTTTTTTGAACTACTACATATTTATATCAAATTCAAGACAATGTTGTTTCTACATTGAATCCGGTTACTTTCTGTAATATTTCATAGTATGAAATCACATGATGTCAAATAACGGTACATTCTATTGTATTTTCGTGCATTATATTATCTTATATTAAATTGCACGATATTTTGTTACATTATGGCATATCATGGCAAATCACTTGAAGCTTTGGCAAACTGAATTCAGTTGTATTCAACAATATGTATTCTTTGAAAAATACGTTTTCGATATGTTACTACTACTGCTGCTGCTGCTACCGCCACTACTACCACTAGCACTTCTATCACTACCACTTCTACCACAACTCCCACTCCTACTGCTAAGCCTACTCCTATTCCCGCTCCTACTGCTACCGCTACTGCTAGCAATCTTTTTTGGCACACGTTCACCAAAACATTGTGCCTTTGATGCGGACTTGGCTGCCTGCATGTGCAACACGAAGCAACAACCCATTACACTACATTACTTTACAATACAGCACGGGTACAATTACCATTACGTACAATTAACGTTAGTGCATTACATAACATTACCATTCTATTCTAGTCCATTCCATTACATTCCATGACATTGAACCGCATTACATTCTATTAATTGCATTACATATCATTGCGTTACATGACAGTGGTTTTGCATTACATTACATTGCGTTGAATCGCATAACATTGCATTACATCTGTACATACATTACATACGATATATAGCGTATGTATACATATGCATTGATATGTCAATTCACATTAATTACATTCAAGATAATCAGATATATCAGACACTGTGCACAGTGAAGGATCTTTAGGCCGACCTGCATCACAAGGCTATTCAGCTAATAGTTGAATGGTTGAAAAATATGTGGGTCGACAAGCAAATGTCCCTCCAATCAAGACCAGGAACGATTTCCAAACGGGACTTGGCATAACATATTCATTCATCATGGACTACCCGAAGTACTTGATGACTGTTAATACCTATTGCGAATTGAAAACTCTGTCTTCATGTATATTGTACACCTTCGAGCATATGGCAGACATAGATGAAAATATGAGGATGGATGAGCCAAACAATCTAAATAGCCGATGAAAAGAGTCTGATACAATCTGGAAAAATGAAATATAGAATAGTTATTCAAACAAAAATCTATAAGTGAGAAATCGCATAAATAATATATAATACGAGTACTGTGTATATACATTTATGTCTGATGTATACTGTATATGTATATTGTATACTATGCCTGTATGACTGTATATATATACACATATATGTTATATTATACATTGAACATTACTATACATTATACAATGATATACAATATATATATATTACATAGTTGAGATTATAGATTAAACACTATATATCATATGTTTCTGACTATAGATTATACAATATATATATATATATACATATTATTATTACATTGTATGTTATACATTGAAAATTAAACCAAATATTTTATGCTATATGTTATGCATTGTATATTATATATTAAATAAATCGTAAAACATATGTTTTGTATATAATATATATATTAATATCATATACCATATATCATACATCATATATCATATATAATATATCATATATCATATAATATATCATATATCTATGTATTAAACAAAAATATACAGGTGAGCGCAGTCCAATTCGGATTCTGTAGCGGGGGGGGGGTAGTTGTGCTGTTTTGTATGTATATATGTGGTATTGTATTATTATATCAGCCAACCCCAGCAAGGAGCAGGGGGAGCGCATCAGAAAAAAAGGTGTCGTTCCGGCACTGCCGCTCATGCCAGTGTCTGCAGCTGGGTGCTGTTTCCCCGCTTCGGAGGGTTGCCGAAGCTCCGCGTGCTGGGATTGAAACTACCTTTTTCTATGGGTTCAGAAAGTCACGTTAGAGACTGCGGTCTCTGGCCTGGAAGGATGGGTGGATCCTTCAGCTGGGTGCTGTTTACACTATCTTTTTCGATTGGTTCAGAAAGTGAAGCTCCGCATGCTGGGCGTGAAACTACCTTCTGGGTTCAGAAAATGCTGTTAGAGAATGCCGGCTCTCACCTGGAAGGAGCGGGTGGATGGATCCTTTCAAGCTGGGTGCTACTCCCCGTTTGGCAGGTTTCCGACGCTCCGCGTAATGGGCTGTGAAAACTACCTCTTTCTATGGGTCAGAAAGGCACGTTTTAGAGACTGCGGTCTTTGGCCTGGAAAGCCTGGAAAGGACGGTGGGTCCCTTCAGCTGGGTGCTTGTTTCCCCGTTTCGCAGAGTTTCGAAGCTCCGCGTGCTGGGCTTGGACAACTACCCTTTTCTATGGGTTCAGAAAAGTCACGTTAGAGGGACTGCGGTCTCTGGCTGGAAGGCCTGGAGGGCCCGGTGGATCCTTGAGCTGGGTGCTGTTTCCCCGTTTCGCAGGGTTCATGCTCCGGTTGCTATAAGCTTGAAACTACCCTTTTTCTATGGGTTTCAAGCAAGTACGTTAGAACTCGGTCTCTCGTCTGAAGGCCGGAAGGACCGGTGGATCCTTCAGCTGGGTGCTGCTTCCCCGTTTCGCAAGGTTTAGGAAGCTCCGCGTGCTGGGCTTGACACTACCCTTTTTCTATGGGTTCAGAAAGTGACGTTAGAGATTGCGGTCTCTGGCCTGGAAGGACCGGTATGACCGGTGGATCCTTCAGCTGGGTGCTGTTTCCCCGTTTCGCAGGGTTTCCGAAGCTCCGCTTGCTGGGTTTGACACTACTCTTTTTCTATGGGTTCAGAAAGTCACGTTAGAGACTGCGGTCTTTGGCCTGGAAAGCCTGGAAAGACCGGTGGGTCCTTCAGCTGGGTGCTGTTTCCCCGTTTCGCAGGGTTTCCGAAGCTCCGCTTGCTGGGTTTGACACTACTCTTTTTCTATGGGTTCAGAAAGTCACGTTAGAGACTGCGGTCTCTGGCCTGGAAGGCCTGGAGGGACCGGTGGATCCTTCAGCTGGGTGCTGTTTCCCCGTTTCGCAGGGTTTTCGATGCTCCACGTGCTATAAGCTTGAAACTACCCTTTTTCTATGGTTTCAGAAAGTAACGTTAGAGACTGCGGTCTCTGGCCTGGAAGGACCGGTGGATCCTTCAGCTGGTTTCCCCGTTTCACAGGGTTTCCGAAGCTCCGCGTGCTGGGCTTGACACTACCCTTTTTCTATGGGTTCAGAAAGTGACGTTAGAGACTGCGGTCTCTGGCCTGGAATCCTTCGGCTGGGTGCTGTTTCCCCGTTTCGCAGGGTTTCCCGGGGGCGGCGGCAGGGGCGGCAGCTTTTTATCCGGCCAGGGGCCCGCGGGGCCCGGAGCTGGTCGTGGCATTGCCGTACGGCAGTTCTCTCCTCTCCGAAGAAGAGACGGGCCACCGCCCCTGCCGCCGAACACCCCCCCCCACCCCGTACCATCAAAAAGTCCTACGTTTTACGGTGTTTTTTGCTGTTCCATTTTTCGACTCTTGTGGCCTAAGATGGGTCAACATGGGCCAACATAGGCCGCAAGATGGGCCAACATAGCCCCAAGATGGGCCAACCTAGCCCGAAGAGGGCCCAAGATGGGCCAACATAGCCCCAAGATGGGCCAACATAGCCCTAAGATGGGCCCAAATTGCTCTCAAGATAGGCCAACATAGCCCCAAGATGGGCCAAGATAGGCCAACATAGCCCCAAGATGGGCCCATATAACCCCAAGCCGTTCACAACAAACCACGCACAACAACAACAACAACAACAACAACAGCCACAACTGCAACAACAACAACAACAACAACAACAACAACAACAACAACAACAACAACAACAACAACAACAACAACAACAACAACAACAACAACAACAACAACAACAACAACAACAACAACAACAACAACAACAACAACAACCGCAACAACCACAACAACAACCGCAACAACCGCAACAACCACAACAACAACAACAGCAACAACAACCACAACAACAACAACAACCACAACAACACCAACACCAACACCAACACCAATACCAACAACGACAACAACAACAACAACAACCACAACCACAACCACAACCACAGCAACAACAACCGCACCAACAGCAGCAACAACAACACCACCACCACCACCAACAACAACAACAACCACAACAACAACAACAACCACAACAACAACAACAACAACAACAACAACGACCTCCACAGCAATAACCACAACGCCAGCCACAACCCATGCCGCCCCAAAGACCCCTGCAACCGCCGCCCACCTAGTCCCAAGCTACCCCCCGATAGCCCCAAGCTGGACATACATAGCCTCCCGATGGGGCAACATAGCCTTGAGCTCTTGCTCCCTGCTCGACCCCTATCACCTCAACATGGGCCCCTGGGCGGCTGTCGCGCGTAAGCGCTTAAATATCGGGCCAGCAGGCCCTGTCGATCGGCAAAGCCACCGGCCCGTTAGGGCTGCCCGCGCCTGCCGCCGACCTGTGCGTAGCCAAAAAAAACGCCGTAATTTACGGTGTTTTTTGCTCTTCGAAAAAAGCAACAGAAATCTCACCGAAAGTTTTAGGGTACCCCCCTGCCCCAACCTAGCGCCAAGATGGCCCAAGATGAGCTCCAAGATGGCCCAACATAGGCCCAGGATGGCCCCAAGATGGCGCAAGATGGCCCAACATAGGCCCAAGAAGGCTCCAAGATGGCCCAACATAGGCCCAAGATGGCCCCAAGATGGCCCAACCTGGGCCCAACACAACCCCAAGATGGCTCAACATAGCTCCAAAATGGCCCAACATAGCCCCGAGATGGCCCAACTTATTGACGCAACAAACAACAACATCAACAACATCATCAACAACAACAACATCAACAACAACATCATCAACAATAACAACCACAACAATCACAACAACAGCAACAGCAACAACAACAACAACAACAACAACAACAATCACAGCATTGTTGTTGTTGTTGTTGTCGTTGTTGTTATTGTCGTTGTTGTCGTTGTTGTCGTTGTTGTTGTTGTCGTTGTTGTTGTTGTTGTTGCTGCTGCTGTTGTTGCTCTTGTTGTGGTTGGTGTTGTTGTAGTCGTAGTAGTCGTCGTCGTAGTAGTAGCGGTCGTCGTCGTCGTCGTAGTAGTAGTAGTAGTAGTAGTTGTTGTTGTTAATATTGTTGTTGTCATCGTCGTTGTCGTTGTGGTTGTGGTTGTGGTTGTGGTTGTTGTTGTTGTTGCTCTTATTGTTTCCGTTGTTGTTGTTGTTGTTGTTGTTGTTCTTGTTCTTGTTGTTGTTGTTGTTGTTGTTGTTGTTGTTGTTGTTGTTGTTGTTTTTGTTGTTCTTGTTCTTGCTCTTGTTTTTCTTGTTGTTCTTGTTGGTGTTGTTCTAATTTTTCTTCTTCTTCTTCTTGTTGTTGTTGTTGTTGTTCTTGTTGTTGCTGGTTTTGTTGTTGTTGAGACTGATGCTGGTGATGATGATGATTTGTTGAGACTGATGCTGATGATGATGATGATGATGCTGCTGCTGCTGCTGCTGATCCCACCCTGCACCTTTTGGCCTGCTGGCCCGCTGTTGGGCGTCAGCCCCTTAAATGATTTTACTATAGTGAAATTTATTCTATCTGATTATTCTACTCTAGTCTATTTTCGTGTATATTCCACATCATATATGCTACCTATATGTGTATATCCGCTGCAAATAGTTGACAGATTCAGACATATTCAAGTTTTTCAGTTATCCAAAACGAACCAAGTGACAAAGAGCTCCAGTGTTCCAAGCGGGCACATAGGTGTCAGGGGCTGTGTGGTAGCCACGTTGAGTTGTAGGATAGCCCAACAAGATCTCACGCGTCAGTTTCACAGAGGTTCCTGGCTCGTCTAAAACCACCAAGAAAGTGCAAACTGCCAAACACAGGCACAAAAACTAAGACCAAACAAAACTGTGGTGAGGCAAGAGTGACTTGCCACAAAGTGTGACTAAGCTTAGCCAAGCTTTAGCCAAGCTTCCCCATGTCCAAATGGTGTATTCGTTCGCTTCATGGTCACACTCACTCAAAAACACTGCGTGGTTGCAGCCGTAACCTGAAGCACAACAATTATGCGCCCAGTTGCGCAACATTATCAACATTGCTCTTCTGAACCTTCTGACTCACAATCTAAACATAAATATCATAAAATAAAACATCATAAAAATAATTTTGGCATACACCTAACTAATCGATATGAATTGCACATACTTTTGAAATCTTTCGGTATCTTAAATTCATATATAAATCTTATTTCGTACACCTCTTTGCCTCTTGAGCCTTGACCAAGATATTCAAGATATCCAAGATATCCAAGATCCATGTTTGTCAATGTTCAACATCGTCGAGAAAGTGCTTCCACATGCTTCCACTGTCTGAGCTCCGTGACTCTTATCCGGCAGCCCGTAATTTCCAAAAGCCGGGAGGTGTTGCAACTGCGTTGGGTGGCACGCCGTGGGCAGACTAGATGGCAGCCGCAAAGCACAAGGAATCTTCATTATCTTGATTTGTTGTTACTCAATATTGCTGAATTCTTGTTGATATAACAGATTAAGAGTATCGATGAAAATTGATTGAAACTATTTCAAACTGTGACAAGACGTGACAAGACTGTGGACATCTCTGGACTTTCACTTTGATTATTTTGATTCAGGTTCTGACTCCTGGCACTTGGATTGTGATGCCCGGTGCTTTGCTTCCAAACTGATCCAATCGGAAAGGGCTCCCTGAAAGCTTTGCAATAGGGTCAGTGTGACCCGGTGTGACCCCAGCCTTCAACTGATAGATGATCTCGGGGTTGGAGAAAGCCACCTTGCGATCCAAGTTACACTTTGCGACAGCAAACACTTTGACAAGACTATCAAAAATGGATGAAAATGGATGAAGGATGATTAAAGTGGATGCGATAATTAGGAATTTATGGGATATGAGAGGATGCGACCGAATCAGATCTGTGATCGGTCGAAGGCATAGAAGGCATTTCTGAAAGGCGTTTTGGCATTGCTTCATGGCTTCATGTCATGCTTCCGCAACCGACCTGCGGATGCTTCAAAACGGCCAAGGAAAAACTTGCAAAAGCATAAGGATGCCTCAAGGTACGAGTGACTATAGAGACCAAATCTTTCACTCAAAAGCATTTTGTCTGCAAAGGCCCCCTCTACCACAATTTACCACCATCCATTGCGGTCCAAATGCCGCTGCCTTGGTCTCTATTGCGCGACCAAATCTTCATTGAGGCATCTGCATCTTGCTGCGTACTCCATATTTCATCATATTTCATAATTTCATCACATTTCATCACATTTCATCATATTTCATCGTAGCTCTATTTGCTACGATTTTCCTCATTTTAATCGCATCAGCACCAGCCCAATCCCGTCCTGCAACACGGTCGCATCGATGATCTTGGATGTCGGCAAGCGTCAAGCAGGATTTCACGCGAAGTTCGGAAAGGACATGGACAAACGCATAATATCTTGATATATCTTGAATCTTAATGTACAATATTGTACAATCCTTTTAGTACTTTGAATACGTACCTCCCAAGGCTGTTACACACTATCCAGGTCAAGGACAGCGGTCATGCGACCATTGTAAAATATTGCAAACAACGTCCGCTTGCACCTGCTCAAAACGTAAGCTTGCTGATTCCGTGCTGATGTCCAACTCTGATCTGGATTCACTGCCACTAGGTGAACGTGTCACCTGCCTGTAACATGTCAAATGAAGCAAACCAACCCAGTTACCTCTTGGAACGAAATTCATGCATCCGCCAAATTCGGTCTTTGCTGAGCTGGAATGGTGGTGACTGCAAGCATTGCACGTTTAGCATTGCATTTCATAGATGTCCTAGCTGGCTGCGCTGGTTTTAGCTTTCCCACTCTTGATTTTTTTTGTCCTTTTGTGTTTTTTTTTGTTTATTTCTTTCCATCTCACATTGACCGCATTGACTCATCAACTTGGCTTTGTGTCTCGTGTGCTCCGGCCAAGGTGCCAGCATGTTGATGTGGGCGTTGCAGGTCTCGTTGAGTTCGTGCATGGTGAAGGATGGGTAAGGTGGTCCGGCTAAGTCCTGAGTGCAAGAGCCCACTCTGCTTGCGAGAAGCAATGCGAACTGCAATATGCATCAATATGCCTGTTACGCAACTGTTGCAATACCTCTGCCTCTGAGGCTTCGGAGAGTGCGACAAAAGCACGGAGAAACCTTGAGGGCCTTGAGGTCTCTTAAAATCCTCATGTCAAATTTGTCTCGGGACGTCAACCAAAGCGTCATTGAGCCGCAACCAGTTCGTCTGATAGGTGTCAGCCAAGTTTTCCTCAGGACGTCTGCAGAACGGGAAAAGCCTGAAACTCCAATGTGATCCCACTATCCGCCAGATTCCGCCAGTATCCAATTGGATCCTTTTTCTACACCGGCCTCTCAACTGTCACATCTCTTTCGAGATTCGAAAACGCTTTCAGAACCCTGCTGGGAAGGTAAGCCAAACGAAAATTTCTTACTCCAACATCTTCCGTCTTCAAACACCTCAATGTGTGTTCGGGCTTTGCCGCATCTCTGCTTCATTCACCTTTCTTTTGCCACGTCGGGTGTTGTGAATCATATTGTTATTGTTTACATGATTTTACATGTTTTCTATTGTTTTCTGTCACAGTGTGTCAAAATCCCAAGGCTCCAGAAGATGAATGTACTCCAGGATCTTGGCGTACTGTTCATCAGCGTACTTGGCCTTGAGCGCGGGAAGGACGTAGGCTTCCTGCCAAAGCTTTGAAGAGTGCTGTCAGATGAACGTGCAAACCATGAAGACACATGAATACTATACGTAAAGCATGGTAAATCATGGTAAATCTTGAAAAAGACAAACAGCTGCGAGACGCTTAATATTGCTGACCTTCAACGAATGGTCCAATCTATCACCGACTCTCAAGCGGATTCAATGCGTTTGAAGACAAAGCAAGTACCCAAACACATTGACCCTACAGCACTTTCGATACGATTCCACGAGACTGTGCAGCCACGCCTGCCCTTCTTCACTCACTATACCTTTTTCGTAGGCTTCCGAACCTGCGATGCGCTCAGCGTTGACAGCAATGGCTCATAGCAGTCAAGCTCTCCAACTTGTGAAGTACTTCTGTCGTTCAATTTTCTCTGGTTTTCTCATTTCTGATTTGTCTCGCATATGTGCATGTCATGTCCAAAGAATGTGCCTGAAATCCTTCGCTGCAAATATGGAAGTTTATACCCAATGTTGATGTCGTTCATGACTATTTCATCTCATTAATGTACAGTGGCTATCAGTGGCTGCACAGCGAAATGATTCGAAGTCTCCCTGGAGCAAAGCACACAAAGCACTACTTTCACGGGGATGTGACATCATGTGGCAGGATGTGGCACGAGGCGAGGTGACTAAATGCTGTCGGAGAAGCGAATTGACATGATGTCCCACTGAAAGACTTCGTTCATCACTGGGAATGCGAGCTCCTTACTCCACTTCTCCTGTAATTTCTCACCGCTGTACAAATACAATTTGTGTGTTGGGCCTTGCACAAGCCTGATGTGTGACCTAGACTCACCCAATCCCTCTAAACGTCGTGCATATCTATCCCAAGCGCACAGGTCAAGGGGTTGATGACGAGTCGGCAGCTCGATGAACCGGTATCAGAAAGGTCAAAGAGGCTCTGACCTCGGAAGACATTCTTCCACTCGTTCCACGGGATTCTTTGCCTCGAATTCATTCGAATTCCAGCACTTCTATTTTGACAAGATATGCTAAGAATTGCTAAGATATACCACGATATACCAAGATATACTGAGCATCACTAAGCATTAAATAACAGTCAACAATCTGAAGAACGAGATTACGGAATATTTCCCGCGATCGACTTGCTCTCAAAATGTAAACACGTGGCAAGCCAAGCCACACTCCCAGACCATGCTGTTGTACCAACCGCCTTGATTTTTTGTCGCCTCCGCCGCATCTGCTTTGCCTTGTGATCTGGTAATGGGCACTGGAGACTGGGAAGCACACTTTATCGCACCTTCACTTGGAAATTGAGCAACTGCAGTGATGAAAGTAAGCCGGCAACTCAGTGAAACTAATGACAATGACCCACAAAATTCAAATATTCTACAAAATGCCAAAACTATCCAAAACTGCCATATTGATGGAATCCTGGTGGTTTTGTGCATTTCATCACATGCGGTTTTGAAATGCTCTGAGGCTGAGTTGCCCATGTTCAAACAGTTACGCAAGTTACGCAAGTTATGCAGCTGATGCTTTTTGTGGTCTGTAGAGTCCGTACACTATTCTGTTGACCTTTCCATCGATTCCTACAGATTTTGGCAGCTGCCAATCCGGCACCAATTCAAACGAATTCAAACGATCAGCACGTTTAAGGTTGGTGGTTGCTATGTCGCATGGGGTCAGCTTGAGAGTTGTGATTCAGATTGCTCCGCAGGATCAATGCATGGCATGCCTGCAACATGCAATGTGATACAATGTGATACAACGCGTTAAATATAAATTACTGTAAGTTGATATAAGTTGATTACTGAGATGAGAGATGCACTGAGATCAATTCACATTACACATGCACCTGCTTCAGCCATGGCCTTTCCATAGCCTTTCCATGGCCTTTCTCGGGTCGCCAAGTCACTCTGGCCTGGCCAGGTGATGCCTGCCCGCACGGTGTCGTTGGAACAATATCCCCAATTGATTGCCATCCTCAGATATCGAATCACATCGCAAATCAATGCAAATCACATCGTGCACGTCGTGACGAATCACATTGTGACGAATCACATTGTGACGACATCTTGACATATCGACATGACATGACGACATGGATGATGTCAAAGCAACGCACAGTTGTCACCTGTTCGGATCGCCAGTTGCCACTAGGTCACTAGGACACTAGAACCCACTTTGTCACCTTATGCTTCAAACATCAAACCATAAAGTTACGTCGATACCATGGCCACTCCGGGCCACTCCTTCCAAGTCGGAACAGAAGGACCCTGCTAGTAACTGGCACTTCCAAGACTTTTCCAAGCGTCCATTTGCTGATCAATGTCTGTGACCATTCAAACCTCAGTGGCCAGCCTGCTCTACCGTGTTCTACCCTGTACCGTGCTGTCCACATAAACGCATAAACACTAGGCAAATCCAAACCAATGCAACACAGGTGTTAAGCAGTTAGGCACTGGTGTCACCGCGACAGCACTGTTGATTCTACAATGAGTGTTGCAGCAGGGCAGCGCATGTTGGATACAAGGAGAGTTTGAGACTTTTCTCCCGAAATATTGACAAACAATGACAACAGCATATAGATATCTATAGATATTGAGAGCTCTGTTGTCGCTTCCGGTCTGTCTCAAAAACTGTGCACTAGCTGAAGCTATGCTGAAGCTCAGTGGCGTCAGACCGATGTTCTGCTGTGGCATTCCGGACGCGTGACCACAATCCGCTGAGTTGCCATGGCAGGTGGCAGAACCACCTGCGTAGAAGGATGGCTTCCAGCCCATCCTCGGGTTCGGAGTTCACACTTGAGGCTGACAGCTCAAACAAACCCGAAAATCAATAACAAAAACATACAAAGAATGTTTTCAGGAATCTCTTTTTGGAATTCCTGTATATTTCTGTCAGGAATTTCAGCTCAGAAACTCATACTGGCAAACATTGCATGTTGTAATCCACGGTGACCCGGAAATGGCAGGCGGCAACTTGGCTCAAAATCTATGCGTCCAAGTTTGTTTGCACATTATGTTTGCACATGTTTGCACGACGCAGCCCAGCATCTGTGTCTTGAAAGGGATCAATCCGGGTTGTTGCGCAAGGATGCCGGGGCACGGTCCAAGTCCGGGTGTGATTTCACCTTCAATGTCTTGGGATTCTCCAATGAGCAAGATTTGCTAGACCCAGCCGGAAAATGCCAGAAATGTGACAAGATTTGCTAGACACAGTGGGGCTACAATATGGACCCGTTCAACACATTGACAATTACTTCAATCTTGAAGCTTGGATGCAAATTGTGTTTTCCTATGTCTTTCTCTGCAATTTATCGCCCCTGGTTCCGATTTTGCAAAGCGGAACTGCCCTTGAAGCAACTAGTTCCAGTGCGGAGCTGTGCCTAGCCAGAAGAGTCGGGTAGCAATCTTGATGGCCCTCGCCGGAGCCTCACCCGCCAGAAAAGCACGGATTAAAACTGGACTCTACTGGTCCTGACACCAATTCACCCCCCAGAAACAAACCATTGGATCCAGGTAGTTATTACAGCAACATGCCTAAAAGATCCCAAAAGAACGGTCGAAGGACGTTGCCCAGCAAACACAGTTGCACACCAGCTGACATTCCAAGTAGTGAAAGCGCCAAAGAGTGCTAAAGGAACCACAACGCCGACACAAGGAGGAGCATATGGAGCATGGTCTCTACTGAAACTGTGTGACGACATGTGACGACATTAAGTCATCTCACCATCTTGGATGTCAACATGTGGATCATTTGCTGTCGGAGAATTCGACCTGTTTATCCCCGTTCCCTGTCACACCAAGCCTTCTTGGACAGCGCCGCCAAACTCGCAACGTAAGAACAGGTTCCAGTCATCATCTGATTGGCACTCTGTGTCAAGATGGTCTTAGTATCGCCGTTCAGCTGCAGATGCCATGTACCATGCTGTATAGATGAAATGTTGGTATAGCATGGGTGTTAGACATTGAAACACATGGATCAAATAGCTTGCAACGATGGAAAGGCCCATGCACCCATTGCAAACATCTGCAAACATGTGCAAACTACATCCAGATATTATCCAACATATCCAAATCTTTCAAAGAAAACTACACAGAGAACAAGCAAAAGGGGCAGTGACGAGATCTGCAGGACGTAGTTTTGCTCCAAGCTGAACAGAACATGTCCAAACCGTCCAAACCGTCCAAACCGTTTTGATCAAACGGAAGCCGTTGCTGTTTCGAACTCACGTGACTTAAGATGACTTAAGTACTTTTTTTGACCAACTGACGTGTTCCTAACGCGGAATTCTCTTCCGTATACATCATGTTTCTCGTGCTTGAAGAGTTCTCAATTCGCTTGGACATGTTTCCTCAGTTCAACTTAGTTCTTTCTAATACTTTCCGTTCCAAGATGAACCAAGATGAACCATGTCCAAGCAACACGGAGCAGATCGCAGACCGCGTAGCCACAAACGCCTTTGGGGTGTTTCAGGGTGACTTTCACTGGCATCTCGTCGGCGTAGTCCAAACCATGCACAGTGCCTAAGTTTGATCTGTCGAGAATCCAAAAAAATCGAGATGGTGAGATCCTCCGAATTTCGATACATTGAATACATGGCATTTTGATCCAATTTCAAGATGTCTTAGGTATAGACTTATATAGACGTATTACTTTGAGTTTGCCACATTGTGCAAAAGGAGACACTCAAAAGCAGAAGGGTGAGATGGCAAGATCAAGTGTACTAAAGTTGACAAAGAATGGCACAAATAGCCTGGCATTGTACAGATTCCACAGGTCACATTGCCACCATCACACAGGAACAGATTGAGCAAAACATAGCAAAACCATTCATTTGAAGGGAGTGCGATTCATGCCGAAAATTACAATGACTGTTCTGTTGACCTACAAATTCAAAATTGTCTTGTATCTTTGTTTTCACACCAAACGTGCTGCATGGATCGACGACTCAATCAATATCAGCATATATGTAGTTATACCACATTGACAGTCATAGGTTTTTCAAGTTACCGTTCACCCAAGATGGGTAGTATCCCCACGTTGTCACGGAGAAGTTCGCGAAGACCGGATCAAACCTTGGTCGTGATTCAAAACGAGTCCAGCTTTGAAACGACTAGGTGAATTTTGAAAAGGCTTTCTTCGAGCCATCCCCGACATTTTACGACGAGGAGATCTGTCTCTGTGATCGCCGACGCTAGGAGCTTGGCGATGCGAGGCGAGCAGAGGAAGAGGAAGAGGAAGGGAGGGAAGGACGAGCTTTAAAAATCATAAGAAATCATATAAAATGATATACCAGTAGTACCGCACAAGGCGGTGGCGGAAGTTTCAAAAATGGAAAACCTATAGGAGAGGTGAGTTGGTGTGACGCAAAAATGGCAGAGCGAACCCACTGATGGATTGAAAGGTGGTTGAGTGTTTTTCCCTTTCTGTCTCTCTTTCTCTCTTTGTCTCTCTTTCGCCATCTATCTACAGAGCTACCTTTCTAGCCATCTACCTATCTACCTGTCTATTCATGTATCTATCGATCGATTTGTTTATTCACCTATCTATTGAACTGTCTATCTTTCTGTCTATCCAGCCATTCATCCATCCACTTACTTCTCTCTGTTAGTTTTTTTCCGTCCATCTCTTCATCGATCCATGTCCACAGCTATCCATCACCATGTTCTTCATTCTGTTTCTCTATCGATTCATCCATGCATCTGTCCGTCTACCTCTTCTTCCAGCCATCCATCCGTCTATCTAGCTACCCATGCGTTTATCTGGTCATCGACGCTTCTAGCGATCTTTCGATCTAGCGATCTATGTGTCCATCTGTCGATCCATCTACCTGTCTATTGATCGATCTGTCTCTCTATCTAGCCACCCATCTTTCGATTTATCTCTCGATGTACTTATGGATCTTGCGATGCGTCGATCTGTCTATCTATCTATCGATCTATTTACCCGTCTATCTATCGATCTATCTATCTATCTGTCTATCTGTCCATCTATCTAGTAAACTATCGATCTATCTCCCTATGTGTCTATCTATGCATCTATTCATCCGTCAAGTTCTCTCTCCACCTGTCCTTCGATCTACCTCTTGACCTGTCGATCAATCAGTCTGTCTAACCGCCACGTCGACAACAAAACAATGCTGCTAGACTTCTGTTGGCAACATCAAAAACGAAGCAATTCTGCGGGACTTTCTCACTTTTTGCAGTTGAAAACATCAAAAACGAAGCGATTCTGCGAGACTTCCTTCAAAAATGGAAAGTTGACTGTACAGCTGACGGCCTCGTACCAATGGGTTTTGCGATTTTTCCATGCCGTGTCTCTAAAGTACTGCGCCTGCCCCGAAAAAGTTAGTCCAGGTCATACGAAATGCTGCACCTGTCACGAAATAGCATCTTGGCATAGCTGATGATTTGATACTCTAAAATGCAACCCGTCTCAGGAAATCAGCTCCTTGAGCTCCGAACATCTCTGCTGAAGATGCCACTTGTACTGCGCCTGCCACGAAAAATTCATCTGTGCAGATCCTCTTCAAATCTCCCACGCCTGCCATCGTTTTTGAAAATGCTACAACACCCTCACGTTTTAGTCACTTTTCAGTGGATGCACAATCCACTCCACCTGCCACACAAAACGACGTCTGAACGTCCAAAATGTCTCCGAGACCCTCAGTTTTTAACACTTTTGACTTCGAAATGTGCTTCGCGCCACAACGCCGTGCACTTTTTCGACATCTCAACTTCCAAAAGTGCTCCGAGACCGCCAGTTTTTAACACGTTTTACTTCCAAATGTGCTTCGCGCCACAACACCGTGCACTTTTTCAACATCTCAACTTCCAAAAGCGGTCCGATCCTGAGGTGTTTTGTACCTTTTCACTTCGAAATCGGCTTCGCACCACAACGGTGTGCAACTTTTCATCTCTCATCTCCCCAGATGTCTCCGCACCCGCCGCTTTAGCGAGCCTACTTTTCAACCCTCCGGAGCCACAAAACCACAAAAAACACAGTGTTTCGCGACTTTCCTACCTTTTCGCGCACCTGCATCTTCTTTCTTCTGATCTTTTCTCTTCTGACTCTTCTCCCTGCTGACTGCTTTTTCATCTCTCCATATTGTCGGAAGTTTGACTTCTAAACTTCCTTCGAACATGATATAACATATCATAAAATCGTCTAAAATCTAGAGATCCTCACCTGAAAAAGAAACTCCGTGAAGCGATTTGTTTAAAGGAACTCAGACGCACAGAGCTCAATGAAGACTTCGATCGCAGCGAAAACGGCCTTACAGGTGTCATCCTCGGTGCAGATTCGGCATCGCCCGGGAAACTGCACGGACAACCACACATGTCACACACTGTTAAAATTGTTAAATACGAGGATTCCAAAGTGGTTGATACTTGGGAAGATATCACGATATGCCACGATATGCCACGATATGCCACGATATGCCACGATATGCCACGATTATCGCAAACCAGTCCAAAGATGTGGTTTACAAAACGGAAAAGAACAAATTAGCATACAAATGCATACAGTATAGTCACATTAGTCACAGCTGTCACAGCATAGTGCTTTACTAAGCTGATGTTTAGATTGATTTTGAGCTGTCGGAGCCACGCCACGTTGCACCAATCGCCTGGGCAAGCGCAGTGGTCCTGCAATTCCAACTCCTCCAACATCCTGCGGTCTGCGTCTGGACCCCGGACGCCTGCAGCTCCCTCCGAAACCGTTAGGGCCGTTAGGGTATGCATTGTACGCATGGATTTGCCACAGAAAATCACCTGATTCTTGTTTACCCCCAATGGAACTAGTCTCACATGTCCTCCTAATCCAAAATGTCTGATTAAAATTAGATGAATTTAGCACGGATTATATTGTAGACTACTAGCAGAATATAATCAGAGAGTTGGAACATGCTCTTGTCACTTGTTGCCAACTAGCTCAAACATCCGCCAACATGACATGCTGTCAAGATGATTCAAGATGGAAGAAATCATGAACAACATTTCATGACAAGAGTTTAACAAGGTTGGCAACACATCCCAGGCCAAATTACCGTATCTCCAACGGATTGCAGCAAGAGCCCATGCACATCCCCACATCCCCACATCCCCACATCCCGGTCATGTGAATGCTTGGCAAGTTCAGCTTGCCCTCCGTCGTGGGCTCACCAGCAACTTTCGTCCAGTTGATAGCAGTGCACTTCTGCCAGGTCGCATCCGCTTTCACATCATGCGGGTTGTAACCACCGGATCCTAGCTCTGTTTCCGCAAGGCTTTTCAGTCCAAAAACACGAATGGATCCTCATGGATCCTGGCACAAAGTTTCATGTCCTTTTCGAAGCGAATCCGTGGGCACCAATGGGCACCAATTGCTCTTAAAATCTTTTATTCATGTCCCAAAATGCAAGGCTGAAAGAGTTCGAATCCTTGCTACAGCGAACGCGATGACGATGATGTCATATCATGACGATGCAAATTACATCAAATTACCAAGCTGAGTTTTGACATGTTTTGACCTCTAAATCATCTCTAATCTTTACAGATTGTCGCGTTGTATCTGGCCTAGCTCTGAGCTCCATTGACCATACAGTGCTGTACAGATCTGCACAGCATTACTGTATGCTAATTTGTATGCTGCTAAAATCCGAAGCTGAAGCCAAGTCAAACAATTTATAACTTTGGGGTTATGAGTTGGCAACTAACTGCAGCACCCGAAAAACTGCAGCAGCTCTTTTCTTGAGCCATAACTTGAGCCATACAAGTACCGAAGCGGATAGCCATGTCGTCCTAAGTGCAGGGGCCATGCTTATAAAAACCAAGCTCACCCTTCTACACATCACTGCTAGGTACAATGAAGCTGGAGAGTTTCACGTTCACATCCACACTCCCCCTACCTCATTTTGAGGTACCTAACCAGGCAAAAAAAACTCTAGCGCAGCAGCTCCTGAACCAAAAAAAAGCCGCAAAAGCGCTTAGACATCCTCTATGATTTCGCTCCAGCTGCGCTCGCTCAGTTCCTCTTCTCCAGGAGATAGTCCACCATCTCGTCGTCGGAGATCAGAAAGGATCGGCTGAGCCCTTTCCACAGCTGAAGTCTGCCACCTTGACTTAGCCCTTGGTGCCCTCGAAGTTGGTAGCGGAGCATAGGACTTCGCCACTGCAGCGCTTGGCGCAACGCTTCCAAGGGTTTCCGAACCTTGCATTTCGGAAAGCAAAACTCGATGAGCTCCTTCAGCACCAGGTAGTTCAGGACCTCCAGGTTGAAGCGCTCCACGATCATGTGGTGCTCCAAGGTCGCTCCCAGCACTGAGCCCATCACGCTTCTTCACCTTGAAAAAGGTCCGTCCTGTCCACTGGCCTCTTCCATGATCCCTCACAGGATCAGTCCAGCGGTCCTGGTAGATGAACTTCTCCTTGGGCTCGGTCACAAAGCCAATCGTCACTCGATCCACCTCCAGGTTATCAGCCGCTAGTGGTGCAGCCTTGTGCACGGGGTGGAAGTATCTCTTGCGAGGCTCTCGGTGACAACGAATCTGCCATCCATCCAAGACCTGATCCGCAATCCACCGATCTTTTCCTCCAGGCGGAGGTGGCGCCGCAAACTCCACATTCTCCCACGGTCTGGTAGTAGAGCTCGGCATCCTCATAGCTTTAACCCCCGGCTCACCCTCTGGCTCTGGTGCAACCTTCCCTTTCGGAGTCCACTGAGACCCCCAGTTCTCACCAGAAGAATCACCTCCAGAAGGGCCTTGATGACCTGAAGCACCACCTCCATCACCAGGAGGGTCTCGATCAGGAGGACCATCACTACCAGGAGGATTTCCGTCTCCAGGCTGGTCATCCTGCCCATCTTCATCGTCATCTTCCGGCTCTTCCTCTTCGTCTTCCTGTTGGTCAGCCTCAGCGTTCGGGAAGACCTCCACCAAACCATCTTCACGGTAAACTTCAAGGTCACCATTTTGGTTGATGCGTCGGCGAGGAACTCGATCACCCTGACTGTTGAAGTAGCCAGCCTCACGGTCCCTGCGGCCAACCGTTCTGACCGAGTAAGTGACTAGTCCTTCTGGCCTCTCTGGAGCAGACGCCATAGGGCTAGGCACCGGTGCAGCTGCGGAGCTAGAAGCAGCATCTGCTGTCGTAGACGAAGTTCCCGGCGTCGTAGATGCCACGCTACGCGATGTGTCCTCCACCACTGGGCTTGGCTTCGGCACTGGCATTGGCTCTGGTGGGTTCGCCTTCAGCTTTGGCCTCAGTACCAGAGGCGGCGGTTTGTACACACCCTTTGGCGGGTACTTTGGTTCTGGCACCACACCCTGTGCTGCTGCATTGGCTTCCGTCAGCTCCAGCTCCTCATGAGGCAAGGCCTGTCCCGGGTCAGCTTCTTCGTCTGACACTTCCACTGGGACAGCTTCCCAGCTCGACCATTCCTCATGGTCTGCAGCTACCTCAGTTTCTTCTTCAGGCTTCTCTGGTTTCCCTTCAGTATACTCTCTGCGAGCTGCCTGCCTGGCCTGCCTGGCCTTCATAGCTTCGTGGCGTAAGGCCGACTCCTGCTGGCCCTCAAACCAGATGTTGTGTTTCGTGTCCTCCGGCTTCTCCATCTCGGCGTCCTCGCCTTCCTGCTCTGGTTGTTGGCCTTCCTTGGCCTTCTTTTTCTTTCTTTTCCTTTTCTTCTTCTCACCCTCGCCCTTGCTTGGGTTGTAAGGCTCCACCCAAGACTTATCAGGCCGATCTCCTCCGTCTTCTCCACCATCACCACCAGCTCCACGAGCCGCGGCAGTGGCTGGCGCAGCATCCATGGCTCCCGCGCGCAACGCCTGAACCCGGTGGCCGAACCCAGGGCAGCCCGTAGGGCAGTGGTGGCTTGACCCGAAGTCTGTGGAGAAAACGGGTCCATTCACGTGGTCTAACCTGCCACATGGAAAACTGCAGGCCACGCTATCCCCAAAACTCGATTCCCCAAAACTGGAATCCCCAAAAGAGGTGGGACTTTGGTGGTGACCATTTGAGGGGTTAATGCCAAGTTCATTTTCCCTTGGCATCTTACTAGTTGGTTGTGGGCTGGGTTCATTTTCCCTCAGCCATCCTTTTTTAACATGGGGACCATCTACAGGATTAAGGCTGGGTTCATCTTCCCTCAGCCATCTTGTAATGCTTCCGGGGTTACCGGATTCTCCAGTTGAATTGCCGGGTTCATCTTCCCTCGGCGTTCTTTTTCTTTTCAAGCAACAGAGGTGAGACTTCCATCTTTGTACAACATGACAAATTCCTGTAGCAACTGCACAGATTCCTAACCTCCGAATTCGACGCTGGCTCTCTGTAACAGGCTGCCATTTTTCAAGCTCTACAGCTACAGTCAGCCCTTTCAGAGCCCATTCCCTACAAATCCCAATCTTCTTCAAGATCTCCAGGTCCTCCGGCTCGGCCATGTCGCAAAGCCCTGCAAACCTCCGGAATCTCGACCATGTAGTTCCCACCGTGATCGGCTTCGTCAGGAAATCTGCCGCAAGTTCCACACCAGCCATGTGCTTCACCTTCCACACCTCCTGCTGTACTGCTTCATGCAGTGCTCTCGAGCGCAACCTGAGATGCCTTGATCTCCAAGGCCCATTTGGGTTGAGTACCACTTGGATTCCCGATTGGGAATCTCCATATAACACTCGGACCCCTTCTTCGGTTAATCTCCCCTCCTCGAAGATGTCTACCAAAACGGCAACGGAATCACCTAGGCACATAGCGTCCACGTAAGACGTCACCTCAGCTTCCGAACTGCTCAGGGTGGCAAAACCTTGCCGCTTGCTTTCCCACTGGATCAGTCCTCCAGCCCAGACTGCCAGCAGTCCCTGGTGGGACCTCTCTCCACCCGGACCGAACGATGCATCCGAATGAACCTCTTTAAGGTGTTGGCATCCCTGCAGAACGCCAGTTTCCCATCAGGCCCTCGATCGGCCTCCTGGCACTTTGTATAAAGCAACCCGTGCCCCAAGGTGCGCTTCAGATACCCCAGGGTTTGCATTCCTGCCTCGCACACCTTCCTTGGACACTTTGATGCCCGTGATCCAAGCCAGCTCACCGCATATGCCACGTCAGGCCTAGTTTGTGTACTTAGCCACAAGAGCTCCCCAACGAGAGTCTGCGCTATTCTTATGTCCGAGGGATCTGGTGGCGATTCTTCACCGTCTTCCACCCTTCCAATCGGAACCAGCGATTCCTTCACATCGGGATACCTCTCCAGAAGGTCGCTCGTGTACGATTCCTGGGACAAGAGGATGCCGCCCTTAGGGTTCAGCTTCAACTCCATTCCACAGAAACGTAGCGTACCTTTCTCTGAGAGATACTCTGCTTGAGAGCAGCTCCACTCTTGGCTCACCCTGTCCAAACACCCCTTGATGACCTCCGGTGGCCCACAGACCAAGACATCGTCTACATAGAAGGTACAAAAACCTTCTACCCGTTCATCCGAGTCCGCTCTTCCTGGCTCCTCGCTCGACACGAGTTGCCAGACATTTGGTTCGACCGTTTGACGCATCCAGAAAGACCTACCGTTTGAGCTCCACTCAAATTTCTTGACCCTTTGGTCGCGGAAGCTACTCCAGTCGGCCGGACTGGTCTCCAGGCCGTACATCGCCTTTTGGATCACCCACCGCTCTTCCGGCGGACAGATCCCAGCCTGCACCAGCAGCTTCAGTGGGATGGTCATCATCAGGCACTCCTGCTCCCTTCGGCGTGGGGCAAGCAAGAACGCGCCCTTGATATCTAGGACTCCCATGTCCCACCCATCCATCATGGCGGTCTTTCTGACCATGCATCGAATGGCGGTGGCATCAGCTCCTCCAGCGTACAAGTCCGCTGCCGTCACTGGAGTCGCCTGAGTCTTGTTGCCATCCTCGTGAGCCTTCGTCACCAGGTTTCCACAGATCACAATCCGTGCCTTGCGTTTCCCATTTGGCGATTTAACTGTGGCAACCAACTTGCTTGGTGCTAGCTCCATGTCCCTATAGCCCGGCATTTTTTCCAGCTCTTGAAGAGTCACAGGTTTTACGGCACCGCTCTCGGTCACGAGTTGGTGATACTCCGCTTTGATGGGACCCACCCAGTCGTCAAGATTCTGCTTGACTGCCGCCAGAGGCACCGTATACGTCTGGAGCACTGTGGGTGGTTTGCATCCTTCCTGATGCCCCTGGTCCCCTTGGGATTGATCAGGTGCTTCCAAGGCGGCCATCCTGAACTCCCTAGCCCTTTCGGCTTCGGCTAAGGCTTGAGATTTCTCCATTTCTTCCTCCATGGCTGAGTAATGGATCAAGTCATTTTCCAGCCATTCCACTTGGCCAGCAACGTGTCCTACCACGTATCCCTGTGCTGTTCCTTCCGCCTCAGTTCCTGCCACAGAATTCACCTGTTCCTGCAACAATTTTCTGAGGTTCATGTGCTGAAACCTAATTTCCTGCACATACTCTGGGATATCCACCTTTTTGATCTCCCCCCAACCTGTGAGTTGGGTTCCAATCTGCAATGTCTCGATCTCCCCCCGATCTGTGCATTGGGTTCCAGTCGGCAAAGACTCCCTCCCAGCTCGCACAACTCTAAGAGCTGGCATCTCTTCATCCAAGTCGGGTGGAACCTTCTCGGAATCATCCAGGACAGACGGTTCATACCCATCACTCTCCTCAGCGGCAGCAGCCGCTGGCTGAAGATCCAGCAGAGCTTCCAATTCATGATCCACCTTTGATGGCGGAGGCGGAACTTTTGATACTTCTCTGACTGGCGGCTGTTTGCCGCCGTCTTGGAGGATGTTTGGGATCTTCCACTGCTTCCAGCTCCAAACGAGCAGTGTCACCCAGAGGATCCGGAACAAACACAGATCGTGCATGTTGCACAAGGTTGGCTGTTTCATCCAGCGCCACCCATCCATTGGTCATTGAGGGCGATGGCCCCATGATACGCAAGGTCTTGTAAGGAGAGGACAAAGCTCCTTCATGCAACCGATGCCAGCGCTTGGCCTTCACTTGAGCCAACACTGCAAACGGCGGCATCTCCTTACAATTGGCCCCCAGCTTCCTCATTTGAGAGCGCAACCTTTCTTCGGTACCATGTCTAGCCGCACACGGCCAGTACGCAGGGGCGACACCAGTCTCCCGCAACAGCAGCCTTAGCCGGCGCTTGAACTGATGCACCTCCCCTTCGACCCTTCCGTTGGCCTCGGGCTTGTCCCCGGCATTCAAAGTTTGGTGAATCTGCCGTGATTCACACCACTTGGCAATGCTTTTGGTTGTGAAAGACCTTTCGCGGTCCGAATGCAGTCGGTACACCGGTATCCCTAAGGACCGTGCCCGAGCATGCAGCTTCAACAATGCCTTTGTAACCTCATCGTGATGCCTGGATGCAATGGGTTCCATGAACGTTATGTTCACCACAGGAGCCTCCTTTGAGATTTCGTGGGCTTCCTTTTTCACAGAGTCCTCCCAAGCCCGATTTCGCTTCTTGGCGTCGGCTTCTGGGATCAGATCCTTCGGCTCTGGATCCAGCAGCAGTTCATCCGCTTCCTCTTCCACGGGTGGAACTACAGCTTCAGGCTGTTCCTCCCCTGGAGGAGCTTCGCCCCCTTTGGAGTTTTGTTAGAATCAGCCTCTGAATCTACCTTTGGGTCTTTCGGCGAGATCTCTGTCTCCCCAGAATTGGCCACTGAGGCACTGGAATGGTCGTGATCAAGGCGTACTTCACTTTTCTGCGCTTGGAGACGCCCAGATCGGTGCCCTTGGTGAAAGGATCATAACGAAAGCAGATTCTTGACCCTTTTTCCTTCGATGCGGCTCGGCGGAGCCCATGGTTTCCAGGCAGACCTTACAGTCTCGCCTGTACGGCACATGCTGTGCCTGGAGATGGCGTTTCCATCCTGCGAGGCCCAACTTGCTTGGTGCTGAGCCTGACCATCCAGGAACTTGGGAATCACGACCTTGAGAGCAGCCATAAGGCCCGGAGCCCATGTTGACCACGTTGCCGTCTGCTTCAGCCTCTCCTTCAGATCCGACTGAATCTCTTCTCCAGATCCATTCGAAGTGATCCCATCTAGCTCCTTCAGCTGTCCCACATTGGACAACAACATGGTCGGTTTGGGCCTTTGATGCCCCAGCGCTCCCTGATCCACTCTGATCTGGAACATGTCCTGGTGGCGTTGGAGGAATCCTATACTGTCTCCTCCCACTCCCAGAATGATGGATACTCCTTCCCGTCATCCACATGCTCCTGAGGATCTTGGGGATTCTCCACCACAAGGCCACATTGACCCGAGAGCCCATTCTCGGCCATCCCTTCCTGGGATCTTTCATAAAGACCCAAGGTCTTCAGCCATAAGGCGGAATCTCCATCCACCTTCATCAACTCACGCTCATTCAGGTCCTTCAACCCGAACCGAAGATCCTTCCTGCCCCTCAGCGGGCAGGGTCCTGGAGATCCATGGCGGAAGCGACTCACTGTTCTGTAAGGTGGGCCCGCTGTGATCATCCTGATCCGGCCTCTCTCTGCCAATCCCCATAAGTCCGCCCATACCACTGCCAAGTGCAGATCTTCTTGAGCATTCGCTGTGATGTCCACTGTCAGGACTTCAGTATCATATCCTGCTAGGTCCTTCCACTTCTTGGATTCCCCCCCGGATCCAGAGAACAGGTGAACAACCACTCCACCTCGAGCCCTTTCCAATCTTCGTCTTTTAGCCCTGTTCCAAGGCAAGGTAGAGGCAACCTCTTCCCAGTTCAGACCCTGGCCTCTCATCAATGCCCAGATCCTGTCAGGAACCTGTGGATACCGTTTCTTCCACCAATCTATTTCATGGTCAGATGGCTCATAGTGGTCACCAATGCCACCCTTCTCCAATGACTCCAGAAGATCCAAAGCGGATTGTCGATCCATCACTGGACAACCCTGCCGTCTCACACACTCCAAGTTTCCATGCTTGGGATGTGAGATGTCACATCGATCCTTCTGCCAGTTGATCTTGAAACCATGGTCTACCAACAAGCGAAGTGGAATAATCGGCTCCACACTGTCCAATGCCAGCAAGGTGTTGTGCGCTGGACACTTGTACAGTGTCACACTGCCCATAGCCATTTCCACTTGGACTGGCCAGAGATGAGGAATCTCCGAGCTCTTCGCCTGCCTCAGAGCATGCGTAGCTCCACCGTCCAGCAGTGCATATACTCACCGCTGTCATCCCCATCTGCTTTCACCGTCTTGATGAAGAACGACTTGATCGATGTCATGGATTTCACAAGACCACTGAGGTTCTGCACCAAGTCAGACTCCTGCTTGGGCTGAGATCCCTCTGATCTCTTCTCTGGTTGTGGAGCTTCCTCCGCTGCCTCCTTCGCAGGCGAAGGTGTCTCCTTTTGGCATTCCTTTTCCGAGCCCTTTTGGCCCTTCTTATCTTGGATCTTGGCAACCTTTCGATCGCCCTTTTGAGCACCGCCATTCCCCTCCTTGGGTTTGACAGTTGGACAATCCTTCTTTCGATGCTTCGTGGATGAGCAGAGCAAGCACCTTGAGGATTTCTCCAGTGATCCCCAAGAATGTGCATACGTGCACTTCTCACCCCTGCGACATCCTTCCTCAGTGCCCCAAAAACGACATGGTGCCTTATCACCATCCTGTCTATCCCGGGGCTTCTGCCCATCATTCCTGTCCCAAGGCTTCTGCCCATCACCGGATAAGGCCTTGACAGCCGGATTCCCCTGCGTCAGCACAGGTGCCAACGCTGGCGGATTCGACGGCGTCGCCTTTCCAGCAACTTGAGCATTGGCAAGTTCCTCCAACTCAGCTTGGATATACTCTGCCCAGTCATTCACTGATTCCCAACTAGGAGTTCGATCTACATCCAGCTCTTGGCGCATGGATGCCAGTCGGAACGCCACTTGGCTTCCGCCCCAGTTTCGCAGCTCCATCTGCGAACTTTGACAGGACACCTGTCAGCACCAGAGGATCGATCGTCACACGCAACTCCCCTGACTGCCGGATTGACCCCAGCAACTCCACTAGACCAGCAGGCACCTTCACCTCACTGAGGGACCGAATCAATCCTGTTCGTTCACCCGAACCACCTGGCTGGTAGGACGTGTACAAGCGAAACAGGATGCCTGTGGTCGTCAGTCGCCTTGAGGCAATGATGTCCTGTCTCAAGGACTCCGGCAACACACCCAAGAGCATTGTGACTGCTTGCTGTTCCAGTCGTGGATTCGCTTCCAAGTGCACAGGTGGCGTTGGCCGCATTCTCAACTTTTCCAAAGGAGATGCAGTCAACCACTGCGCATAATGGTTCTCCACGCCTTGGACCATTGATCCCCACCATTCACTGGCAGATCCTGACACATCGCACATCAGCGGATACACTACTGTGACCCAGTCTCCGAATTGGAGAGACGCCCCTTCACCCCCAGGAGCAGGGAGCTTGGGTAGTTCCAAGGTCCGCAAAGCCTCTGTCAAAGCCGATCCCGCTTGCGTAGGAACAGCTATCCCAGGTGGCGGAGACGGCATGCCTCCCATTCCACGAGGTGGGCTATTACGGCCTCCTCCCATAGGCTGAGGAACACCCATAGTCTGTCCAATCCCGGCACCAACTCCAGCTCCACTGGAAGCTGACTGGTATGATTGAGTCTCTTCGGTTGGCCCCTGAAGCCTTTTCACCTCCCTGGCAAAGGCCTCTTCTGCCTCCCGCATCACCCTCTGTATGATCTCCTCCACTGCTCTCGCAGCTGGATCCACCACCACTTGGTTTCCTCCCGTTGGCTCACATCCAGCAGGAGCTGGGCTCATCCCTGTGGCCAATGCCTGCATGGGAACCGGGCTCACCATTTGCATGGGAACCGGGCTCACCATGTTGGATGCCTTGGTTCACGGACCGGGGTCACCATCATCAGGGTTTCCACTCCTGGTCCTAGTTGATTGGCCTGGGTCACCATTTCTTGGCTCCCCATTCCTGGCCCTAGTTGTGTGGCATGAGCCATCATCCCACCTTGGTTTTGTATAGCAGCCGGTTGGCTTCCCTGAGGCTGTGGCACAGGCTGGTGTGGAACTGCGGCAGACTCCCTTTGAAGCTGATCCTGCGGCAGGTTAAACTCCACGAATGGCGGCAACGGCTCCGCCAATGGCCCCAAGAGACTACCAGAATCCTCCTCTAGGTTGGCCACCATTTCGGTCACCGACTCCCTGATCACTGCCTTGAGGACGTCCAGCAGGAAGACCTTGTAGAGGAAGTAGACCAGAAGGACCGCCTTGACATACACCAGGATGACCTTGAGCTCCAGGACGAAGTGCATCACCCAAGGCCTGCAGCTGAGTGCCAACCGCACCAGCCATGCCTTGAGCAGCTCCCCATTCGGTGAATTTGCAAAATGCAATTGTCTTTCCGGCTTGATAAACGACCTGGCGAGAGCCATCTGGCGAAAAAAAAAGGTGCCTTGCATTGCCTTGTCAAGCACCAAGAAAATGGCGTGTCTCTTTGGGTTGCAAGCAGTGCTCGTCCCCGCCATGACATTAGATTCCATGCTGCCAAGATTGCCTGCTTCACAGTTGCCACGGGACTGAGGCAAGGCATTTTCCTCTGTTGCGGCCCATCTCGCTCTAAGGCTCGATCCTGACAATGGGAGAAGCAGTAAATAATGTGCAAAACGTATGAAACTCTTTCTGGATCACCTGGTTTTTTAGCCTGATCAGCTCCAAAACACGGTCAATCCCTCATCTCCAGGCCTTCGCGAGAGGGACTTGATTGTCCAGCTCCCACAGCAACAGCAAGAAAAAAAGGAACTGGCCAGCCACCACAGGTGCAGCACGTCCTTGACCACCACCTGGCAAAGGTCCAGTCGCTTGCTGAGCACCCACCATCTGTTGAGCACTAGGTTCCAAAGACTGTGGCAGTCCCATTGGTCTAGGCACCACATCTCGACCTCGTACTCCATCACCACCACTAGGTTCAGCTGCTGGAAGTTCCAACCTTCGAAGACCACCTGCCGCCACCCTTGGAACTGACTGGGCTCTTCCTTCCCCACGTTCCCTTTGGGCTTCAGCGATCATTCGATCCGAGGCTCCATCAGCTGTCTCGCCTTCTCTCATCCCCGAGCGTCGACGCTGCATCAACGACATGGCTAAGCAGCAGAGCGTTTTGGGCTCGTAACCTTTGGGGTTATGAGTTGGCAACTAACTGCAGCACCCGAAAAACTGCAGCAGCTCTTTTCTTGAGCCATAACTTGAGCCATACAAGTAGCGAAGCGTTCAGCCATGTCCAGCTTTCAGCCATGTCCATGTCGTCCTAAGTGCAGGGGCCATGCTATAAAAACCAAGCTCACCCTTCTACACATCACTGCTAGGTACAATGAAGCTGGAGTGTTTCACGTTCACACATCCACAATAACAATTCTAGCAGCAAGCCCGTGAGCTGCAGTGACAAACCCCTACGTCCTATGACTACAGTAACTCTAGCCCAGTCTCCAGTGATGTTTGCGAACTTACTGTCGATCACGCTGCTTGGTGAAGTTGGTGCAGGGGTCTGGCTGAGATGGCTTCCGTGACCTTTGATGTGTGCAAACGCCTTCTTGCCGAGATAGCTTCCGTGACCTTTGATGTGTGCAAACGCCTTTTCAATCCTTAGTTCGGAGCTTCCTGGAGAGGTGCTGTAGCTCGGCTGGACTTATCTGAACTACAGGCCTTTCAGATCATGGTCCAAATTCACTGCGAAGGAGCTCAAGGAAGAGGATTTGTGCTTTGCACAATAGGTGTGCCAACAGTTTGCACTATGTTGAAACATACATGCCCTTTCAAAATTCTTAGACTTGCATTTACGATCGGCTCCCATGTATTTTATACATATGTATATATAACTATGTCATATATATATATATATACATTGTGTATATATATATATTCCATTTTATTCCACAATCCTTCTTCATGCTGACGCACCCTTTGGCTTTAAGGGCATAAATCTAAAATCCGCGCTCTGTGCTTCTACCGAATATGTGTGATCACCTTGTACCGTGTCCATGCTACCGTGCCCCACGATCAATTTCGATCTTCTCAAAAAGAACGCACTATGTCACTATGATCATTATGACATATTATGACACTATGCTACGAGTAGTAGCTAGTACAAAATGGACAGTACATGACAGTACAAAGATGTAGAAAGATAAAATCTGGCGGATGGTCTAGTCCAGGCTCTTGTTTGAAATGAGCATGTGCTGGGTCGAGGTCATGCCCTTGTGAAACTTCTCCATCTGGCATCAGATGCAGTGCGCGATTTCCTTTTTGGCCCCAGAATGCCCCAGAGCAAAACATGGGAATTCCATGGAATTCCTTCCTTCAAACTTGGCTCATTGCTTCGAGACACGCAACAAAAACAAAGTAAAGGTGCTAGGTTCCATGTTCCAAGCTGGAGAAAGTATGCGTTGCCTGAACAACCCATCTAGAAAAATATCCGAATAGCTGGAAATCGTGACCTTCCCATCCGGAGAATGATGAGATTGGTATCTTATGCTATCTTCATGATAGATATGGGAGATACAGCAGTGACATCCCTCGAAATCCCTGCCTGCATGAGAACATTGTCATCATAGCAGTTGCCACTTGGACATTTAGAAGCAAGAACTCTTCCCCACAGGGCAAGCGAAATCAGCACGCGGGGAGTCATACGAACGCGAAAGGAACAGATCCAAAGAATTTGGAGAGGTTTCAATCTCTACGGGCTGAGCTGAAAATTGTTCGCGGATAGCATGAATTTACACGAATGGACATGAAAATCCGAAAGTACCAATGCATTGAGAACCCCTTCTCTTTGACAAAGCTGTGATATTGGACCCAAGTGCCAAAAGACGCAAAATCAGGACTTTAGATGCCCCAAACGCCTAGTTGAGGTTGAGGTTTAAACAGAAACGTCGCATCGCAGACAAGCCGCTGCAAGTGGTGCAAGATGTTCTTCATATCCAGCATCTTGAGCACTCCCTTCACGACGGACAAATCACTGTTGTCAGGCGCTCCGTAAGTGAGATTCCTTGCAGCAGGAGACGAATGAACAAAATTGAACAAAAATCATCTAGTGCGAAATGATCCTGTTTGAAACACATGTGTCTTTGGGAACAGAATCAAGACGTCGAATTTGTGCGCTTGACCAGTGTTGCATGATCAATGACTGTTTTTGAACCCAGATCATGCTGTTTTCCATTGCAACCTGAAAAAAAATCAAGGTACTCCCATATGCTAGCATCCAGAAGGACTGGGTCTTGCGCCACCTGGCCATGTAGCGATGTTTCTAACCCCAACATGTGTGGCATGTGATGGTGTCAATCCATCAAGGTATTGGAATTGGATGGAATTGCTCATCTGATGTCATGTGTCTTGATTCATGAATCTGTTGCCCTAAACATACCCCCAAGACATCCCAAGACCCCCAAGCAGCTTGATTTCATGTGCGATAGAAGGGAATAACATGAGCAACTCAAACAAAACGATCGTCAATTATGTGAATTCTATGAGGTCTATTGGTTACTGGTGCACATCTACCATCAACAAAAAACATGCCAATTTAAGTTGAATGCTCCTCCTACTCACATGTTGCACTCGTATCAAGTGATGTTTTAGTTGGTTTCAGCAACTATGCCAAGACACAAAGAGCACACGCAGGTGTGTTGGAACAAAGATCTCACCCTCGTCTGGAAGCAGTCTGCTGGAAACGAGCCGCAAAAAGGTGTTCCTGATTTCAGCACGGAACGTCTTGTATTCTTCAGGAATGCCGTGTCGACCGTGTCGAGTCTTCGGTCAAGCGAATCTTGAATCCGGATGAATAGATTCTCGCATAAAAACCACAATTCCCTTGCAAGAGTGGTTTTTTGCCATACCTTGTCTGGATTAGACCTACTAGTACGTAACAGTACTTCTTGATCTGCATGAAATGGAACCACTGATTGCATCCTCTTTGATATACATATTGCATGTCGCATTATTGATATTTCCATGGTTTTGAGTCTGCATCAGGTTTTTATTGTTCCCATTGCCAGCTCCAAAAACTGCTGCTTCACTGTTGAAACCAGTGCCTTTGTGTACACATACATAATATGTGTACATACAGGTGCGCAATGTTGCGTAATATGTATTGAAACAAAAGGTTGAGTTTAAGATGTTCAAGGAATGGTTCGTATCGTCCCTCAAAACTCCATGACATCAGCTGCATATCCATGAACGATTCAGAAATGGTTCGATTTCCAGTATATTTCCAGTATCCAACGTTTGTAAGCAAACCAAAACTCTATATAGAGGGGGTCATTTTTGCGCATGATACAACGGCAATAATGGATAATAATGGCATAATACAACAGGTCAACATAGGATCAACATATCAACATAGGACGTAGGATCAACAAATGTCTGAAGAGGTCAGGGCCAAGGCACTTTCCTGAACCATGGACGCCCACCAAGGCAACCTTGAGTCAAGAGAGTTAAGAGTTCGAAACCAAAGAAATAACAACGAGAAAACGAATGGGAAATTCGATTCCAAATATGCACAAGGGAAGGTGTGAGATTATGTTGACTGCTGCAGTGTGGATTATAAGGACAGCATCGGACGGCTTCTGCCAAGAGCTTCACAGTGCCTTGCGCCACCTGCACCAAATTGAGCCAAGTTTCTATTTTGCCCAACGGTACGTGCAACTTGCCAACGTTCTGGAGCAGCTTCCTAAAAGAACAGCATATTCAGTGTCACACGCAGCAGAACAGTACAAATTGTAAAAGTGGATGAGTTGGCTGAAAGAAATGTTTGATCAAATCGAAGTCATCAGACCATCATTGGGAAGCAACTAAACATTCTTCATCTGAGCAAAACACACAACTAAGATCAACTAAGATCAACTTTAGTACTAGGTAGTCTCGGCTTTCAGGATCAGGTCTTTGCTCTTGCAGCGAAGAGGCTCGGTGGGTGTATAGCCGAATGAAACGCCCTCAATCCTCATCTCAATCAAGTCAGTCCTTCCAGAGATAGAGACTGAAGGCAGATGAGAACATGATGAGAACATGATGAGAACATGATGAGAACATGATGAGAACATGAAGCATGGCGACAAATGACAAAAATGGTGGCTGGGGTGATGAAAAGATGAAGGCGTGATCACCAAAATGCCTTGCTTGCACTTACTACATATCTCCAGCAGCACACCAAGGATTGTGGAAAGGGAACACATGCTAAACCCCTGGCGACTGCATGGCAATCGGAAATCTTTGCAAAGGATCTGAGACTCGCATTGAGTTTATTGGGAAATATGGGAAGGAAGCCCGCAAAGACTGTGGAGACAAACGGCGCGGCATACTCTCCGTCATTTCAAGCCCATAAAATCTGGCGTTGGATGATGCAGTCTCTCTGAATCTCAGTCTGTTTAAATGCGTTTATACTGATACTCCTTGACACCCTTTAAAATACTATTTTATACTCGTTGATAATCTTTGATAGATATTTTTGCGTTGTCTTTTCATTTCGTCCAACTCGTTGCATAGGCCTATCGAATCGATGCCTATCGATGCCTATCAATGCCTATCGTCTTTTCGATTCGAAATCGTCCTCAGCAAACCGGTTTCAGGCGGCGGCTCTGGCAGCTTCAGGACTTCGTGACGTGCCTTGGAGATGACTTTCCGTGGATTCCGTGGTATTCTGTCGTATGTTGTCGTATTCTGTGGTCGTTGTCGTTCTTTTCTACTTCTCTGTCCGTTGCCATGCGATGCCATGCCTTTCTAATCTATCCCGTCTGATCCATGCGAGATCATGCGAGGAGATTGCGGAGTCTTTCCTGTCGGGTCTTTTGTCTAAGCACTGCCATGAAGGCTGTAAGAATCGAACCGTGATGCTCAGTTCACGATTTCGCAGGTTGAGCTTTCGCAGGATCTAGGCAGTTAAGCGATGCCAAACAATGCTAACATGACAGTCAAGTGAACCAACACATGCAACACAATTCCTGCACCCTTTTGATGCCCTGTTGCTAGCCCTTGGACTGCCAGCAGCCTCTTGCAGTCTCAGAGAAAATCCACTTCATAGGATTGAATGTAGTGACAAAAAGGTGGAAGGATGTGGAAGGGTAAAACTGTTTGAAGAAATAATTCTGCACCTCATGCAAAGGGCACTTTCCATGATGTGGTAATATGATGTAATATGTGGTATGCAGGCGTCAATGTTCATGCCAAGTGGAAAGCAGGCAGATCCAGATCTTCCAGGCTCCAGACCGTTAGCTCTGACTCCATGTTGAAAAAATGCGTCAAAACCTTCGCCGCAACACAAGCTTCAGACTCCAGCTCCACTGGAATCACACTGAACTTCAGCTTTACTGCGATTCGAGATGATTCGAGTTTGTGTCACCTATATCCATCCTATATCATTATCATGCATCAGGACCACAATCAATTCGTGCCACAGTTTGGGCTTTGCCAGATTTCTCTTCTCACTACGCCAAACTATGTCCTTTAGTCCTCAGCTTCATCTTCCAATCTTAGGTGCTCTATGGGGTGCTACATGCAGTGCTACAATGTGCTACTCACCTCAACATCCAATATTTTCTAATACATTCTAATACATTCTAATACATTCTAATACATTCTAATACATTCTAATACATTCTAATACTGTATCAACACTGTATCATCTAGACACATGACTCACATGACATCCCACGATGTTGGTTGCTTCATGTTCCATCCTGCCCGCCTTCAGAGAATCGATGCGCGTGTTGATGCCTTGAGAGACGGCGTGAAAGCGACATTGACCGATTCCGACTGACCGATTGACCAATTTCTGATGGGATTACGACGATTACGATCCTCTTACCGTCTGGACCCCATCTGCGACATGAGGCAAAGGATAGGCAAAGGCTGCTCCTTCTTAACAGCTGTCAAGGTTCTCATCAGCTCAATGAAGATGCCTTCGAAATCATTTGTCATATCACCTCAAGCTCCGTTGGTTGCGATTCTGTTTCGGTTTCTGCGGAATGATAGGCATGTTGATTCACACGTTCTGTTCTTGAATATGACAGAATCATTGATAATTGCTGATAGTCACTGCAAGGTATTGCATGGCCTTCAGAGCTTTGACCAAACAAACCGAAGGCCGAAGGCAACCAAGGTGCTGATGACGGAAATGATTGCAAGGAAGACTCCCATTGAGGTGCTGCCGTCCAACACACTCTCTGCAAAAATTGCCTTCAAACAGAAACACCATGAGACAACTTTTGAAACACTACTTCATATCACTTCATCATATCTTCAGAATCTTCATCAGTTTTCTCATCATTTGTCATCCATCTGACCATCTGCATTAAAAAAAACCAACAATTTCCAATAATGTCCAACTATTCAATTGAATCGACATGACATGTCCTCCATCTCGCTTTAACATAAAAGGTCAACGCCCGTCAATTTGTCCCCCTACGCCAGGCGGCTCTGTGGTGCTATTGAACTCTTACAGAATCTCAGAGGCAACAAATGGGTTCGGCATGGCTCGGCCAGTGTTAGTTGCCCAAGTGGACCAAGTGGCTATGTATGCTCCGATGAAGGTGGGCCCCAGCCATTGCCTCAATGGAGCGGGACGCCAAATTGTCTCGAATCTGTTTCTAGTAAGGGAAATATAGGGAAACTAGCAAACTAGATTTTAAATGATTTTAA